ACTCTGCAAGACAGCTTGTGATATGGATTTCACAACACAACAGTATACAAGTTTTGCTTTGGTCAAGGTTTGCTTTGGCACAGGGCCTCTTCCGGTCATCCTACCTCCCTAGCTACAGAGGCTTCCCAGCAGACCTCTTTGTACTCTGTGAAGAAAAGCTTTTCAGTTGGGAAGTTATTCAAGTGACATAAAACATCAGACTCTTCCAGATATCAGCTTTGACTTTCTCTTCATCATTTTTCTCTTCATCATTTTGCCAGTGTTTAGCAAGTAGCTAAGGGTGTTTTTTTTGTTGTGTGGTCTTCCCTCATTACTGACCAGTGGCTGCTAGTGTTTGACTTTCTTCCTCAAGACAGAGTCTTTCACTTTATCCCCACCTCTCCTCCTTTAGAGGTATTGATACTCATCTAAATGGCAGCAGTGGAACAAGTACCCAGACATCAAAGATTGTACTAAATGTTCTTAGGGGAGCTGGGGAATCTCTGTCTGAAATTTCAAGAGGTAGGTACATTCATTTGACATTCCTTCCTTGCATTCATTGATCCATTGCATCCCCTGAAACGTGTGCAGAGGAGGGTGATTAGGAAGATGAAGGGTCTGGAAACCAAGCCTTCTGAGGAGCAGTTGAGGGAGCTGGGTATGTTTAGCCCATGGATAAGAGAATTCTGAGAGATATGATAGCCATCTTAAAATATTTGAAGGGCTGTTACATGGAAGATGGAGCAAGCTTGACCACTCCAACTTCAGACCAATTGGCCAACTATCTTGCCAATGCTGAGTCTTCTTGACATCTTGGAACTCTGTGTAAATGTGGGGAATTCCTGTTTGGTATTAATGCACTGGCCTGAATTCATCAGAGCACTTTCCATCAATATACATTCTTATCTTTAGCATGGACGAGAAAGAATATTCTTATGTTTTCATCTATGGCTGACCATAGTACTGAACAGCTTGCAGTCCAAATTCAGTTTTTCAGTTATTTTGCTTCAACTCAGGGCTAACCCATTTGCTTTGAGCTTCTTACTACTTTTGATTATGGCACTTAATATTTAAGCTGCCTTTCCTGGTTACTATTGCTTCATCTCAAAGGGTTACTACATCAGCTTTCTGTGTTCATCTGGTACTACAGACTTGATGTTTGATCCAGAATGGATGCTCCTCTGGAAGGGCTGTGCTGAACCCAAAGCTTTCTGGGCAGCTCCCCAGCCTTTGGTAAGTTAGTTTGCTATTCATATAGCCTGCTCTTGCTCACTTTTTTTGTATAGCCACTGCGCGCAGTCCATTAGGAATTGAGCAGGAAAGTGGGGGCCATGCCCTTTTGAGTGTGCACACACTGGGGTAAGCAGCCTGCCAAAACACTAACCAAGTTCAAGAAATCTGAAAAACAAGTCTGCACAGTCACAAAACCTATATGTCTCTGCACAGATCACTCATGGAAGAGCTACAGTTACAGATAAGCAAACTTTCTGAGTACCCCCTGGCTGTGTGTGTGCTTGTGTGTTAATGTCAATTTTTAACAAACTCTTTGCCTCCTAATATCCTTCTCTACCTGATGTAGGATTGTTCTTCTTGAGTTGAAATCAAGATACATTACATCTCCCTGATCCACTAAGCTTGAAACTCTTTCAAAAATGGAAATAAGATTAGGCTGGTATGACTTGTTTTTGAGAAAGATGTGCTAGTTCTTAGTAATCACAGCATCCTTTTTTGAGTGTACACCTTTCCTTGCATCAGTGTCAAGCTGACTAGTTGGTAGTTGCCTGGGTTTCCCCCTTTTTAAAGTTGGGGACCACATTTGCCTGCCTCCCGTCCCCAGGGACCTCACCTATTCTCAAAGAATTCTCAAAGATTATAGACAGAGGCTCTGATATTACATCTGCAAGTTCCTTTAGTATCGTCAGATATATTTCATCAGACCTCGGAGATTTGAATTCATTTAAAGTAGCTAGGTGTTCCCTTACTGCCTCTTCTCTTTTCTTGGGCATGATTTATTAGATTATCACCAGGTTGGGCACTGTTTTCTTGTTATTTTCACGCTTTGTCATCACTACCGCTGCCAACACCTCACCATTCAACAGTATGTTATTTCTTCTACACACATAAGTATGATAGAAACTTACTTACTTTCAGCAACTTCCACGTTGCTTTCTGCCTCCAGCAGAAGCCAGCTGTCATAGAATGAGTAGATGGCCAGTGCTGTGAATTATCTCCACACCTGTGCAATCGTGATCATCTTCCCATGAAGTCTTGAGATCCCTGAATCCATACATATGCATGCTCATTACTGCCTCTTCTATGGCACTGATTCTATATCCCATTTCAAAGAGCAAGGCCAGCATTTGGTTGCATTAGTATAGTGGTAGTTATTACTTAGATGCATGCCTTATGTAAGGCTGTTCCATAGTGTTCCTGAATTTCTATAACATAAAAATGCTTAGAAGGTTTAATAATAATAATAATAATAATAATAATAATAATAATAATAATAATAATAATAATAATTTATTATTTATACCCCGCCCATCTGGCTGGGCCTCCCCAGCCACTCAAAAGGTTGTAAGCCGAGGGGACAGCAGTTACCAAACCATTTTGCAATTATAAATGACAAATGGAGTATAAACCCCAGATTAATTATTTAAGGCAAAGAAATGCCTAGCTCAAGCCATGCTACCATTGAATTTAAGTCTCAACTTGACAGCAACACACAAGGCTTTCAAAATAATGAAACAAAATGGCAGAAGTAGGAAGAGAAATAGCACTCATATAACAAATTTCAGTTGATATATTGCAGGCACAAATCCAAAATTGTTAATAATGAAGCATTCAGGTTTTATTCATTCTGTAGGTTATAAGAGAGGAAGCTGACAAGATACTTGGAGAAATTTGACTGACAGTTTGCTTCTCACATGCCTGCCCCTCATGCTTAGTTAAGGCTAGCCATAAGAATCTTGTTGGTCTGTTTTTAGCTGTGGTAATTGCCTCAGAGAAGGAACTTAACATTTAAGGAGCAGAACTTTATTTATTTTTCTAAGCTTTCAAAGAAATAAAAAACATTATTCTGTGCTGTCCCTTGAACAATGGAAAGTTCAAGACTCTTTTTTACAACATCAGTTTCCTTTTTAAAGAAGGTACCCAAGAGGCATATGATATTTTTGTTTTCTGTTTGTTATTTGCAAGTATGGGCAGATTATACATTACTCTGGAAATGTACTTGGGCAAGCAGAACTGGATTCATTAAATGTATGAGTCTTATATAAAAAACAGTACCCTTGAAATTCAAAAAAGAAAATTTCCCCCACAAGCCAGTCATTGTCCGTTAATTAGTATCCGTTGCTAATGATTAAACTACTACTAAACAAAAGACAGTATGGCTTACAAATTCCTTCATGATTTATTTTTAGTATTCACAAAGGGGAAAGTATTAACGCTGCAACATTGTTTGTGTCTCATCTCTGTACTATTTATAAATACTGAATAATTTGCAAAATATGCTTTCAAAATTTAATGACTAAGTTGAGTATCAACGTGATATCATAGCTTACAGTAGATTTTTCAACTCATTAAGGATGAAACTAAATTTGGGGGCAACCCATAAATGCAATGTTCCAAAAAGAAGAAGAACAGAAAAGCTAATCCTGTGAAAATGTATTTTATAAGGTGTAGCTTATTCCTTTAAGGGACGCATACATCTACAATGCTTGGTTAATAAGAAATATAAACAAACTGAGATTACCCAGTCAAACCCAATTAGTAAGTTTTTAGATGGTTGCTTACAGACAAGCATTTGTTGTGGGGATTGTTATCACTCACACATGCACTTTTTTCACAGCACCCATATGAAACTTGCTAACAGCTTTCTGTTGTTTTTATGTTTTTATTGTCTGTGTAGTGTGCATTACATTGCTTATAAACTTTGGGTAGTTTAATGCTAGGTACTTGGGTTTAATTGGCTTATCATTGTTACCTTTAATGAATGCCTAATGTCTGATTTGTTGTTGTTGTTTTTCATGTTACCTGACAGTTGGTTGACTGGCTGGGTCAAAGCAATATGTGAAATTGTGCCTTCCCGCCTCTTTACTCCAAATCACACAGTGCCAGGCCAATGAAGGGTGGTGGCAAAGATAACTTTCACTTGGCAGAATTCTTTTTATAAGAATGCCATGCTGGGTCAGACCAAAGGCCCATCTAGTCCAGCACCCTATTTTCACATAGGCCAATAAGATGAGAAACCTGCAAAGAGAGCCTGAGTACGACATCCTTCTCCACTCTTAGGATTTCCACCAAGTAGTAATAGAACATGGCCTTTATAGGACTCTTAAATAAAAGCTAATATACTGTTCATTTGAGAAACTTATTCCATTTGCAGATGTTTTGCAACATGGACTCTGATCCAGCATTTCCTTGTAAGTGCTGGGGCTAGATTGTGCATATGAACCCTCCTACCCACAGGGGCTTTCCATCTTCAGAACTGAATCTTCCATTTAAATAAACTGGGACTATCCTGTATGCCTTGGAATGCTAACCAGGCTCCTAACTATGGAGATTTCTTGCTTACGTTATGTAAGTAAGTTGATAGTTATACAATTTTTAGAAGACCTCTGAAGACAGCCCTCTATAAGTTTTTAATGTTTGATGTTTCATTGTGTTCTTATATCTGTTGGAAGCCGCCAAAGGGGCTGGAACAGTCACATGGGTGGGGTACAAATAATTAAATAATAAGAATATTAAAACTGATTAAAATCAGCTTTAGGGAGATTCATTTATCATAGTTTATTGTAGACGTTGCTGTTCATATATTGAAATAAAAATGAATTCCTTCATTAATTATAAACAATGTGACAAAAATGTTTGTTGTCCTGTCTAATATGTCCTTTATTCTATCCAATATGCGCTGTCTACCTCTAAAATTTAATGTAACAGCACATGCAACCTTTGCCACTGTGTATAGTATAATTGCAGTAAAATTGTAACATTACTGTATTATCTTTTGTTTTTTACAGGTCAATGCACAAACTGACACAGCTAGAGAGGCTTGACCTAGGCAATAATGAATTTTCTGAGTTGGTAAGAAAAACCTGTTTTAAAAAGCATAACAAAACATGTATGTTCAGTAACGTTCAGTATATCAATGCAATTTTCCTCAGTTCCCACTATGAGAATCCTGCTGCATGCAGAAACAAGTAACTCTACTATTTTGCTTTCCATACATGTAAAAGCTGCATAGGATCCTGCTTTGCATCGGTAATAAAAGGAATTCATGATGAAATATTTTATGTCCACAGACAGGGATAATAATGAGGGTGTTATGGCACATGATACTCTGGATTGTGTGACTTTATGGGGAAGGGTTGATAGATATGTAGGATCTAGCTTCAGAAACCAGCAGCATCACAGAAGCTGTGAGAATAAAAGCCTTAACTCCTAATACCTGACAGTTCAGAGTTTCTGAAATACTAAATCGACCATTGCTTCTCTGTGCTGCTTCTTCTCAGTGTTAGTTGATCCATCCTGGTAGATGGATTTAGACCAAACCACACTCAGAAATGTGACTTGTAATATTTAACATAATAATCACTTATAAGTACAACCTTAAAGAAAATGATGAAGTAATCAGATTAAAGAACTATAGTTCTATTCTGATTTTGTTTGCAAAAGGTAATCACTTGGAAATAATTAAAATATCATTTGGTTTGCATAAATGTTATATTTATAAAATATACTTTTTTACAGCCTGAGGTTCTGGAACAGGTTCAAAATCTAAAGGAATTATGGATGGACAGTAATTCACTTCAAACACTGCCTGGGGTATGGATATTGTATACATTCATGTGTTGTTTAGTTTCATTTCTTGTTAATATAGGGAGATGCAACACTGAACATGTTTTTGGACAAGGATACTAACATAATGTTGCATAGTAATGTGTAAATAATAAACTTAAATTGATTTGTTCTGACACTACACAACTCTGCAAAATTTTGGCTATGTATATATTTCTGTTATATTGAAACATATTTGAAAGATGTTATTTCTTTAACAGGTGATGGGTTTTCAATTGATCTAAGTAGCATAAGGCTCTCTCAGAGAGCCGTATTGCTGCTTATATATGAACAATTTTTTAAAAATATTTCTGTAGCGTGCCTCATGCATTTCACTACTGAAGGATGTCTAGCTAACAAAGCATCTGCTAATCTGACTCTCATTGCTGCTATTTCTGGACAACTAGATCTGTAGTGTGAATCCAGCAGCACCTAACCCCAGAAGAAAGGCACTTCTGCTTATGTCAATTCTCCCCTTGAGCTTCAGCCCCCTCCCGAACATATCCAGTGCTGTTCTGGAGGGGCCCCTTTTTTGTAAGCTGAAGCGGGAAGAAGGAAGTAGGGAAGCTATAATCTGTGAATGGAACTCTGATCAGTGTTCTTAGGCTCCAACTCAATGATTTTAAGAGAATTTTAATATAAGAATTCTAGTTCAAGCACACAGAGTAAATCATCTTAAGGCAAATTTCTGTGCTGTGACTTGAACAGAGGGTAGTGTTTTCTGTATAGCTTTTGCCTAGCCTATAGCATGTAGAAGTCCATTTTCAATTTAAATACTACAGTATATGCTACAAAAATGCCTTTGGGTAACAACATTGCTACTTCAGCTTAATATAAGAGCACTCTAGTTCAATTGGCAATGTGATTTAGTGCTTGTAGAACTTTTTCAAACCCTTTAAATGTATTTATACATATCCAAAGTAAGTGTTGGATTCTGTTTCACATATTCATATCTGTTTGATGATTAGCAGTGTCAGAGTCGACAGCGCTTACCATCTGTTGTGTAGTGCTCAGGTAATTCCAATCCAACAACTGAAATTCATGAAAGGATCACGTGCAGGAATGGTGCAATTTAGTAAAGGATCCATATGCAACATCCTTATTTTCTGCATTAAGACACTGAAATATTCTTACATTTAAGAACTATTCAGATGTATCTTTATAAATAGCACTACTGATTTTCACTGATATTTTGAGAGCCGCCTAAAGTCTGTGAAATAGGTGAGACAAGTATCTGAGTTGCCTTTAAGGGCAGCTCTATGTAGAGCACATTGCAATAATCCAATCTGGAGTTATGGGGTTGAGAAATAATGGGCATGAGGGGTCTTTGTGTATCTTCCGTGTCTAGACACCCCTTTTGGTTTGTTAGCTCACTGCTCTGAACTCACATTTATTGGTTAAGCAAAGGTAGTAGGGTGAATTGAAATATGGGAGGTATGTGTAGGCCTTCCAATTCCTTGCAACAATCTGTGCCACAGGCTCTGTGGATGCACTTATACCAAAAATTGCTCTGTTAGGATCCTATCTTGTGTGAGTCATTGGGAAGAATCAAACCTCACCATTTAAGTAGTGATCATTGTTGCAGTATCTTCAGATACAAGTTCAGAACAGTGGTTTTTCTAGCGTACTTGACCAATGAAACATCAGATCAGACCAGATCACTTTTGCTTCTGTAATCACCATTACCTTTCTGTTAACTTTTATTTCTAAATATTATTGCTGTTAACCATTGGTGCTTGCTATGAAATGTAAATCTAACCAACAACCTATTCTTATGTGATGTCATCAAGCCTATAGGAAGGTTAAAGCAGCTGGTGTACTTGGATATGTCAAAAAATAGGATAGAAAGTATAGATATGGACATATCAGGATGTGAAGCCCTGGAAGATCTACTGTTGTCATCCAACATGCTACAACAACTGCCAGATTCTATAGGTAAAGAAAGAAATGTTGGCTAAATGTGTGGTTATGTGTTAGAGGTTGTTGCTAAGAAAATGGGTTTTTGTTAATAGATGCTGGTTTGGATTCAAGGGTCCATTTCTTCTGAATCAAGATTAAGATTTATCTGCCTCCCCTATCATTCATTATCCTGTAATTATTATTAGCAACTTTATCTCTAAAATAACATGCTGTTTTTATGTTAAGAATTAAGCATTATATGAAGAATACAGGTATTACGTTTTGAAGTTTTACTTCATAATACAGAAAAGTGTTCCTGGTCACATTGCCTTGCACCACAGTTTTATGTGTAGAAACTCATCTTTGAATATGAGGTGCAATTATTTTTTAATGCTAGAATCTGTCCACAGGTTTATTTTTAACTATAATACATGTGTTAGGGAGGTGTGTCTGTAATTTAGCTTCCTGCTGTGAAGAAATACTCTGAAATGGCTTTTCTCACATTACCTAAAATTCATGTCCTCGGGCACGAGTGTGAAACTTCATGTGCAAAAATACAAAATAGCAATCCACTGTTAAACTGCATGACTTGTATCAAGTGCTAGTTCTACTCAGAGTAGACCCACTGAAATTAACGAACATGGCTGACTTGGGCATATTAATTTCAGTGGTTCATATTCAACTAAATTGTTGCACGAGGAAAAGCCAGTGCAAGGATTCATGCTAGCACAATAAGAATCCCCCCTCTCCCCCCTATCTTGCACCATCACCAAATCTAGTCTGGAGGCGTTAGAACCCCCCAGAATAGATTTAGGGGGCTTTGTGGGGAGGAGAGGAGAAAAAGTTCCATGGCACCAATAAAATCCTTGTCGCTGATGGAGCCTTAGCTACCAATGCAATAGGTCTACGAAGAGTAGAACTTAGTTAAATTCAACCCTGTGGTTTTTGCAATTAGAAGATACTGTGTTTGCAAATTTAGGGATCACATGAGAAAATGTGTTTGAAACAACTGCGTAGCCACCTCTGGAAGAGGATTCTTTTGAACTGACCGGGAATCCTTTATTTCAAAAATACTATTCATTATTCCATTTATTTTGTTACTTCTGCTGAAACTGGCCTCAGAATAGGCACTATGACCACTAGTATTGAGAGTTGAAAAAGGGGTGTACTTCACAGTAAAAAAATAATTATAGGGGGAAATCTGTTTTCAATATCTAACGCATCTCTCTCTCTGTTTCTCTCTCTTTCTCTCTATCTTTCTCTTTCAGGGCTCTTGAAAAGGCTTACAACTCTAAAAGTAGATGACAATCAACTCACAATTCTCCCCAATGCCATTGGAAAGTAAGTGGTGGAAGTTTATAGATTTGATGTATTTAGCAATAAGATTGTTTTCAAGACAAATGTGTATTTTCTGTCTAAGGAGGAAATGGACGCTTAACTCTTCCTGGGTGGGCGCCTGTTGCGGTCTCTCATGCTTGGCCGCCATATGTCTAGGTGGCCGTTAAGGGAGTTCCCTCTGGCAACCTGGACATCTGGCTTGAGTTCCCACTGGCTGCTGCATCTCAAATGGGCCAATCAGTGGCCTCCCATGGGGGGGTGCCTCGCCAACTGGTAGCACATTGGCTGTACATGTGCCCTCACAGCTGGTGAGTCATAAAAGCTGGGGGCACTGAGGAAATAAATTTTAGCTTATACCAGGATGTTGTCTTGCCTGAGTTTTATCTGAACATCTCAGAATGATCTTTCCACATCCTGCACATCCATCATGACTTAGCCTTCTACACTGATAGGACAGCTGTGTTTCAACGTGATCCTTTTCTTTCCCACGTGTTCCGAGGGCTCTAGAAGGACTCTACCTATGTTGACTCAGGGCCTCTCATGTTGTTTTCTGTAAACTTTAATTATGCTATGGACTGGCATAGCTCCCCAGTACCAATGGGAGTCCACATCTGCTTTTACAAGAGCCACGGCCTTTCAAAGAGTATGTCCAGGTTCTTTTGCAGGCATAATTGTTTGTCAGGCATGATGCTATGGATATTTAAGCTTGGGCAGGTACCTCTTTTTGATGGGCTGTGTTGAGCTCAGCAATTACTAGTCAGTACTTGCCCCACCTTGGGGTAAATTAGTTTGCTATTCTACCATGTGTGAAACGGCACAAAGACCCCAAAGAAAAGCAGGTTGTTTGCCTGCAACTTTAGTTCATGTGGTCATATGTTCACTCAAACAACCCACCCTTTTTCACACCTGTTGTCACTCAAGTGTTTCCTTATATAACTGCCATCCGTTAGTATCTGAGAGGGAATGTAAGAACTACACCCCTTGAACATGTGCTTTGGGCAGATTTCCTGCCAAAATGTTTATCAGAAGGTTTCAGACTTCGCACAGGTACAGAACTCCATGTGTGTGCCTGCACAAATGACTACTCAAGGAGCTACAGTTTGATAAGCAACCTGTTTTTCTTTAAGTATCATTGATTTCGTTTGAAGAACTGAGCACATGCTTAAATCTCTTCTGTTAAGATCGATGAGAATTACAAGTGCTTAACTTGAGCTGTGCTATGTTCATGGTGTTCTTTTCTGTTATACAAAATTTTGAAATGCTTTCCAAATACAATGCCTGCTTTTTGTGGGACATGTGGGGGATAACTTAACAGCCTACTCCTTACAGCTTCATTGCCTTGTGTAGTGAGAAATAAACAGACAAGGGCATAACAGCAGCTACATGTTCTGGTAAATAAACTGTTACTTTCTTGATCTAGTTCCATTGCAGCATAGGGAAGGAATCACTGTAGCACTCTTAAACCTTAACTCTGCTCCTTAATTATAAAGTTGGATCAGTTTTTTAAATTGAAATTATACAGAAATCATGTATAATGGGATCTAATAGGCTTTTTTCCTTCTCTCTCTTTTATTATCTATATTTATTGATACTTGTCAATAAATATAATGCACTTGATCATTAGTAGGACATGCTGTGTTTCCTTCCTTGCAAATGTGCTCATCTTCAAAGTATCTTAACTAGACCTAAAGCTTCTTAACATTTTGAAATGATGCTTGTATATTTTTGCCTTTATACTGAATATTGCAGATGAGATCCATATAATTTTAGAATCTTGATGACCATGGCTGGCATGAATATAGCAATTATCATTTACATCTCATAATTTGTCAATTTACAATGACCAATTTGTTTCATTCTCATTTTGCAATTGAGAGGTTATTACATCATCCTAAGTCCTTATAACATTTTTCATATTTGAGAGACCTATTCAGCTGTGCAAATAGGATTTTCCTCCCCTTTAGCCCCGCAGTTCTGGGTGCGGGAGGGGCAGGTGCAGCGGCTGAAGGAGAAAGTGAATGCTGTTGCATCCACAGACACGATATTAGATTGCTCCCTTAATGCTTACGTAATGAATGGTTTTGTGATAGCACTTTGCTTCAATCCTGAATGCCTTTGCTCTGAGCAATACATGTTTCTTCATTTACACAGAAGCACATATAAAGTTGCTTTATACTGAGTTGTACCATTGGTTCATCTATCCCAGTATTGTCTACTCTGATTGTTGATGGCTTTCACAGCAGTCTTTCTCAGTCCTGCTACCTGAGATCCTTGAACTGAAGGTGCCAGGGATTGAATTCAGCATTGGTTAGTGTGGATACGTTTGAAACGCAACATTCCCCTTCTTCCATATATTCTGTATTGCCAATCTAGGGACTGGTGGCAGCTGAAAGGGAATTGCAATAAATGATAACGTTTCTTGTCTGGCTGTAGCATCACTGAAGGTGCAGCGTGATCATTTTGCCAGGTGGTCTACTAAAGCACTGTCACCTATGTCTACATCTTCTGTCAGCGCAAGCCTAAAGTGGATCTGGGCCAAGTTGTCTGAATGCTGCCTTTAGAAATGATCACTTCCTCTGGCTTAAATTACAGCCTGGCAGCCGCAAGCATATAATGAAAAGCCTAACAAAGCTTTCAGCTGTTCTCTTTCCAACCCACTTCATGAATCACTGTGCAGTTCTCAAGAGGATGACACACTTCAGTCCTCCAGGCTAGTGTGGTCTAGTAGCTAGTTGCAGGGGAGATGTGTGGGGAACCAGATGGGCTGTGGGTTGTGGAGCAGCTGCTTTTAGATTTGTTCGTCTGAAGAATTTCGAAGTAAATAACTGAAGGCTGTATTGGGCACTTGCTATTTTACTGTTGCCAATAAATTTATGGGGGAAAGCTTTGATCTTGGTCATTTGTAAAATATAATACTTCTGTTAATGAGAAGTCAGTGTGTACCCCCTTCCCTCCTGTCCTGGGTAGTTGGTAGCCAGTTTTATACCTGCTACATAACCATAACATCATGGTAGTTCAGGATTTATTGAAACAGTTTCTTTTTAATTCAGTCAAGCTTTCAATAGAGAGTGCCACTTATCAGGCTGTTTTAGCAGTTAAATTCACAGAATTATTGCAGAATTATTTTGTAGGATTATGGAAACTTATTTATTTATTTCATGTCTATCTTACCCTGCATCAAATCAAGTGACCACAAGGGTGGGACACATCAATTATTAAAAACAACATCAATAAAAAATTGAGAACAGTATACAATTCATAAATATTATAACTGCTCTCTCCAAGTATCAGTGGCTGAGTACCCCACATCATTAAAAATCTGGATAAAGAGGTAAGTTTTAACTTGGTGCTGAAATCCAACCAGTGTAGACACCAACCTAAATTCAAGGTGGAGGGAATTCCACAACTTTCCACAGGTCTTTTCACAAGTCTCAGGTGTATGAACCCCACTTGGTGATGGAATAGTGAGTATAGCATCTCCAGCAGGCAGGATAATATAGGATGAGGTGCTCCTTCAGGTAACTTAACCCTAAAATTCTCAGATCATTATAAGTCAACATTAAAACCTTGAAATAAGCACAGTAGCATATTGGTAGACTGTACAAACTCTTCAGAACTGGTGTTATATGAACTAAACTGGCTGAACCACTCAATAATCTTGCCATGGTGGTCTTCCCCTACTACAACCTCTGAACCATTTTCAAGGGCAGAGCCCCACATAGAGTATATTAGAGTAATCTAACTTGGAGTTACCAGACTGCAGGAGCCTGCTGCCAGGCTATCACCGTCTAAGAATGGCTATAGCTGGCAAGCAAACTGGTGCTACTAATAGGTGTTCCAAGACACATGAATCCAAGGGCACCGCCAGATGCCATCAGAAGGAGTGCAGCTCCCTCCAGAATATGCCATCTATCCAGTTCTTGAACACAAGAATCTCCTGTCAACAGGATCTCTATCTTGTCAGGATTCAGCTTCAGTTTTGGCTGTCATCCAACCCATTACTGCTTCCAGACATTGGTCCAACAACTGCACAACCTCTCCTGACTCAGATGATATGTAAAGACAGTGATTGGTATCAGTGTATTTATGGAATGATACTCCAAGTGCAGTGGGCCTCAACTTATGCTCACTTTACTTACACAATCGCAACCTTAGGTACATGGCCGATAAATAAGTAAATAAATGGTGAGCTGAGAAAACCCACCATGAAAAGAGTTTTTAAGCCCTCCACCTCACTTACCAGGCTTTGGGAGGGAGTTTGAAGGGCTGTGAGATGCTTTCAGAGCCCTCCTGCCTCCTTCCCAGATACTATCCGACTCTGGACAGGTGGGGTGGGGGGTGCACCAGGGGTGGGTGGGTTCCTGGCTTTACGCAATGGCAAGAGCTTTTTGATCCATCTGTCTCATTTACCTGGCTCTGGGAGCATCCCAAGGCTTGTGCAGTAAGTGAGGCAAAGGGCAAGGCCTGCTCCAGACAAGTTGAGAGCGGTTTCTGGGAATCCTGGCTTCACACAATTTTGCCTTTGCATGTGGACTTTTAGAACTGAACCCTCATGTATGTGGCAGGTCCACTGTGCCTTGAAAAACTCTCAGAATGGCTGTAACATCTATTTAAACAGCGTGGGGGACAGTATGGAATTGTCTTGGTGCCATTCTCTGGAAACAGCCCTGTAGGTAGAAGTTGAACCTCTGTTTCACCATGTTTCTAACTTCCAGCTACAGAACTGATTCAGAAGGAAACAGTGGTCAGTGCTATCAAAAGCCACCAATAAGTCTAGGAGACTTATCAGGGTTGCATTCCCCTAGTACAGGTCAGTCAGATCAACCAAGGTTATTTCAGTACTAAAACTGGGCCTGAAGCCAGACTGAAATTGGTCTAGACAATCCTTTGTAAAATATGTATTACTTAAATAATACTGGAAAGTGTTTCTGCCGTTTTATTACAGCACATTTATTGTCAGTATAAGTCTCAGTTGCTAGCATTTCTACCTAAAGGATTCATGGTTAAGATATCTCTTGATGGGGCCTGTTTATGCATGATAAAATTGCATATGTCTATTTTGCTTCATATGCAAATGGGAGGAGACCAATACACACATCTGCCGTAATTACATGTGGTAGGAACTTTCTGCCAATCATATACATGTGACAAAATAGACGTGGGTGTTTGCCATATACTACTGCATAAATGCTCTCCTCTGGCTTTATTATTAGTTAGTGTTGACAGTAGTGTCCTAGATGGACTATTCCTCTGCTTCAACTAGAAAGCATTTCCAAATATAATTCCATTATGTCCTTCAAATGCACATTTTGTACTGCAGCTCAAAAATGTGTAAGATACTTATATTTTTGTCATTTGAAAGTCTTATGTTTGCATAGTTTGCAGATCTGGAATGTTAAGATTTAGATATTAAAACCCCCCAATGATTGATGGCTTTGTGACATAGACTAACAAATGTACTTAACGTTTCAGTTTATCTTTATTAGAGGAATTCGACTGCAGCTGTAATGAACTAGAGTCTCTACCTCCCACCATTGGCTACTTGCACAGTCTGCGGACACTAGCTGTAGATGAAAATTTCCTGCCTGAACTGCCTAGAGAAGTAAGGATATATTATGAAATATTATTACTTGAAAATTTCCCTGTCTTTATCCAGAATAAATTTACACTGAAGGCACTATTACCAAATCAGAGTTTGGTCTCAATACAAAAGGGCAATATTCACATAAAAATGATGAATTTCAAACATTTTTAAGTTTTGTATCAGCTTGTAAATGTTACATCAGACTTTGAAAATAGGGCAGTTTGGAAGTTAACAATCCAGTACAACCATTAGGTAACAATTTATTTCTTCAGGGAGCAGTGCCCACAAGGAGGAGTCAATATGCTGGCCACTCCTTTGCCGCAATGCTTTCTGTACACATTTCTACTCTTTCTTACTGAGGATGCATCCAACACATTCAGGAGCTTCAGGCTGATGTCATTCTTGGTGCACCGTCTTCATTCTCAGAACTGTTGTATGAAGACATGACAAACCAAGTAGACTGGGACCCTATGGTTACAATTTTTCATCTTCATGCGAGCCTTTCCTAACTTAGAACTTGGAAATGGAACAGCAGTGGTTTTATCAATTTGGTGCAGCTGAGGTTGTTAGACATAATGCCCAAAATTGATTAACTTGTCTTCAAGATGCTATCTAGTAACTGGTTCTACTAGAATACACGGTATAATGGTGTGGGAACAGACCTTCTAAAGGCAAGCCTTTCAGTATTTGAGTTTATTTAAACTGGGGTTAAAAAACCCCCAGACATTTTTGGAAATTGCCTTGTCTTCAAGGGTGTTTGGTTTCTAAAGTGTTGATTCACTTAACGCTATAGTGGGTCAAAGGTTTCCAACTTGGAATCATAATGCAGTTCTCATCGGTCAATATGTTGAGCATATGCTTTTTCCACTCAATAGTTTGAGATTATCAGTATTGGGATTCATTCCGATATAAAGGGTTGAGTACATTCTAAAAGAATAAAAGGCATATCCACTCCCAATTGGTGGCAACTTGTTACCCTTAGGTTAGGTTTCAAATGATTCTTGCATGTTTATGAGTCTGTTCCTCTTTGGCTTTCTGATTATTGATTGAATAAAATGTATTATTTTGTATTTATTTGTTTTGATTTTGCATTGGTTTAAGCGTTTATACCTTGTATGTGAATAGAAATACATTTTATAAATAAATAAAATAAATTATGTTACGCTAGATTTGAAACACCACCTTCACTCAGTTTGTTGCACATTGTCTTCTATCCCTCTGAATAAATTGTCTGTTAGTGTTGTATAAGTTGTGGACAAAATATGCAGGAACAGAGAAATAGTTCCAAAGGGGGCTCTCCATGCAAATATCAAATCTGGGCAAAAGCTGCAAAGTGAAAACGTTCCATCCTAGGGGGAGATGAAGTCAATTTCTCAACCTGTGTTATAATCCAGAGCAGCTGACACTAACGAATCCGGCTTCTAAAAGCATAATTCCAACTCCTGTCAGTCAAAAGTATGGGTTTTGCAGCCAAGGCCAGTGTTCTTTGTCACAATCTTTGCCAGGTTCTTGGTTAAAGCTTTGGTATGATGGTGATAAAGAACCATTCAATCTAAGCAACAGCAGTTTCTTTAGCTTGAATGCAGGAATATTCATTCAAGGCATTTGCAAAGCAGTGACATGAGTTCAAGCCACACATCTGTTAAACACTATAGATCATTTTTACATTCTTCTCCCACATCACATCACTTCATCAGAAAATGTCTAAAATATACAAGACTCAAGCCTAGCTTCTGCTCACATCCACATTGCATATCTTGAGAAATGGGTGATATTGGCATGGGAATAAACTGTCTCATGTACCTTGTGGCCTATATCTTCTCTTGTGACATATATGCTGGAGTGGTTTTCAAGCGGCTTATAGTGCATTACATCATAACTTAGGTGATGTCAGGGGAGGCCTTAAGGTGCCACATCTCTGTCCTGACAGACATTTCTGTGAGGCAGTTACTTAGAAAGGCTTGGTAACTTAAGGGAGTAGTTTTCATATAACATAGAGGGAGTAGCATCTAGATGATAAGTGGTGGGTGGGATATACGTGTGCCTACCATTGGGGTCTTAAGTTTTTCATGGGTAATGAATGCAAAGGTATGTGATTTGTAAAAGAGGGTTCCATGTCTGCTGCAGGGCTCTATACTTTATGCATTGCTAATGCATGATAATGTGAATACCATGGAGCATGGAGCATGCTCCATGGAGCATGGAGTTTCTTCCATAAATGATCTAAATAGGTCAAATTAAAAGTAAAGTGACCCCTGACCATTAGGTCCAGTCATGACCGACTCTGGGGTTGCGGCGCTCATCTTGCTTTATTGGCTGAGGGAGCCGGCATACAGCTTCCGGGTCATGTGGCCAGCATGACTAAGCCGCTTCTGGCGAACCAGAGCAGCGCACAGAAATGCCGTTTACCTTCCCGCCGGAGTGGTACCTATTTATCTACTTGCACTTTGAGGTGCTTTTGAACTGCTAGGTTGGCAGGAGCTGGGACTGAGCAACAGGAGCTCACCCTGTTGCAGGGATTCGAACCGCCGACCTTCTGATCGGCAAGTTCTAGGCTCTGTGGTTTAACCCACAGCACCACCTGCGTCCCTAAATAGGTCAAATTAGGATGTGTTTAAAAAGGTAAAGGTACCCATGACCGTTAGGTCCAGTCGCGGATGAGGTTTAGGATGACCTAATTAGGCTAGAGGTCAGATAAAGAGAAAAGCATTCATATTTTCTGGAATTTTTATACTTCTTGTTGATTTTCCCTTATTGATCAGCATCGAGATCAGCACCAAACAACATGTAAAAAAGCATATATAATTAAGTTATTTTAAAGATGTAACTAAGCTACTTATATAGATGGCAATTATGGTGACATAGCCCATGCCTTAACAATTGTTTTTGACGCCTACAGATTGGAAGTTGTAAGAATGTAACAGTTATGTCTCTGCGCTCTAACAAACTGGAATTTCTTCCTGATGAGATTGGACAAATGCAGAAACTCAGAGTCTTAAACTTGAGTGACAACAGGTAATGCTTTTATTATTTTAGATTTCTTGCATAATCAGTGCACTTTTGAACCAAGAACTGTCCAAAACGTATGCTAACATTTTTCTCTTAAAGCATTGCTGGATTATCAACTGACAGAACAACATATGTGCAGATATGTTAATTTGTTTCATGGGATCCAGGCAGTTTTCTCAAGGAAGCATTTCTCTTTTTCATTAGCTGAACAACATCAATGACATTATTGTTGGCATAAAGTTATTTAGGTGCTGCACAAAGTTTATTAAATAGCACAATACCTTCCACAGGTTTACAAACTAATGGATATAATTAAAAAGGAGAAGGAACAAGGACACAGTTGTTCTAAACCATGTAGCGTAGAGAGAAAAGAGAAATGTCAAAAACGTTTCTTGTTTAGAAAGCCACAAGAGGCTACTTCATCAAAGGAGGAAGGCAGAGCTAAAACTGGGTTCCTCCCAGTGGAGGTTCTACAAACCTCTGGTGTCCAAATCGTAGAACAGGATGACCTTCTCCTCTGAATGAGAATTACATTTAATTCATAAAGAAGAATGCAAACATTTGATAAATGTTGCAGATAGTCTCTTTTTTTGCTTAAATATTTCAGGTCATTTTATGAATAATATGTCATCAACTGACATTTTCTGAAGGCTGCAGTAATTAAAGCCGAAATCCTATGATTCATTTAACTGAAAAGGGTAGCAAAAAAATTTCAACTTCAACTAATTTAAACATCCCTGTTCTTCTTGTTGGAACTAATTAGAGTTTTCTATATAGCACTTGTTTTTCCCCACATGCAGTCATTTAAAACACAAAAGTGGAAATAATTTCACAGAATCAGCATACTGATATTGTGATTTAATTTTCATTTAGCATGAAACATGTTTGTAAATGTAGTGCCCTAATAGGGTTACAGGGTCTTGAAATCAAACATTCTGGTACTTGGATGGGGCCTGTGTTATATGGAATGTAAAGAGTTAAAAGGTAACTGGCTGCAACATTTGCTCCTCCTGTGATTCAGCGAGTAGGATTTATGGTATGTTTGTGTGTGTTTTTAGCTCTCTACCTGTTCAGTTCTATGTAAGCTGGACTCAGAACTAGTCCTGTTTATTGTTCGCTTCATAAAGTGACTGTCTTTCTGTCCCCTTGGAGTCTGTTGTAGTGCATGGTTAATAGGTAGGTATGCAACTGCATGAGTAGATACATAAAGAGGGACACAGTTAAGAATATTTTGTGGTGCCTGTTCTCTACTGAAATCCCAGCTCAAGGGTTATGCCAGAAATACAGTTTCCAAGAAGCTGGTGTGTCAGAACAATGTGCACCACAACTGGAGAAAATGGAAGCAGAGCTCTGAAGTATAAAGCTTTTCTGGTGAAACAGATATAAAGGACAACAGGTTCCAAACTGCCCTATTTCTGCATGTTGTTAGAGAAGAGGCTAGGGAGGGTGTCAGAATGAGATTTATGATGGACACAAGGGAAAAGCATTAATCTCAGTGTCACAGATTTAAAGATTCTTGCCCTGCGATGAGAGGGCACTTTCATAGGAGACTGCTAAGCTTGCCCTCATGTTTGAGCACATATCCAGCATAACAATGAAAGCTATTCCTAAAAAAAGCACAAGCCTTTATTAATTCTTTTGTAAATGCATGCTAGTGTGAAAGTGATTCATAAGGATTTTATTCTGGTAGCAGTCAAAAGTGAGACATTTAGCAGCTGGAAGACATTTGCAGGGTTTCCTTGCAGCAATGGTGTTCTTGAGTTTGGAATACTGCCTTGGCTAAAAACTTAACACATAACAATAGATTAGGTAGGGGGTACACACACACACACACACACACACACAGGTGTGTGTGTGAGAGAGAGAGAGAGAGAGTGAGTGAGAGAGAGAGAGAGAATCTTTGAGTATTTAGGAAATTAAATTATGTATACATTTTTAACTGGGAAAATATTCTTTGAAAAAGAATCAAGTATTTCCATAAAGATGTCTTTTAAAAGCAATTCAAGAGGATGACCAAAAGTTGAAATTGCTGTCATCTGACTGTTAAAATGCTGCATAAATATCTTGACAATGTTTAAGTAAATACTCAAGTTGTCCCACTTTTGTTATTTTTACAGATTGAAAAATTTGCCTATCACTTTTACAAAACTTAAAGAACTTGCAGCTTTGTGGCTTTCAGACAACCAGGTAAAGATTTTAATGTCTGTTCTCATTTTAACAGCTAAATAAAAGGGCAGAAAGCTCAGCTGTATTTGTATTTGTAAAATATTTATGGTGAACTTAAAAGTGTTTAAACCTGTTAAAGTAGATGATGCTTTCTGGTGGTGGTGGGGAATAAAAATTATGAGTATAATGCAAAATTGTTCATAGCATCTCAAGTTCTGCTTCCTTCAAGTTCATCCGTATCATCAGATCTCCCAGCAAACCCCCAAATATTTTGAAGCACCAAGCAGTGCTAGCCCTACTGTTAGGCAGAGTGCAGTGACATGGGGAAGCAGTGAGATGTTGGGCGGCAAGAATTTACTAGTTCAAATAGCAACTTTTTAATGTATTTATTTCCTTCTGTACAATGTGATGGGTGTTTCACAAGGGAGGGTGCTTAAGCCCAAGACCTGTTGAGTCTAACCATCTGTCGGTGATGGGGAACCTCTGATCCACAGGCCTAATTTTGGTCTAGCCATACCCACCTGCCATCACATACAATGTGGGGTATTTGGCAGTTAAAGATATGCCTGGGCAGAAAGGGATTTTGCAGACAGTGACTCTCAGCTGATCACCGGTGCCAACAAAGCCCTAAATGTTGTAAGCGACAAACATCAGTAGAGTATCAAGGCTTGCAAAGTACTATGCTTTTCCCTGCAGAGTTTGATTTCATTCTGACACCAGGTGTTTCAGAGGTTGGCAGCCCTTTCCAACTGTCAGACGTGACCCATAGAAGGTTGGGGAAAGTAAGGTTCTGCCCCACTGGCTGGATCCAGTTCTCCATCCTTGTCGTATAAAAGGAGGATGGAGTCTTCTATCTATGATAGAACTGTGGCATTGTAGAGATGTTACAGGAAGGACAATGTTTATGTAAATGTAAAACAGATAATCAGTATACAGGCTTCTGGATCATACTCTTAATTTTAAGGATACCGCAATTTCTTCTTTAGGACAAAAGGGTGGTAGCATATAGAACAGTATCTAAGTAATAAGAAAACAGCACAGCACCATCTGTTAGTTGGAGCTGCTATTTCCTAATCATTACAATGCAATTTAATACCTAGAAATTACCGTATTTTTCGCTCTATAACACGCACCTGACCATAACACGCACATCGTTTTTAGAGGAGGAAAACAAGGAAAAAAATTCTGAATGAAACAGTGGATGTATCATTTTTGTGCTTCATGCTGTGGCCACAGACATGTGATCTGATGGTGAATTTGGGGTAGCTCAATGCAAAGATCCTGAGGATCCATGTGGATCCATGCTTTTTAACCAAATTTTTGCACCATTGCTGCCCCAGGCAACAGTGGGTGTGTGATTTTTGGGGGGCAGGCTGCTATGTGATCTGATGGTGAATTTGGGGTGGCCCAATGCAAAGATCCTGAGGATCCATGTGGATCCATGCTTTGTAACTACATTTTAAGTGGGGAGTGAAGGAAAAACACAGAAGGGACAAGAGAGCGGTGTGCAGAGAAGCAGCTGGCTAAGAAAGCAGGAGAGAGATTTTACGGGAGGGAGGAAAGAAAGGCAAAAGTTTCCACAAACCGAAGCCAGCTTTCTCTCTCCTCCTGCATGTTTTCTGGCTGCCTGCGAGGAGCACGGAGAGGAATTAGAAGGAAAGACCTCTGCTTTCCCCTCTGCTTGCCTGGAGGGGAGGGGATTTGCCTGCTCTTTGTTCCATTTGAGCAAACACAGCAAGGAAACAGAGGAGGGTGGGCAGTAAGACCCTGAGGCAGAATGCAGGAAAGCAACCACTTCCTCTTTTCAGGTTTCCCTCTCCGACACAACGCACGGTTGATTTTTGCTGATTTTTGTTCCTGCGCTCCCCTAATCGGCTCCAGGGACCCCCCCCCCCACACATTCGCTCCATAACACGCACAGACATTTCCCCTTCCTTTTTAGGAGAAAAAATCTGCGTGTAATAGAGAGAAAAATATGGTATGTAGTTAGTATTGTTTTGATCAAGAATGTTAATTACAATGCTCATTGTAATGGGACACTATTTGTTAGTGTGCATGATAATTTTAGATGCCATCCTTTTGGAGTTATTGTAATGTTGTTTGCTTTAAATTTGCAGTCCAAGGCCCTTATCCCTCTTCAGACTGAGGCACATCCAGAAACAAAGCAAAGAGTGCTGACCAACTACATGTTTCCTCAGCAACCTCGTGGTGATGAAGGTACTTATCAAAAAAAAGGAAAGCTATTCAGTAAATAATCAATGTTGACTTAAGTATCCTAAACAATTATTCTATAGATAGTTGTTGTTTTACAATACAAACCACTCCCTTCCCCACTTTTAACTTTCATTTTTGATAAACCATAGCAATGAAAGCTAGTGCCTGATTTGGCAGGGCTGCTAGGAATTCATGGGGGCATGGCCAATGAGTGGTCACTGGACTGTGGCCAAGTTATTCTGGTTTTCTCACCAACCTCCTCCCTTGCTGTGGATACTTAGGCATTGCAGTTTTACAAACAGCACCTAATACAATTGAAAAGCGTCAGAAGGCATCCCTGCTGTCACAGTTGCTTTCTTCTTAAAGATAGGTTGTGTGGTCCCCACCTGTTCTGGTTGTCTCCCTGTCCTCCCATGAAAAAGGACTGTTAACAATATATTTACAAACTGTGGGAAAAGATTGTTCCCCTTCCCCAGTTTATTAAGTTCTACATCTTTTCCCGCCAGAATGTGAAATAAGGTAAAGGGATATTAAGTAGACTAGGACCTGGGAGACCAGGATTAAACTCAGCCACAAAACTCACTGTGTGTATCTCAGCCTAACCCACCTCACAGGGTTGTAGTGAGGGTAACATGGGGAAAAGAAGACCCATGAATACCACCTTGAGCTTCAAATAAAAATGCTACCTCCTGCCTGCCTATCCCTGATTTTGAATTTGGGGGATAGGCTTTGGATAATGGACACAATTCAGGGCTACAAACATTTGACTTGTAGGTCCTCAGCAAATCCAATATGTGACAACTGTCTGTTGGAACTGTGCTCCTGTACAACATATAGACTCTGCACACTGAGTTCTCATCTGCAGCGTCCTACTTTTTAAATAGCATTTTAAATTTGTTTTACAGTATTTTTATCCTCACAACGACATGGTTGCTTTGATCATAGTTCAACAAAAAGAACGGTACTAGCCCCTTGAAGACTAACACATTTATTATGGCACAAGTTTTCATGTCAGTTTCATCATTATTGGTAATCCATGAAAGTAATAATACATTTGCTAGCCTTTAAAGTACTACTGGACTGTAGTTTTGTTTCTGCTGGCCCTTTGTTTGAAAGTGTACCAGAGTAATATACCCCATGCCATACAACGAGCCTGTGACAGAAAATGGGTGGTGGTCTTCTGGTGGGCTAGCTTTAAAAAAAATGGTAAAGAAAAGGCCAATAATTCTTGGTAATCAATCAAAGTTTCATTTCTGCTGTAAACCATTGTGGTTAGAAGTTAGAAACTGGCTCTGGATTGCCGGAACATCATATCAAATGAATTTGCTGAACTTTAGGCAAGTTGGTAGCTGGGAAAGGATGTATGTTTGCATGGACAAAAATCAAGAGTGACCTTAGCTCGCAGCCCCAAGCATGCTCATACTGGGCTAACTTGAGGCCTACATGCTTTTGACTATTTGCACCCACAGAGGTTATTTGGTTGTTTAAGTTGATATTGTGCGTAAAGTTTTATTACTAGGTATCTTTTGATTATGACGTTAATTTCTACTCTAATTAGATTTCCAGTCTGACAGCGATAGTTTTAATCCTACTCTATGGGAGGAGCAAAGACAGCAACGTATGACTGTTGCCTTTGAATTCGAAGAAAAAAAAGAAGAGGAGGAAAATGCAGGAAAAGTTAAGGTAACTAGGATTACCATCCTTGGTTTTTTTTGTAGTAAATAAGTAGGTGGTTGTTAAGTGTGTGTTTAACCAATCTAGACATGAGTAAGGCTGCAATCCTATACTCACCTATCTGAAAATAAGTCCCATTGAACTCAGTGGTGCTTACTTCGACATGCAATGGATTGCACTGCAAATCTCTTTAAGAATTTGACTGTGTTTCCTACTACCATGATTGGACCTTCAATTGCTGGCTAGGGCACATGAAATTTCCAGATGCACTGTTAAAATCTCATATTCTACAGTTGTCAATTAGAAAGTCCTCCTTGATGGGCTCATTTAAGTGCAGTCCAGAAGTTTGCTCTTGCCTTTAAAAGTCAACCTGCTGATACGCATATTTTCTTGATGTCCTTACTTCTCTTGATATTTGCCATAATGTCCCCTTAAAGCATGTGACATTTAGAACTAAAGGGATTGGCACTTTTACAAATATATAGAGAGACTAAGAATTAGATATTGCCTCACTGCAAATCTTGTTTTGCAGAACAGAAATGAAACTGATAGAAGTGAATCTTGCTGTGCTGTTTATGAGACACAATTACCAGAAGGATAACAATGTGTGATCAATAGAAACTGATGGCTTAGGCTCACAAAGACCATTTCTAATTCGCTAACTCAGAACTGTCACATCAGATGAAAAAACAGCCTTTTAAGCAGATATTTCTGTTCTGTATAAAATTGAGGGAGAGAAATAGGTTAGATTCCTTTATAAAAGCCAAGTGTAATGTGAAATGGCAGTTGCACAGGGGGGAAATATTGTAGGAGTCAAGTTAATTAACAAGTCCTGACGTAAATATCTTCTTTCAGAAGTTTAAACAAGGCACAAAAGACTTTATAAGACACAAAAATGGCTGATCTATTGCTCACCAGATTGCTATATTTAGTCCCAAGTAATCATTCCACAGCCACCAAAATTTCAACACCTTGAATATTACATTTCAGTGACAGCTGAAATTGTCACCTTAGTACAAGAGATGTTTTTTCTTGAATTTCTGTCTCCTGCACAAAAAAACTTCGCAGTCTCAGTGTTCATATGCATTTGTTCTTTCAAAACCAATGAAAGGATTCATAAGCCCATAATATAACAAACATGAAGACCACTTAGTGGGCATTCAGCTCTATCTTTTCAATAGTATCTTCAGTGCTCACTAGAAGTATTACTTAGGTTTCCAGCCTACAAAGACAGCCCATATAGCATGCATTTTACACAATATTCTATAATACAGAAAGTATTTTCTGATCTTTATATTAAAAATATGCCCAATCTGCTCCTCATTCAGAACGGGGGTTGGCCTTGACATGATGATTATATTCTAGCAAGCAAGTGCCCCTGATGTGTGTCCAGACCAAGTACTTCCAGCAGGTGTTTTGTAAAAGCATTGCCTTGATGTTTGGGGGCAAATATGTTTTACTTTCAAATGAGATTAACCGAGGTCAAGAGTCACATCTATCAGTCAAATCATTTGTTTTTGGAACAAGACTTGAAATTGACGTCAGTTGCCAGGAATAAAGAAAAATCAGACCTGTCTTTCTTGAGCTCTTACTCTATTTCCCTCTTTTATCCTACAGATATCTGAGGGGGGGGGGGACTGCCTTACTCTTCATATAATCCTCAAACAAAAATAATACTTTATTAAAATGACAAGTAAGATTGGGTTGTATCCAGCGGCGTCCCTCTGCTGAAAGAAGGTTCTTTGATCCAGTTGAGGTGTCTGTGAGCCAAAGGGAAGGAAGTGTTTTCCATAGACTCCCCCTTTCTTCTGCAGTCCCCTTAACTACTTACATAACTGTTCCAAAGGATTTCCTGTTGAACAAATTTGGGGGAGCTGCACAGAGAAGGGAATGAGCTAAAATCGCCTTTACCACTTTCCACTAACATGAGCTTCTGCTGGATCAAAAAGCATACTGTCGCAAAAATGAGCAATGTATGTATGGACGCAGTGGGATATTAATCCATTGTATCTGACTTTTTGTGGATATCCCTTTAAAAAGTAACATATATAAAACTTTTTTTAGCAAATAGAAAGCAACACGAAAACTGTACTGGTAGCTCTCTAGGACACACACACTTATGAGGGTACTAAGAGTACATTTTTGTACAGGAGAATGGCAAAAGATGTTTTAAAGCAGTGAAGAGGCTAAGTAGTTCCATGTTAAGCCATAGCCTGCGTTATTTCACTTCCCATAGATCTTCACATGACAATCAACATTTCCTATACTTCTAATGTTATATAATTGAAAATCAAAACACAGTCATTTCCAGTAATGTTGCCTTTATGCCTGAAAGGTTTGAACCTTGTACAATGAGACTGTACAATTAAATGACATCTGTATAAATGCCAGTAAATAATGCTTTTTAATGGCTTTGTTCATTTCAGCTTCCGTTTTCATTTTAGTAAACAATTAAAAAAAGAAACCTGTATATAAAAATATGGTTCTGTCTAATGCTGAGTGAGCAGAAAACAGCTCATACAATGCCTCTTTCCTGCAGCCCTGTACTCCTTCACAATGTTTCTCTAGTAGGTCCTGAGCGGTGTGGGCTGTATCATGTGGGGCTATAGTAGTAGGGGAAAATCACACAAAACCAGGAAGAAGAATCTTGTACCAACAGCATGCAAGATTCCTCTGCCTGATTTGGTGTGTTTTCCCACTTCTTCTGTAGTCTCCTGCAGCACACAGTGCAGGAGGGCTCTTGACCTTCTCAAGGGGCTTTTGTGTCAAGGGTCCAGGTAGCTGCAGTGGGCAATTTCGCCAGGTATCCTTTTGCTTAAAAATAAGATAAACTGGGTTTCAAAACTTTTGATGTCATGCTAGACAGGTGAACTTATGTTCAGCTCATCACAGTTTTTTGATTCATAGGATAAAGATAAGCATGTTTCTGAATGGTGGTAAAAAAGATTAATTTTATCATTTTTTGTTAATTCACAAACTAGTAAAGTGATCTATTTGCCTGCGTCGGGCTAGATAATATTTTGCACTCAAGAGTTGCATGTGGCAGTGGTCAGGGGATGCGTAGCAGTAATAAGTGGGCCTGAAAGTGGTAGCTGTAGGCAGGATCTGGGCTTCTTTCTTTCTTTCTTTCTTTCTTCTCTCTCTCTCTCTCTCTCTCTCTCTCTCTCTCTCTCTCTCTCTCTCTTACACACACACACACACACACACACACACAAATGTACATACGTACATACAGGTGCATATACAATACCCACTTTCCCCCCAAAATAAAGATGAAAATCCACAGGAGTGCTGTCAATAATATCAGTGTAAAACCAATTTTAATGTATTAAATAGATTTTTAAAAGTCACACTGGTGCTAGACCTTTACAGTACTAAACATATTTAAAAGAAATCATGTTAAATGTTTCTGTTACATTATTCTGCTTATATTAATTATATTTATTCTATGTTAAAACATAATCAAATGGTTACAGATCAGTTCAATACCTGGGTGTTTGGAGATGATTCTCATATGTTTATCCAGTAAACATGCAAGTAATATTGGGACTCACAGTGTTTAAAGCGCATACAAAATTTCTTTGACATCATGGCTATCTGTGCATTGCAATATCAACTGCAGGCACCTGTCTGTTTGGCTGATATGAAGACATTTCCAGAGTGGTGAAATAATCCTTAATATTAAGGGCACAGTTTCAATGAAATGTGTGCCCTGTGATTGGTTGGTTGCATATTCATCTAAGTTTCATAGGATTTGGTTTGTAATTTTATGTTATTTAAAATTATACATTTGGTAATAGTTCTTAATATTCATAATAACTTTATTCTGATGAGTCTTGTGAAATTTGATTTTGGTCAAGTGTATCATTGTTTGCTGAAATGAATTTGACAGTAGAAATTAAAAAAGAAATTCTTCTATCCAGGAATATTGCACTTTGGAAGGTTTTTATCCCCAGCGGCATGCTACTTCTGAGGTAACTTTAAATGTGAAACATAAAAGACCATGAATAGAAAGGGAGTCTAGACTTCATTGGTAATTATCATTTTTAATATCAACTATGGGATTTTCTTCACCCTAATTCTATCTAGCACATCTGCGAGTATGTTTAATAGTGAAAGTTAATATTTACCTAAGATAAATTAACTTTACTCAAATTTCCTTACATAGTTAATTAGTTACACTGTATTCTTAGCAACCTTTGCAGTGCATGTAGTATTTGATTTACATCCCAGTTATTGTTAAGGTTATGTGTAAATCTTACGTATACCATGGCCCAGGTCATGTAGAAAAGCAAGTGATTAAGTTAGACCAGCAGCAATTACATTCTTTCAACTGTAAGGCAATTAGAACAATAGCAGTACTTTATTCCACACATCACTTAGTTAGTTTTCTTACTGGAGCTGTACATTTCCTTGTAACATAATATTTCACATTTGCTATTGAGATCCATGTTTGGATGTGCTTGTCTGTAATGCATACTTTATTATATTTCAACGCTCAGTGCAAGTTGCTACCATAGTTTGTTCTCTTCACATCAGTCAAGCTTTTTGAATGGTTGCCTATTAACTTGTGTCTGCATTTGAACCTTGGCTTTACATGCAATTTTTTCCTTTGTAGTAAAAATTATATCACACTTTTGTACAAATACACATCCATTAAATGAGGTGGGGGGCCCTCAATTTTTATTGAATGCAATCCATTAAAATTGAAACGTACTCAAGTCCTATTGATTTTAGAAGGATTTAGGAACATCTAATCTTTTTTGGATTGCTCACAGTCTTTTCAAATAAGCTATCACACTGTTGTTTTATAAATCCAGAATGACTTCCCATATGCAAGTGAAGTTCTAGATTCTACCTGAGCCATTAAAGTGATATTTAGCAGTCTGAATATCAAGGTGTAATTTCAGTCCAAGTATTATTGCATTATACAGTTCTAGGCAAGTGGGAAGGAAATTACATTCAGTCACCAATGGATTTTATTCTGCATTCACCATATTGTAAATGACATAGGCTTTAGCATTTCAAAGGCACAGTTTTATGTTAACATTGTCTCAAATGCCTAAATTCACTGTCTCTGTGTTTTCTGTTTTGTATAGCCTTGATAATCAAAACTAGAAGTTTAATAATGGTTTTTGTTTCCTATTTGTGGTTTTAATTTATTTTGTTAAACAACTGCTCAGGTTGAAATAAACTTAAAGCGCTATCCAACTCCATACCCAGAAGATTTAAAGAATATGGTGAAATCTGTTCAAAATCTGGTGGGTAAACCTAGCCATGGAATGAGGCCTGAGAATGCAACACCAACCGTCAGTGCAGAACAAGCTGTGAAAGACAAATATGAGCACAAGTGGCCAATGACAGCAAAGGATATATCCGTGGAGGTAACATGACAGTGTTATTTAAACAAACGGGAGCTTATTTTAAGATCAGTACAATATAGATCTCTTTATTCAGAGGGTTGTGTGTAAGCAGAAGTAGGCCGATCTATAACCCCTTTCCTTCCCTCTTACCCCCCTATTAGATATAATTTGCTTCACCTTTCAGTGCTGCCCTTCTGGTTTTCTTTTTTTTTATTATTGGGCCAAATATCATGTAGTTCTCATACTACACAGAACAAAACGGGTATTGCCAGCATTGCATGACACAGAAATTGTCAGGCCTCAGCAGGGTCTGCTGTTGATTGTCAGGTACCAAGGCTGGGGCATGGCCCAAACAGGCAAGGCTGAGGTCAGATCAATCAAATGCCTGGTGCTCCTTGCTGCAGCGCACTCTAAATGCAAATACAGGAGATTCCCCTGGGAGCAATGAGAACTGATGACACCCTATCTCAGGGGGAATTGTACAGGAAGAACATGGCTTCCTGCCTGTAAACATCAAGTCCTCTCACTCTTAGGTAAACTGGCTGTATTTGCATTCAAAGCACGCAGTGGCAAGAAGCCGCTTGCACTACCCGCTCCAGGCTGTGGGCAGGTAGATGCCTTATTTTTAAAAGTCTAAAATACTTTTTAAACTTTTTGTTATTTTTTAAAAATGCGCATTTCCATGTGGATTTTTAGTCATTTCTCAGGAATAGGGCAGATCAACCTTGGTTCCCTCCCCAAGCACAATTGGGACAGACCAGAATGTAATGAGTCCATCCATGGATGGCCACAGGATTTCCTAGACCCGATACACTGTGTGCTTTGGGTCCCTTGAATCTCCCCACAATCTCTTGATAAGAACTGCTGTTTATGTGCCTATATTAACTTTACCAAGCCTACCACACGGAACTGTTTCAGATATAAAAGGGGAAGGGGAGGCCTGAAATTGGTAGCAGAGTAAGGTGGCAGAAAACTATCAAGAAAAGCAGGTAGTTATCGGGGTTTTTTTTAAAAAAAATACTCTACCACCAACAGTACATTTGTCCAGGGCAAAATAGCTGTGAGCACAAAGCACAGAGTTAAGCTTCTACCCACCTAAGATCAGACAGGCATCTACTAGTTCAAGCAGAACTCATCTCACAGGCTTGGTGTTTCTAGATTATTAGGAAAGTAGGCACCATTTGTTATTTTACCCTACTCAGGGTGTGTGATTTCATGCTTGGTGAGTCCGCAAAACAGGCTTAAGAGCCACACCTTGAGAGTTTCTTCTGCCTTCATCCACAAGGTGGAGCCCAAGCCACTGACCCTATGCAGGCAGTGTCAATATGAGTACCAATTGTACTTTTTAAAACAGCATTCTATGACATTTAAAGTCACATTTGCCTGGTCAGCATTTGTGCTTGAAAGCTTTATAATTCCATGCTCCTGATAAAATTTCATCATTAAAGTATCACTTGCTGGGCTATCTTTTTATAATATTCCACAATATTATTGCATTTTACAGGACCCATATGTACATGCTGTGAATGATATGAGGATAGGGGAACTTCGTCCCTCCATGACTGAAGCACCATTGTACCAACCTAAACTTGTCCTATTGGGTAAAGAGAAAAAAGGTACCAAGTCACTTTATAGATACTGAACGTGACAAACAATGAAAAATGCAGCAGAAAAATGTGCTCAACACTGTATTCTCTTTTTTACACTTAGCCAGAATCAAATTGGAAATTATATTTAATATGCAAAGCCAGTCGATTTAGATACACAGCTATCTATATTTCTCTCCTACCCCTTTTCCTTAGACTAATAGCAACTTTAAATGGTATGAAAAGGTCAGGCCCCAGGTTCCTGAGGGCCTTGGACACAGAGTACCACTGGGCCTCTTGTCCCCTCCCTTACCTCCTCAAACTACGCTCCCTTCCATTCTTGGTCCCACCCCATACCTTTTCTGTCTGCTTGCTTACATTCGCATATTGCAATATTTCTGTCGTCGTCCTTTTTGCCTCAGCTTCTATTTCCTGGTATTGCTTTTTTGTTTCCCTCTCATCTTCCTTTTCATTTTGATCACTTTCTTCTCCCATGTATCACATTCTCTGTCACTTTAATGCACCTCTCTGTGACTGTGCCTGGGGAACTGAGTCTCTTCTCCCTTCCCTGCATTCCCGCCCCCCCCCCCGCACCCGCAACCCTCTGTGGATGCCTTTCCGCCCCTCCCTTAAAACTGCCTATCTGCCTTCTCCTGTGTCAACTTGCCACGTATGTAATGTACAGAAAAGAAATCTAAAATAGTTTCAGTACTCTCAGAACGTAATATAGGCAGCAGTTGTTCTAAGCCCTCTTAATTTGGATAAAACCCCATTTAAATGAATGGCTCTTCCTTCTAAGCAAGAATTATGAGCAAATGGTGGGCAGGTAAGCAGCCTACTAAGTGAACAAGCCCCTCAGACCATCTGGACTGTGGGTCAGTGCCTCACTTGGGCCACCCCTAGTATTGGGCATGGGTATGAAGGTGATGAAATCCTTCCTAATCACTGCTGCTCTGACAAAACTCCCTGTGCCTGTTTTTTTTAAAAAATAAATACTGGCAAATCTCCCATGTCACATTTGGTTTGGCCCTGAGTGTTGGATATAGTGTCTAAATAAGGCTATATATGTCATTAAAAATAAATACTAAATTATTATGTTCAGCAGTAGCCAAAAATGGGGGTGGGGTGTTCAAGACAGCAGCAGTTTGGTCAGGTCCTTAAGTGTAGGAAAGGTGAAAATGGATCTTTTAAAAATACAAAAAATAAAAATAAAAATGTTCCATCTCACAAGGCACAATGTTTATAAGTAAAGTAATACACCGGCCAATAATTGTAGATTGATACAGTCAGATGTTACAGCATCTTGGCTGAAGATGGCTGAGAAAGGGAGGTGGTAAAAAAAAGGTAAAGGTACCCCTGCCCGTACGAGCCAGTCTTGACAGACTCTGGGGTTGTGCGCCCATCTCGCTTAAGAGTCCGGGGGCCAGCGCTGTCCGAAGACACTTCCGGGTCACGTGGCCAGCGTGACAAAGCTGCATCTGGCGAGCCAGCGCAGCACACGGAACACCGTTTACCTTCCCACCAGTAAGCGGTCCCTATTTATCTACTTGCACCCGGGGGTGCTTTCGAACTGCTAGGTTGGCAGGCGCTGGGACCGAACAACGGGAGCGCACCCCGCCGCGGGGATTCGAACCGCCGACCTTTCGATCGGCAAGCCCTAGGCGCCGAGGCTTTTACCCACAGCGCCACCTGCGTCTGTCTTAGGTGTCTTTGAACATCCCAGGGATAAGTTCATGGCCGGCTATATTTGTATGATATAGAAGTGGAAATCACATTTCCAAGCTAATTACAGTAGTTGTTGTATATATGTCTCTGTGTTCAATCTTCTGTTCAACTATTAATTTCATATTTCTTTCTGTGCTTGTTTTAGAATCAACAGATGAATCTGAAGCAGATAAAGTTCACTGCATGAATAACAGTGTTTCTTCAGGCACCTATTCAGACTATTCACCTTCACAGGCATCTTCAGGGTCTTCTAACGCTCGTGTTAAAATGGGGTCCTTGCAGACTACAGCTAAAGATGCAGTGAATAATTCTTTGTGGGGTAACAGGTGTGTTTACTTTGTAGACCCCAGTTGAAACACTGGATCTGACCATAAAGGCATCTCAGGCAGCCAAAAGTACAAAGAGCTTAAATAAAAGATGGTGATGGTGATGATGATATCAACCCTCATATTAAAACAAAAACAGACAGGAACGTCACTAGGGCCAGACTAGCAGGAGCAGCAGCATGATTGAGATGCCTTTGTTTTTTCTTTGAACTAGCAGTGCTTCCTAGGACACCTTTTGTGACTATGTGACATCATGTCTCAGGAAGTACTGCTAGGCTGGGAGCTGGTATTCTACAAGTGTACACAAGACTTCTAAGAAGTCTGGCATTGCATACAGTTGGAGAAAACCTGCTGCACTTGGAACAACATCACACTGGCACTACTGCAAATAAGTGAAGCGTTGTGCAAAAAAAGGTAAGTGTTGCAGCATCCCTGCCCCCTCAACAGCAGGAGAGGGAGAAGAGCAGAGCATCCAGAGCAGAGTAAGTTCTCCCCCACAACTAGGCACCTCTGCAGAAAGGCCCATGTTTGTAGGCAAGAGGAAGGGCACCTTTTTCCATGTCAAGGCCCAGAGGAATTATGCCTTAGGGGTAGAAATTACTCTTGCAACTTCTACCCAAAATTCAGGTCTATCTGCAAACTTTCAGAGTAGATTACAGAGTAGATTACAGTTCACCCATCTTACCCATTTTTCAGCTGACGAGAATGAAAGAGGTACAAAATGATTACGTGTCATCAAGGTTTTCTGTGCTGTCTACATTTACTCCATTGCATACAGAATCCTATATAAGCAACTTTGTCCCACCTTAGATACAGACTCAGTTTCCAAAGAGACTTTCACTTTGCTTGCAGGCTCAATGTTATGTGCTTATTATCTGTCACTAGCATAGAGATTTTTATACCAGAGTTTTTTTGGGAGGCAGATTTTTAGATTTATGCAAAGCCATTTTCATATACATATAAATTGTGATATTTCTCTTTTTGTGTGCTTTCTCTTTGTTCCCACTCCAAACAAGCTAAAGATTCCATTCATTCGTGGGTTAAACAAAACATGCAATAATAGTAATATATTTATTAGCATTTTATTCTGCTGTGATAGCTTCCTTATCTAATACCAATCTTTTCTTCTTGTTTTCTCCAGGCTTGTCCAATCTTTTCCTCAACCTCTTGAAACAAAGCCATTGCTCAGTCAACGGGAGTCTGCTCCAGCAGGAAACTTACAACAACATAATGAGAGGCGTCCAATGAGTGACACCTTTGCTGACAGCTGGAATGATGGCTCTCACTATGATAACACGGGATTTGTAGCAGAAGAGAGCACGGTGGAGAATCCAAGCGCTAACCCCCTCTTAAGCTCTAAATCGAGAAGCACATCTGCTCACGGACGCAGGCCTTTAATTAGGCAAGACAGGATAGTTGGTATCCCCCTAGAACTTGAACAGCCTACTCTCAGAAATACACCTGAATCAGAAGTGCCTCCATCAAACCCTTGGCAGAACTGGACAAGAACCCCTAGCCCTTTTGAAGATAGGACAGCCTTTCCTTCTAAGCTGGAGAGCACCCCTACCACCAGCCCTTTACCTGAAAGGAAGGATCTTGTTAAAGATTCCGCGGAAATAGCTAGCACTTTTTCTCCAGGAACAGCGTGGGAGTATCATGAGTCAAATGCTAACAGAAGTCTTGGTAATGTGTTCTCGCATATTCACTGTCGCCCGGATCCTTCTAAAAACGTCATTTCTATCAGCAAGAGCACAGAGAGGCTTTCGCCAATGATGAGGGACTTGAAAACGAATAGGTTTAAGAAGTCACAAAGTATAGATGAGATAGACATTGGCGCATATAAAGTTTATAATATACCACTAGAGAACTATGCAGCTACTACGGACAATGCCGGTATGCATGAGAGGCCAGATAAAATGATGGGTCCAGAACATGGAATGTCTAGCATGTCCCGTAGCCAGTCTGTGCCAATGCTTGATGATGAGTTGCTGACCTATGGAAGTGTTAAGGTGCAGCAGCAGCAAAAGCCTTCTGTAACTAAAAAAGTGTACCAGTTTGACCAAAGTTTTAATCCTCAAGGATCAGTGGAAGTGAAAGCCGAAAAGAGGATTCCGCCACCTTTTCAACACACTCCAGAGTACATTCCCCAGCAGACTAAAACTGTCTCAAAGGATTTGGTTAGCCCAAGAGCCTACCGAGGGTATCCACCCATGGAGCACATGTTTTCATTCTCCCAGCCTTCTGTTAATGAGGAGACTGTCAACACTCAGTACTCAAGTCAGGGATCAAGGGCTGGGTTTTTGAGAAGAGCAGATTCATTGGCCAGTTCCACAGATATGTCAATGTATAGAAGAGTCAGTGAACCACACGAACTGCCTCAGAGCGATAGGTATAACAGACACCAGTATAGAGGACCCATGGAACGCCAAAGCAGCATGCAAGTGTCTGAATCCCAATTCCTCAAAAGAAATGGCAGGTATGAAGATGAACACCCTTCATATCAAGAAGTGAAAGCCCAATCTGGAAGTTTTCCAGTTAAAAACCTTACTCAAAGGAGGCCATTGTCTGCAAGAAGCTACAGTACAGAGAGTTATGGTACCTCCCAAACCAGGCCAGTTTCAGCTAGGCCTACAATGGCAGCTCTGTTGGAAAAGATACCATCAGACTATAACTTGGGTAACTATGGTGACAAGCCGTCAGATAACACTGATTTAAAGACAAGGCCTACCCCTGTGAAGGGAAATGAGAGCTGTGGTAAAATGCCCGCTGACTGGAGACAACAGCTACTTAGACATATAGAAGCTAGAAGGTTAGACAGGGTATGTTTGGCATTTCTCTGCAATTAATGCCTTTTAGTTTTTATATTTCTATATATATAAAAAAAATCTGCTTGCAGTGATTAATATGTTATCCAGTAATAATTCCTGGATTTGTGTTCTGAATTAATAAACCATGAAATGTATTTTGTTACAGTTTATACATAATGAGTTAGAATTAGGGTTGCTTTGGGGAGCATTGGAGAAGGTCTTCCCTGATATACTGTTGTTTTTTTATAATGCAAAAATGATAATCTCGGTCTTCTAGTAGTGGGTAATTTATGAAGCTTAAAGGAAATCACAAAAATAGTTTATAATTTAAATATACGTTTTATTTGCTAGCCTTTACAGTGCATAGGAAAAATATTAAAGACAAATTCCAAAGCAAAAGTATTGGAAATATTGACTTTGGCAGGCTTATAGTTAATGGGGATACTCCAAAACTCTACAGAACTCAATAGCACAATCTTCAGTGGCTGTGTTATGAATCAGTCCATGCCCTTGTGTGCACAAAGTCAGATATGCATGTGTGAACCATCTTCATGTACCAGAACTATTGGATCATGACACATATAATTAAGGATTTCTTTTAGAATATTTAGCCATTGATTAACAAATAAGCTACAATTACTTTTGTTCTGGTACCCCAAGTCTTAAATCTATGTAATTGGAAGTAAGTCAGTTGATTTACATTTAACTTGTTTCCAAGTGTGTTGGATAACGGGTTGAAATACGTAAAGCCCCAACAGAGACCAACTATAACTTATATTTTCTATGTTAGGAAGTGTTTGTCAATTAACATTTATTATTGGTAAATGTGCAGAGTAATTCATTGACATGAGACACAGTTTCCAAGGCGTGAAGAATTAAGAATGAGGTATTGTTTGAAATGGTGATAAGAAGTAAATGAATAAAACATCTTATAACTGATATATCCAGAAAGCGTTTGGAAGGAATTCTGAGAAAAACTACATACTACACGTAGTTCCATTATTTTCTTTTGAAAAAAGTCTAATATACTGTGCAGCCATTGAGGCTACAGTTTGAAGTGGAAGACTAGGACAGGAGGAAAAGGAGCTTCTTAACCTTTCCACTTTATTCCATTTGCACATCTCTCTCTCTCTCTCTCTCTCTCTCTCTCTCTCTCTCACACACACACACACACACACACACACACACACCCACACCCCAAAATGCAGGTACTCATGTTTTCCTCAGTGAAGGTAAAAGCAACTGGAGTGGGAACTTTTCAGTGGGAGAATAGTTTGAAAGGGGAAGGATTATGAAGCTGGTCTTCCATCTTAAATTGCAACCTTACTGCTGCCTTGTATAAATGGCTTGGGGGGGGGCTTAACAAGGAACTTAAACATTCACCCTGTTGGCTGTTTTTCTATTTGCATCACCTTGTACTCGTTAAATGCTGTGTGTCTCATACAGCCTTCCTCAGCCTCAGGAACCTGTTTGCCTTCAGTCAACTAGTATTGGAAATAAGATGAATTATGAAAGACCAATTCATGTATAATTTTAGTCCTACAGTTCACCAGATGCTTTCATAAAATAAGTGAAAATTGAGATTGCCAAATGTGGCTGTCAAAAATGCTGAAATCATCCTGGAAAATTGGAAGCCTATAGACCTTGTTCTCAGATTTGCTTTCACAAAATTACCCTTCCTTATACTCCCAGATATATATTGGTTTGTCATTCAGTGACTACAATAAGTGATTATATTTCAGAAATAACCATAATGGAGCAAAAATTGTAGACTGTTTCATATCTTTTGATATCATCATGTGTTTTTCAAAGAAGGTAATTCACAATTTAGCTGTGGCTCACTGAGAGCTGAACTATCCATTCAGTAATACAATTTATTTGTTTTTATTTATTTAAAGGGGGTTTGGAGAGCAGGCCAAATCAGTCTACCAAGCGCCAATGATGAACTGTCAGGTCTTGCAAAGCATTCTTGTATAGCTTTTTACAAGGTGCTTTGCAAGATCTGCTGATCAGATCATCATTGGGTCTTGTGAAGTCCTGTACACAGGGCTTTGTAGGTGCCACCAGTCAGCTGATCAGCAGTACCTGCAGACTCCCTTTGGGCTGAGGTCTTTGCCTGCCCCACACCTGATGTCATATAGAACAGTGAACCACTTAAACTAAAGAAAAGACAATTTCTTGGGCTTAGACCTGGCGGCGTTCTCAGATTTCACCACCCTGCTGTCGCCAGAGCCCACATAAACTTGTTGAAAATTACCGAGGCCTACAAGTTGTAGAATAGTGGCCTATGGAAGTGGAGTTTGGCATGATTGGCTGGCTGACATCACTTTTCTATTGATAGCTAAACCATCTTTGGAAATTGTTTAATTATTTACCATAGCATTTTCATTGTAGCAAGGAGTTCAATACCTCAGCTTCCCTCAAGCAAAATATAGACATTTGCTCTGGAAGTATTGCAACTCATCCTCTCCACTTTAGGCAGAGTTTGCCAATCAATCCAGAGGCTTTAAGTCTGACTCTAAGTGGAGAAGGCTTTTTATTTTATATTTTTCCTTTCCCACTTCTAAATGCCTCTCAGAGTATTTTTACTAATCTACAGTGGTACCCCGCAAGACGAACGCCTCGGAAGACGAAAAACTCGCTAGACGAAGGAGTTTTTCGTTTTCTTAGCCGCTTCGCAAGACGCATTTCCCTATGGGCTTGCTTTGCAAAACGAAGCTTGCCCCGCAAGCTCCGGGGATAGCGGGGAAGCGCAGCGCGTCTTCCTCGCTGTCCCCGGACCTCTTTTGAAGCAAGGGGCGGCGGGGAGAAGATCACTTCTCCCCGTTGCCAGCCCCGCAATCTCCGGGGACCCGGACCCCTTTTGAACCAAGGGGCGGCAACGGGGTGAAGCGATTATCCCCGCTGCCCCTTCCCTTGCTTTAAAACAGGTCCGCGCGCCTTCCCCTCTGTCCCCGGAGATTGCGGAGCAGGCAACGGGGAGAAGCAATCTTCTCCCCGCCACCCCTTGCTTTAAACCGGTCCGGGGACAGAGGGGAAGGCGCGCATGCCTTCCCCTCTGTCCCCGAAGATTGCGGGGCAGGCAACGGGGAGAAGCAATCTTCTCCCCGCTGCCCCTTGCTTTAAAACAGGTCCGGGGACAGAGGGGAAGGCGCGCGGCGCTTCCCCTCTGTCCCCGGACGGTCTCCATAGGAACGCATTGATTGATTTTCAATGCATTCCTATGGGAAACCGTGCTTCGCAAGACGAAAAACTCGCAAGAAGAAAAAACTTGCGGAATGAATGAATTTCGTCTTGCGAGGCACCACTGTATTGTAATTTCTTCCATTCTGCTGTCACACAAATCTATTCCCCTTCCCTTGAACCTGCCAGTTTCATTCTACCTTTCACCCTGGTCCTTTTATCTTCACTTCCTTCCATAACAACTTTATTCTCTTGTCCCTATCCTTTCCATTATCAGTTGGTTTATTTTTAATAATGAGTGTAAATATTAACCTTTTATCTCCCTTTCTAATTTCCTTCAGGACCTCCTCTGGCTGCTTCCCCTCAGAGGAGTGAGACCTCCCTTCTCTCTTCCCCACCCTCCCCAAACTTCTCCATCTCCTGGTCACCATTATTTAGCATGCAAGGAGTTGCTAGGGTTGGCATTGGTTCAATCAAAAGACAATGGCATGGCTGGGGGGTGGGGCCAGCAAGTGAGAAGGCGCTGGGCAGGCTGTGACACTGAGGTTCTCCTGAAAATGACCCATGGCCGTCTCTTGGGTCCCAGCCCCCTGTTTAAGAAAAACTGACTAGAGACTACAAAATCGCAGCAAGATAGATTTTAAAGCAAAGCTATTAGAATGAATGAATAAAAATTGCAGAAACACTAGATGAATGATAAACCAAATTATATTTATTCTGGTGTATCAGTTAAGATCTACAGAAATTTATTTAATTGGTTCAGTTTTGGAAATCATAAAAAATATGTATGAAAATTTTAGCCTGGCTTTCAGATACACTGATTACTAAAAAAAATACGACAATAAGCCTTCAGATCAAGAACAAAGCATTGCAAAGCATTCTCATTTCCTAAGGAGTGGTCCTGTTCAGGCTCTAACAAGCCTGGAACAAGAGTTTTGTGTTGCTGTTTGGAGTTCACAGGGGAAAGACAAGCGAAAAGGGTTACTTTATTTCTTCCTCACGTTTGTTAAAATCCTCTTTTGCTGCACTTGGGTTTGGTGCTGGTTTCTAGCCCTGAACCTGAATCCTTTAATGCTGTACAGTGGGCAGAGGGGTTTCTAGAATTTGGAAAAGGAAAAGGAAACTTAAGGTCTCCTTACACAAGCATACACATTTCTTTATTTTAAAAAACCAGAATTACTTCTTAAATACAAGTTTTCTGATATCCCAGATTTGTACAAAACAGCAGTTTTTCAAAAAGTGTGTCACTTCCAAGTCATGTGACAATTTGGAGTCTCTGGCATGAAAGGCTGCTGCTCTTCCTCACATTTTCTTTCCCAACCTCCTGTGCCTGCAAAGGCAAATTTTATAAGAGCTGTTTCAAAATATATATTTCTTAAAAAATTACTGGGATACTGGGAACCAACATCCTTTCCTGTCGGCTGACAGAAGCAAAATAGGAGTAGGGGGAGTGGCAAAAGAGGGCATCACAGAAACATCGTGGAAACCTGCCCATGCCGTGGGCTCCCTGGCATTAGTGGCTTCCGTAAATCACTGAGCATTCATAAGAGTCAAGCTTAGTGCATTGATTATTGTGATTGCTTTCAGGCTGACACTTTAGAGATCCGTGTACTACTACATTTGCATGGACAGGTGAAGCACAGATGTTTCAGATGTACTTCCACAGCTATGCTCACTATGGGTGGAATTCAACATTGCACCAAGGGGAGTGTCCCATCAGCACTGTTCTCTGACCAACCCAGAGCCAATTTCAGGAGGTGCAGGGAGAGGAGATGGGGGACAGCCCCATGGCACAAGCAGAAGCCCTCATACAGGCTTGCACTGATGGGACATGTTGGGTGAATAATGCCCAGTGCATTATACTTTTTATATTGCTTTTTTTTTTGTATATATATAATCCAGAATAATTTATTCATGAAGATCATTTGCTGACTGATCTTTTTAATCACACTGTATATAGTGCAAGTAGTTCTTTTGCAGTGTAAATTCAAAATAGGTATACATCCACTACAATATATTGGAGCAGCTCTTCATAGCAGTTATTTTGATTGGTTCTTTGTGAAACTAACCATAGCAAGCCAGATGTTTCTATCGTTCAGCAACTAACAGATGTGAAAAACTCTTTTTTTTTTTACCATTTTCCTTGACTCTTTAAAACCTTATTCCAGAAATGTCTTACATTTTTAAGAAGCGTATTATAGAGAGTAGAATCTCTTCTACCCAATTTATTACTTGCAGAAAAGAAATGCATATTTTATCATCAGTTTGTAGAAAATCTCTGGATAATACCCACTTCTGCATGAAATAAATTACTATAGCTTTGTATTAAAAACAGTGGCTCAGTTAGTAGAGCATGAAACTTTTAATTTCAGAGTCGTGGGTTCAAGCCCACACTGGGCAAAAGATTCCTGCATTGCAGGGAGTTGGGCCAGGTGACCCTCATGGTCCCTTCCAACTCTACAATTCTATGATTCTGTGAAGATGGAAATATATCTTGTTTGATTTTTTGTCAATGTCTTTTTATGGTAATCATTTTATGTACAACTAGCACTCGATGTGCTTCTGTCTGACTCAGTGCATGCATAAAAAGCTACTTATTTCTTGGTATTGTTTGTTTGCTTAAGATGAGACCATGTGAAGTTAGTCATATATGTGCAGTACTTTCTCTTAATGAGCATGCGTGTTCATATCCTGTCACGTGGTTGTTATTTCCTCTACTCAGACTGCTGCTTATAAGCACAACACTGTTAACCTTGGCATGCTGCGCTCTGGAGGTTTGTCAGCAATGCATGCGGGCAGAAGCATGACATTAAACTTGCAGACTAAATCTAAATTTGAAAACCAAATGCCTCAAGAGCTACCTCTACCGAAAGTAAGTATGAGATAGCCTGCATATATCAGACAAAACACAGTAATATTTTTTCATGCCCTCCTTCCTCTTCCTTTTTAGCATTTGCATTACTATTCATGCTTGTGTCCTAGAAGCAATTCAAAAACCAAAGTTGCTAACACAACTTGCCGACTTTTTGCTTCTTCAAGTAATTGGCTCACCACGTGACAGTCATGCTGCTTTCTGCTCTTTTGTTGCAGACTAATGTAGTCAATTTTATGTGAACCAGAGAAATCTGAGGGCCATGTTTCATGTTGTAGTTGGTTAATGATGTTGATGGTGTCAGAATGGTGTAGATGTTTAATGTCAACCAAGTTCGGTCACAAACTATGTTATCAATTAGGATGGTCTCTTAGGAGCCAGGACCTACTGGTCATTTAGTTCAGTGGTCTAGTTAAAGACTGGATTATAATCAAAATAGCTCAAATGAAAATTTCAGAATGTATGTCCTGTTTACATCTTTTATTATATTAGCACATCTCTGTATGTAGACCATTGTGAAATCAGATATATGTTGTATGTAAATATGTTTTGTATTTTAAGCCTTTAAGGTGGGGACATATCTTATTAACATTTTGAAAAATATTTGTGAATCAAGCTTGAATTCATCATGACCACAAACCATTAGGCCTGTTTATAGATTGTGTAGGTGAGATACATATGATGGTGGAAAACCTAAGTGTGTGAAAATTAATTATAAACTGTTCTTTTAAATGTTATTGAGAGAAGGGAATGAAAAAGTGGATCTAAATTGAAACAGTCTAGATTAAACATCAAGTAATAAGTCATAGTTGCCAGTCATCAATGCAGTTGTGTTATCTGATGAAGATTAGACAGTGAAAACAGTAGCCAAGGAAAGGTGTAAGATTGGTTCTTTTGATTATACAGCTACCTAAGCATTGTGGGGGAAGGGATTAGTCAAGGAAATTTTTGGCTAACATGTAGAGCCTATGAGATTTCCTCTAGTCTAAATTAAATTATTCCATGATTTACTCTCCTTTGATGGAGAGGGGAAGTACTGTATCAATCGTCAAACTGCCATAAATGTCTGGAAGAAGGTTTTTCCAAGTTTTTTAAAAATGTGTTTGTTGATGTTTTTCCAGTAAAGCAATACAGAGGTCGTCCCCCCCCCCAGTAAAAGAATATAGAGGTTTCCCCCCAGTAAAACAATATAGCTACAAATAATTTATTGGGGTCAACAGCACCTCACAATGTAGAGTGCATTAACCTACAAAACACTATTTTCACCACATAGTTTTTAAAATACAGGCGATGACCATTTTGCCCAGGGGTTCCATTTCCAATCCCTGCCTGCAACAACAAAACATATTGTCATATTAAAATACATAGACTTATAACAGTTACATAACTATAGCAGTGCAGCAATCATGAGCTGAGAAGTATTTGTAACAAAACCAAATCTCACAGACCTTGCAACAATAGCATGTGCTATTTGAACAGCAGGTGCACAATTGCCACATTTCACAACTACGTATATGAGAAGGACATAGTTGCTGTGACTTTCTGTTACTGTGTTGACAACCGAAGTTACATATACCCCTTTTTTGAGTGTCAGCAATGGTAGCTTCTACCCATTCTGAGGCTGCTTCTTTTGGACGTTTCAGGCAAATAAGCTTTGTTTCTAGTCTCTTGGGGTTCTATCAAATCCAGACCCAGATCTAATAGGATGAGTTTCCATTTGGGATGTTCAGTTGCTCAGCTTCCAAATAATACAGACATTTAAGCAGGCAATATTACTGCATGAGGGGGGGCACCAATAGGCATTGTTTTTTATTATAAAAAGAATAATATCAGGCTTGGGGTTGTGGTCTGCCCTTCCTTTCTTTGGCATAATTACTTCCAATATCACAAGGCACTCAAGGTGGCATACTATCCTCACAACAACCCTGTGAGGTAGGCTAGGTTGAGAGACTGTTAGTGGCCCAAGGTCACCCAGTGAGTTTCTGGGCTGAGCAGGGATTTGAACCCTGATCTCCCAGGTCCTTTTCCAGCACTCTAACCACTACACCACGCTTTGTGCTGTCTATGGGCGATTCTGAATGGTCAATTTGGATTCTTTATGGTTGTGTATGGAGGTCTTCAATTCTCTCTGGTGTTCTGAAATAGTTTACTATGAACATGCCTATCTGGACTGTTTTGCTCCTCCCTGTGAGCGCACAAAGAAAACAAACCATGGTCCCTGTCTTAGCATTACATTTGAACTGGAGATTGAGGTTTGTTTCGTTCAAACAACCACAATCAGTCAGCAAGCCAAGAACAAAACTTGGCTGTCAGTTGTAGTTGGGAGCAAAACTCTTGCTTTTTAGGATGTAACACTAAGCCTAGCCGTTGTGTTTTGTATCTCCACAGTGCTAGCAGACAGGAATAAAATGCCAGGAATGGTCTTGTGCACAGTAGGCCATGGTTTATGGGTTACTATGACATGTGAATGTACTCTTTGTGCAAATTGAAGGCCTCTTGTGCCTTGAGGCTTCCTGCCCACTCCCCACTGCTGGTGTATGTTCTCAGCTCCAAAGCCTCTTAAAACTCAAGGACCTCTTGGTCTGGGGATCCAGTAGAGGCCACAGGTCCAGCAGTTGGAGGGAAGATTGAGGTCCCCTGGGCAGCAGCTGCAAGATAAACAAGAACATCAAATTGAATGTCTGCAGAATTTTCCTTTTGTTAACTCAAAATGAGCATTTGTATTTAATTTCCATAACTAATACGAACATTCACCAATAGCCTAATATTTTCTGTGATACTTTGAGAGGTTTAGTCTAACTGTTCCATTAACTGCAGCAGCCTATTAACCTTTTTAAAGCCCAATACTCTGGCTTATGGATCAGACTCTTTCTTGATTAAAAGAATCATAAGTGCTTTCCTGAGCTGGAGCTTTTGAAATGCATATTAATATGGAACAGAAAACATCGTTGTTAACTCTGACATTTAGAGCAATTTTCATACTAATTTCAATATCTGAGATGGGATAAAAAATATGGTTCTTTGCCATAGGATTTCCACTCTCATAGTACAATTGTCTACTAATAAGTTGACACTTTCTAGAAAGCCGAAGCATGAAGATTGTATTACTATGTACATTAAAAATGTTCCTTCTGATAGATGTATTTAGTGTGTGTTTAAATTTATGGTATTGCCAGTTTCTTACTAAGCACTTTTTGTGTGCATCGAAGTCTTATCCAAATATGTGATCAGTTATAAAAGAGCATTGATGCTTTTCTATATCTTGATAAAATGCAATAATATGTACTGTGTGGATATTTCCCCATCAAAAATAAAACAAAAACAATGTTTATCAAAAAGGCTAATTTGGGGCAAATGAACTGTTTATCGTCCCTCTCACTAAATAATCTCTTACCTAACATTTTAAAAATAGACCCCATCACAACAGAGCAGCATTCTAGACAATGGACAGGAAGATGTTTCTGCTGGCGGCCAATGGAATCCATATCCCCTTGGAAGGCGAGATGTGCCACCAGAAACTGTTGCTAAAAAGGTAACAACTATCACACACAATGAAAACCGTATATGTGTAAATACTGCCACTCTAATCTGGTAGTGATGTATGCCAGTGATCTCCTGTAGTAAAAAGATTGGGAATGAATGATGGATTTGTGAACTTGCTTCCTACTGCCTTTAATCATGATTGTTACATTGGTACTAACGTAAACATGGTTCCCTCTTGACTGTGAAGTGAAACTAAGGCTTCAAGTTAGTTAGGAAACCCAATGACTCTTGGCCAGACAATGCCAAAGTTAAATGACTGGAACAATTTAGCTTTGAGGGTGGTGGGAGCTCACAGACATTCCCTAATCTTCTTATTACTATTAATTGACTGCCAGCATTGCATTTGTGCCATTGTTTCATCCATTTTGATGTGTTTTAGCATCACTGCCTTGTATGGATGGAAGGGCAGAAACAGGCTTACTTCACCTGTCAACATTTTCCTCCACTTTTTGTTTGAGAATATGGTGGTTTTTTAAAGGCCTTTTTCCTAGACACCTCAGTATCCTTCCTCATTGATGCTGTATGCTAAATGATTACCCTACATGCCAGAATCTGATTAATTCCCTGGCACTATCCATTGTTGCATTCTTTGCCAACAATTTGTATTGTGCTGTCAGTAGAACATTCCCAGCTTGAAATAATTAACTTTTTGTGAAGGATGGTAAAAGAATATATAAAATACAAATGAAATCATGGGAAACAGGCCTACACAATGGAGATTATTTCCCTAATCAGAACAAGTAATTTTGTTTTTTTACAAAAAAGATTTATTTTCACTTCATCCATATACATTAGGAGCTGTGTTATGAATGCCTAAGCTGTGACAATATGAGGCTTTGCAAACAAAAAATCTATTAAAATGGATGAGAATTATTTACCTTTCACTCTCTGTTTTTGAGCATGCTGCTCTAGCAATACTGATTTTCTTTCATAGAATTTGACCTCAGGAGATTCATGTCCGCTATAGTTGCTGATGGTTTAAACATTGTGAGTCATTTGAAACCAACTTCACAGTAATTTTTTGTAATAGTTAGGCTTTAACTACTGATGTTATTTATGACTATAGATTGCTTTTATATGATTATTTTAATATTTTATTATTTGCCTCTGGTGTGTGTATGTTCCTTGATTATTTTATAAACCACACAGGGATCTAAACAGATGGTGGATGGTTTAAAAATACAATTAATAATGATGATAATAATACCTTTTAAAATGTAAAATAGGGGAGAGCTCTTTGCTGACAGGGGAGGGTACTGGCAGCTGAAGTTTCCAATATAACAGAAATGAGCCAACCTCCAACAGACAACTAGACCATCCCTAGAATTCAGACCTCCTCTTCCTACTCTGCTGAGATCCTCCTCCAGATCAGATTCATCTAGGGCAGGCACAGGCAAACCCGGCCCTCCAGATGTTTTGGGACTACAACTCCCATCATCCCTAGCTAACAGGATCAGTGGTCAGGGATAATGGGAGTTGTAGTCCCAAAACATCTGGAGGGCCGAGTTTGCCTATGCCTGCTCTAGGCGTCCCAAGTTTTCATTCTTCAACCCACTGCAACCTTCCCCTAGGTCAGCTTCCTTGAGCTGAGCTTCTTCCACTCCTCATCTGACCACCCTCTCCATGGGACTCACGACAGGCAAGATCCAACAGAAGTTATGTGTGATCCAGACTTTGCTTCCACAGGTAGAGGGGCAAGAGATGACTTTTACAAATTCAGCCTCTTCCTAGTACTTCCTCCCATGGGGTTCTTGAACATTCAGAGCCCTTTGGGACAATGTGGGTGTTAGCTTGGAGATAGCAGAGAGAAGGGAATCTGCAAAAGTCATCTCCCTGCTCTGGCAGCAGCATCCTTCCCCTGCATCTGAAGCCTTCCATGGATGGAAGGGAGGATATTGTCATTCAGCTGAAGGTACTAATATAAATAACAAATACGTTTTCCCACTTAGTAAGGCTTCTGTTTTACAATTGATTTTCTACGCCTTACAGTTCAAATATAGCTGAAGGAGTGACTTTCACGATGCTGCTCTGGAAAAAAAGTCAGAACTTCATATGTTTATACTCAAGAGCTTTGCTGTGTGTGTGTGTGTGTGTGTGTGACTGTACAAGTTTCAAGAAAAGTGCTTCTTTCAGTTTTCTAAATTCCTGGCCTAATGTGTTAATGTTACCCACAGGCAGGTAGCCATATCCAGACACTGATGGGATCGCAAAGTCTCCAACATCGAAGCCGAGAGCAGCCATATGAGAGCAACATGAATAAAGTGACCATCCAGCAGTATCAGCCACCACTGCCGATCCAGATCCCTTCTCAGAGCACTCGGGCACCACAAGCAGGGAGATGTGTCATTCAAACTAAAGGGCAGAGGAGTATGGATGGTTATCCAGAACAGGTGAGCATGCAGCAGAACGGCATGAGGATGAGAGATGTGAATGGAATTGTATGCAAGATGGCTCAAAAAGGTAGGCTTATTTTTTAAGTCTGTGAAAATGTTTTCCTATTTACCATTATTTGGAATCGCTAAATAAAAAGGCATGTATGTGTAAATTATCTCAGCTATCATGCATACCTGCGAATTCATAGTGATGAAGTCACTATGAGGGATTTTTATTGTAGTAGTAGTGAGATTGGGGTGCTCCAAATTGTAACTCACCATAGGAAACCTTAATAATGTTGTAGAAACCTAGAAGGTGGTCATCCCAATGTGTCCTAAGCATTCGCAAAACCAAACATTAGGACAACAAAAGTCAATCCCTTGTGACTTCAGCATGTAACGATAACCATATTTTAAAAGGCCACATGAGTCATCCCAATGAAGTTAAGCAATTTATTTGATTTGGCTGCTATTATGTTTGGATTCTAGTTATAGTTATAGTTCCATAAAGACATATGGAAATGTGATGTCCTCTTTTATAGCCTATGTAGAATTTCAATGCAAATAAAATGGATTTGCCAAAGTAACGTTTTAACTATATCTAACTACATTTTGATGGGGGTGGGTTTGAAGATTTTCTTCTGCAGTCTTAATATATCTTAAAATTATCTTTTAATGTATTATGTTTCTAATTGTCATGAAACAAATATGATTGTATCAGCTTTTTTAAGTAAGAAAAGCAACTTAAAGAGAATACATCATTGATGTTCGTATCACAGTTGATTCAAACATTTTACATTGTATCACACAGTACATCCACAAATAACCTTCTTAAATTAAAAAAAATCATCCTAGAGTAGCTTCATGGACATTTGTCAGAAAATAACAAATTTATGACAATTAATTAAATGCATGCATTTAAGCATCCCTTTGTGTCTTTTACATCTAGTTTTGTGTGAGGATAGAAAAGAATCCAGGCCTTGGATTTAGTATCAGTGGAGGAATAAGTGGACAAGGAAATCCATTCAAACCTTCTGACAAGGTAAGGTAGTAATTTCTTTTGCTTGAATTAGTGACCAGATAATACAGTTTGAACATTTAGGGTAGTTAAAGTTCAGATATTCATGACATCTGTTCCTTTGCTTGCAATTAAAATGTAATCAAGATAAGGAGCTGAAGAAAACAGGTTGCCCTACTGTGTATTATGATCCCAAAACATCCTTTGGCTAGGGATACATGTCACTGAATGTCTGCAAAAATGTGTTGCCAGAGAATTCTGGGATTGTAGAGACTGGGGGCTATCACTTTACACTTTTACAACTACCCTGGTTAGTCAGTAAATGAGAATAGGGCCCCATTAGCTAAAGTGGTGCTTCAGGTTAAGAACAGTTTCAGGTTAAGAACAGACCTCCGGAACGAATTAAGTACTTAACCCGAGGTACCACTGTAGATGAAATTTTAGATGTTTGTAGAACCATTATAAATGTTTTTTTTCTATGAATTTTGAACTCAAATAAGCAGCAATGTAATAGCATGAATAAGCAATATGAGATATTTTGGAATGTATTCATCGTCAAGAACAGTTTGCTAGGCTGTTAGTTTATAAATTATGACTAAGATGTATTCCACTAGCTCTACACTAAGCAAGATCTCATACTATTTTAGCAAAAATGTTAATAGTAGCAATCATTTAGCATATAAAAATCATCAATCAATGCTAGCATTGATAAATGTACTGATTTTGACCTTATTTCTAAAGTAGCTAAAATGCCATACTGCCTATTTTTAATTTGTCTTACGATAGCATAGTTAAATTCTTTATCAGTTGTTTTGACATTTCATATATCTACAAATTATGGTTGCACCGCTTCTATCTAACCCCTCTGGTAGAACTAGATGTTATGATAAACATGAGGCAGCCTTGTTTCTAGTTTTCTCCTCTACAGTTACTGGTTTGCCTATAACACTAAACCAGGCATAGGCAAATTCGGCCCTCCAGATGTTTTGGGACTACAACTCCCATCATCCCTGACCACTGGTCCTGTTAGCTAGGGATGGTGGGAGTTGTAGTCCCAAAACATCTAGAGGGCCGAGTTTGCCTATGCCTGCACTACATCATGGCTTAAAGTCACCCTACATCATTTTCTTCAGAGGAATGAGCTGTAAACCTTTTGTGGAAGCAGATTCAGTGCAGATCCATTGCTCTTCATTCTTAAAGACTCTTTTGTAAAAACAGTTGATGTTATGGAGGCAGATAGGCAAGATAAGGCCATAGGCCAGATAAGGCAGGAGGTTGTGTTTTGTGGCAGAGATCCAAATCACTACAGGGAGAACATACATATGTGCAGTAGGGCTTCAGAGGTTCTGCTTTCTGATCCATAACATCCTTAAGAATAAGAATGCACCATGACATATATTTAATTCAGCAATGAACTGTTGGTTTGATCACAGGCTTCTTTTTCTAAATTATAAGTAGATGTTGTCTAGTACAGAACTTGTACTATTCAGCAAGTAGGCTGGATTCCAGATAGTGTAGCACATAGGCATATTAATAATTGCAGTCCACTTAGTTCATATACAAACCTTTAGCCTAGTTCTTGGTTATAGTTTCCTAACCTCTGTTACTTCTGACTTATAGGGTATCTTTGTTACTAGGGTTCAGCCTGATGGACCAGCATCCAACCTGCTCCAGCCTGGTGATAAGATTATTCAAGTAAGCAAAATCTTTTAATTAACAAAAGCATGGATTCAGTGCAAATATTCCTTCACATGTGCATGCTACAGTATTGTTATTTTCACTGCCTTCCCATAGTAACCTTTAGATGACCTCAGGTGGGGATTCAGGTTTGGTAGGAACGGCAATGTGCACTGGTGAAAACAACCCCCTTGTGAGTAGGTGTGAGCCCAGTGGTGGAAAGGGTGGCTTAAGTAGTCTTTGGGGCACACGAAGGAGCAAAATGGCTAGTGTGCCAGAGACGAATTAGTTGCTTCCTTTGCAGGTTTAGGTACTTGTTACATCTCTGACACAGTTGTGGACTGGATTCTGCAAGTTGGAGAATGACCCTTTTTTTTACTTGATTTCCATGAAACAATGTAAAGTTTGCCCAGTCTGAAGTTTTCCTGAATATATATTGCTAACATACAGAACTTTGTGTTTTACTCCTTCATGTGTTTTTTTTTGCATTGGCTCCATTTAAACTGAAGCCACCTGGGGAGAAGCCTGTGTGCAACTGATGTCAGAAACAGTGGTGAAATCAGGGCAACGATCCACATCATTCTCCCCCTCCTCCCTTAACTATGATTTTGTGGTAATAAAATTGAAAAGAACACAAAAGAGCCAAATATTTTTGAGGAAGGGGTTTTGTTTGATTTTTAGGTTATAATGAAATGTAGTGTGACTAGATTGCAACCTCTGGGATTTTTGAATTATTTACAAAACGTTCATGCTAACACAGGGACACATCCAGTTTACTTTTCTTCATGCTCAAAACAAAACTCAAAATGCAGCTTAGACCATTGCTAATGACAGGGATGGTCCTGGGCAAGTTTCCCTATTACGGTTATTTTTTTATTTCTCTTTTTATTTGTTTACACTTTTTTCCATGCTTACTTTTCACTATTCGTTGCTGTTCTTCAATATTAAAATTAGAGCATGGAAGAGATACTGTTAAAGCATTTGTTCAAAACAGATCTTAGCAAAAATAATTTAGATACCTTGTGCTATGGTTTGCTCAGGCTTAACGCATTCTGTCTGAGCCAGCTGTTTCTGCAATAATGAAAGGCAAGCCTGCAGCCAACTTTTTTCAGTGGTCATATCCATATCAGAAGCACTCCGAAGCATCTCCTGCTTTCTGCTGATTTCTCCTGTGCAAGTCCCTCATCTGTCTGCACTGCAGAACAGGACAGTTGCAGAAGGATATTGGGCCTCAATATCTTTCCAATTCCTAGGGCACAATGTTATGTCCACAACAGGGAAAGAGCTAGGGAGCATCCATCTGAATGTGCCTATTTTATTTATGGATCTTGCTGAGATAACAGTTATCATGGTGGTCACCTACTGAATCAATTCACAATGGTCGCCTGACACCAGTTTTGCCATTGCAACACATTCCATTATAAAGGGCATACAAGAAAAATAGTGTCAGTTAAATAATAATTATTTTAAAGGGTTTTTTGTTACAATGTTTGGTTTAGCAGCATGGTTTACAGTTAGGTGATCAATAAGTTTGCCTACCTATACGCAACTGTTTAACCACCAGCAGGACATGAAGCAGGGAGTTGTATGGGAGAAGGGAGTCCTTGATAATTTGCTAGGTACCACAACAGATAAGTTTTGTGAACTGGCCCACGGAATGGCATTCGAATCCATAAGTACAACTCACTAAGTTTATATCAAATATATGATTATTGTGCAGCATTTGTTTCACTTTTATAAATGGCTTGTCTCTTTGAGAATGGAACTTTTGTTAATGAAATAAGAAAAAACAAGCTCCTCTTGTGCTTGTTTTCCCCCCGTAGGTGCCTGTCATGCATCCTGCATTCATTCTCCTACTTTCTCACTTATTCATTTATCTGTACAAATATTGCGCATCTCTTCTTCCTTCTCTCTTGTTCACTGTAGGCCCATCTCCTTTTCTCTATATAATAACAGAGCACATGTTCTTGGTTTCTATAGAGAAAAAGAAGGAAATCCACAAATGCTTTAAAAAAATAAACTTAACATCTGAATTTGCAAACAAAGGATATTTTCTACATTTGTTTCAGGTGTTATTTACTGTCAGCTTTATCTGATGGTAGTATACCGTAACTAGTTTGATTACTGAAGTAACTTGTAGAGCGTGTAATTTCCCTGGTGTTCTGTGAATCTGTGGATAACCTTAAGAGGGGAACAAGAATTTACTGGCAGACCTGGATTGGAACTCTGGCTACTTCAAAACAACTTCAGAGGGGAGTGCAATTTTCAGGGCAGGGAAGTTGCAGGAGAGAAGAGGTAGGTGATGTGAGTTTAGCAGCTTTCCCCTCCTTCCTCAGCTGTTTCTTCACTGCAGCCCCAACCCCAGTGTATTTAGCAACCCCAGTTTGAGGAAGAGAGGGAAGTGCAGGGCAGGAAAAGGGTTGAGCACCCGCACCTACTTGCCACTTCTCCCTTGCAAATCGTACCCTCTTTTTGTTTTCGGCTTTTAATTAGCAACTGGCTGTCCAGACCTTTATCTGCTGTTGAACACCTAGTTTGTCCTAACAGGGTTATTTGAAGCTCCTGAATATAATTTACCTTCCCCATTACATTCCCTTTATATGGTGGAAAACTGAGTTCCATGTTCCATTATTCTGATCACCAAAGGGACTTCCTACAAGTATTATTGTGCAGAGAGCTGGCCTGCCTATGAGGCGGGGTAAGTTAGTCACTTGAGAAGACGCCCTTATGGAGTTTGCCTGCTCCCCATCATGGGGGCAGCAGCAGGGTATTTCCCTCAGGTGCCAAAATGCTTCAGGCTGCCCCTGGTGGTACAAGCTTGGAATAGGGCACAAGAGGTTGAGCAACCTACAGTGGCTCAAGTCAATGTGATTTGGTATGTTCTAAGATGCTGAGAGACTGGAAACCTCTGAGGTAGTAGTTGGCTCCTACCTGGTGGGAATGAGGTTTGTAAGACATCTGGTGGAGCACAAAACAGAGGTGCGAAGTGTGCACTAGGCCCTGGAGGCTGCAGGGGTCACTGGTGCAGCACTTCAGTGTACAAGGATGAATTTGGTATTTCTGTTCTCGCCACAAAAACTTGCCACAATGTACTCAAGTGGCACACAACTGCTTGAAGAGGATGTGTGAACTCCAGAGAAACTCCTTTGTCAGTTTAACAGAGCCTGTATGATGCTTAAGGAATTTGAGTTGCCACCTAGGATAGCAGTCTGAAAATAATTTTGCATAAAAATGTTAATCAAATTAGTTGTGACAGCTTCAGGCTTTACTAAATCATATGGTAAGTCAGAAAGCTGAAGCAACACCATCTTATTGCCTTAGGTAATATATATTAAACAGATAATAATGATGGGAATAATTCAACTTACTGAATATTTCAGCATCAGCATATCTCTGAAACAGTATTTCATTCCAGCATAAAAGTAATAAGTAAGGGAATTGCATACTTGGCATGAATTCTCATGATACCGTTTTTCAGTAGCCATTCACTTAATGTAAGTCCTAAATTTTATTGGGAGTATTTTGCTCACTAGAAATATCAACAAGAAAAAATATTCTGAGGTCATATGCAGTGTTTTAACCACTGCTAGAGAGCTAAGGTTAAAGGCAAAACTACAAGTGACATAGAAGAAGAAGAAGAAGAAGAAGAAGAAGAAGAAGAAGAAGAAGAAGAAGAAGAAGAAGAAGAAGAAGAAGAAGAAATAATTAGAATTGGATGGGAGCAGAAACATAAAGTATAGATGTATCTTTCTCATTTCAGAGCTAATTTTAGCTGGCAGAAGGGCTGCTATAATTGGGAAAATGACATTGCGAGGAAATGTCACTGCCTCCCCCCCCCAAAAAAAAATGCCCCAACTGCCCACATTCTTCAAGAAGGGCAGAAACAAAAAGAAATGCATCAAACTTGTAATGTGAGCTACTTTCCCACTGATACCTGGTCACCTTTGCTTTTTTTACATTGTGGTTTTATGTTGTGAACTGACCTAAGATCGAAAGGTATAGGGTTGTGTACAAATTTAATAAATACAATAAATAAAAATAATAATATGCCACTACAGCAAAAATCAGTGACTAAAATGTTATCCCAAAAGTGCAGAAAAACTATTAAGCCAACTGCATCTACAGTACATGGCAATACTAACAAATTTAAGACACTGAAACAGAAATGCAAATGAAACAACTTATATTGTTTTAAGTGTTGTGATTGGCACAGACAATTAAACATAAAAATGTATTAATGATAATAATACATTTTAAAATAATAATTTTATTTATTAAATTTCTAAACCATCATTTATCCAAGCGCAAAAAGGTTTACAGTAGAAAAATACAAAAATACATAACAAAACCCCACCACAGTTTAAAAGGCCTGCAAGTAGAGTAATATTTTTGCCTGGCCCCTAAATATATTTAAGGACGGCACCAGGCAATCCTCCCTGGGGAGAACATTCCAGAAGTGGGGAGCCACTGCAGAAAAGGCCTGTTTCCATGTTGCCACCCTCTGGACATCTCCTTTAGGAGACACACAAAGAAGGGCCTCTAATGAGGATTGCAGGGTCCAGGTCAGTTCACAGGGGGAAAGGCAGCTCCATGAAAGGGATTGCAGCTTACCCCCCTCCAGTTTGTGTACTGAATACTGCAAACTAGAAAACACCAGGGAAGCACACAGTATGTCCAATACCATCTAAATTTATTTATCTGTTTTCAGGGTTTTTTGTATTATTTATTAAAATTGATTATAGCTAGCATCCAAAATGATCAGTTGATGCATAAAGGTAAAGGGATCCCTGACCGTTAGGTCCAGTCGCGGACGACTCTGGGGTTGTGGCACTCATCTCGCTTTACTGGCCGAGGGAGCCGGCGAACAGCTTCTGGGTCATGTGGCCAGCATGATTAACCAGAGCAGCGCACAGAAATGCCGTTTACCTTCCCGCCGGAGCGGTACCTATTTATCTATTTGCACTTCGACGTGCTTTCGAACTGCTAGGTTGGCAGGAGCAGGGACTGAGCAACAGGAGCTCACCCTGTCGCAGGGATTCGAACCGCAGACCTTCTGATCGGCAAGCCCTAGGCTCTGTGGTTTAACGCACAGCGCCACCCACGTCCCTAAGCTGATACATAAACCCTGCAAAAATAAGTAGAATTTACAATAGAGCTGAGCTCTTCTCACAGTTGTGCTAGAGTTCTATTAATTTCAGTGGTGAAATCTCCCAGTAGATTGTGTGCATAATCAAATCCACTCCATCATAATCCAGTGTAATTAGATTGAATGTTAACTTTTCCAAAATCCGAGGCAATAATTCAATCTTTTACTAAGTCAGAAAACACTGGTGATGTATATTGACTACATAGCAAATCAATGTAAAGTTGATGAATGTAGCTCATTCATGTTTCCCTTTATCTGGAGCTACTTTATAGCAGTGCTTGCAATGTCAGATTTACTGAACTTTTCAGCAAAGGAATATGGAATTGAGTCAAAGTGGTCAATTTTTCTTAATTTCCTTATGGACATTGAGCTGCTTAATCTGGATAATTCATGACACAAGAAGTAACAGTTAACAAGGAGAAAGTCGCAAATAAAAATCCTTGTACTGCTTAATGCAAACTTTACATGTTCCAAAGTATCAGCAGTCCTTTTCCAGTACTATGCCTTCTTCATGAGGGGAAGAGGGATGGATAAACTGCAAAATGGCCGCCAATATATGCTCCCTTCTTCTACATCACATTGGCTGAATTTTCTGGTTTGTTACTTTAGACCTGGTTCTCGGGTTCATGTTTGAGGTGTCATCACAAGACACCTTGCAAGTTTCACATGCTGAGCATTAGACGTATGTTCCTTTGCCAGGAATACTTGGTAGCATTGCTGCTGAAATCTGTCAGTTGCAGAAAATACCTGACTGCCTCAGAAAGATCTGCTGAGGAATAGACTAAACCAGAGTATAGAAAGAAGAGGAGCATTTATCCACCCCCTGTCCTATCTAGGGGATGACTGGGTCCCAGGAGTGCCTTGCTCATGATACTTTTGTCTCCGAGATCAGGTTGGTAGTCCGAGAACAAGGGTAGTTTCTTATCTAATTCATATGTGAGTACGTTCAAAAGTATATTTGCAGTGTGGAATAGATATAGTAAACACTTCCTTGTGACTTTACCACACCAAGATGAACATAGGAATTGGATCTTTCCTGTTTTGTACAGTACTATAGAGAGAGTGGAAAGGAAAGTCTTAAACTTCTATTGATATGAATCCTTGACCATTCTGCTTTAAAATCTCTTCCATGACTTCCCAGCTTGTAATCCAAGTTTAGCTTGTAATAGTTAAAGCTGGCCAGACTTTATTTAAATCCCGCCTTTCCTCCATTGAGCTCAAGGACGCATGCATAGTTCTTTGTCTCCCCATTTTATCTTCACAACAACCCTGTGAATTAGGTTAGGGTGACAGTGACTTGCCCAAGGTCCCCACTACATCTCTACTTGGCTGAATATGGGAAATGCCTCAGTTGAAAAGCACTGTGTTTAAGGTGTCATGGAATGATAGCTACCTTTGTAGTGATTAATCTTTAATAGCTCATTCAACAAGTCATAGCTGAATGCAAGTGATGAACATGTATTTGTAAACTTGTCCTTATTCTAGGATCATAGTAAGCCATCAAGTCAAACAACCAATAGTCACCACTCAGCAAACCTTTTTGTGAAATAGCTCCTATTCCAATTTGTGAAATAGCACTTCGAAATCCCCCCAACAATCTTGATATTTATTATTGATTGATCGATTATTTAAAATCAATTTAAACAAGTTTTAATAATCATTACTATAATTGATGTCTTGTATATTTTTATCCAGTATGTAGCTTCCTAGAGACTCTAATATGTAAATATCATTACTAATAAGCAATATCGTTAGACATTCTATCACTTTTTGGTTTTCTAGGTAGATACAATAGTTGCAAATATATCATTGTTTGTGAAATCCTTCTTGAGAAAGAATGGTTGGATTCAAAAAATACACTGGATTAGCAATGAAACCTCCTCTGCACTTGTTGAGTTCCACCTTCTACATCACTTCTGTTCTCTCTAATCCATTTTCCATGAGCTTGCTTGTTGTTCATCAGCAACTATATTTATTTACTTATTGTTTTGCATTAATGCTATTTCCAAGAAAGATCTTTTTCAAACTTCAGTCGTATTGAAGAGTGATATGAAAGCCAAACTAAACATCATGTGTCAGTTCCGGATGTGGGTTAAACCCTTGCCTGCCCCAGTTACATATAATGTGAGGTCATCTTACCTTTAGAGCAGGTTTTGCCGCCTTGCCATCACTCCCCTCCGCTGTGTTTCACCTCAGCTGAGTTTCAGAGCTGGAAGTTAACTCAGCTGTGAGAGAAGTGCTTGAGTAAGTGGCTGGGGGAGGTACACAGCAGTCACAGCAAAAGTTCAGCTTCCCATACCCACACACCAGTACAGCTCCAACTCAAACCTGCCTTTTATATGACTGGGGTCAAGTTGGGATTTTACAAATGGGTCTGTCACCATCACATCTAGTGCTGAATAACCTTTTCCCCACGGGAACTCACCTCTGGCATGAAACCAACGCAGAATTATTAATGCTAAACTATCAAGCACATCCGTGTCATGTGAACTTAACCATTATGTGTGTTCCTTAGCATATGGATTATGTCGTGGGTTTTCAGTATAAACTGCTGGCATTCAAGTACCAAGAAAGCAGGCAGTGGCAAAGTAGCCAAACCACAGCCACAATACTTTCCTTTTTCAGATTTCAGAACCTGGTTATTACCCTGACTACTGGCCAACAAACCTGGGGTGGTTTCATGGTAAGTCTCACAATGAGTATAAGCTTGAAGTATTTTTTTTTGTAAACCAAAGTTAGCAAATGAGGTTCTGAAATATATTTGTTCTTATTACAGATGGCACTGAGTACACATGAAGCACTGGATATCTCTTAAACCCAGTTTCAAAATCCAGGGTCTTGTTCCCTGAACAAAACAATGCCTCACTCAATCTGCTATAATGCATCATCAAACGTCTGAGTTAAGGAACTTGAGATATAAATATATATTGTTTGCCTGCCTCATGTATCGATATAGATCATCAGCAAAGAACTTTTTTTTCATCACAAGACTACCTTCTGATTTTTTTTAATGACAAATATGTCAATAACTCCCACGATATAAAGTAACTGATGCTGTTTCAAGTAAATCTCAAGGCCAAACCATAGGAAAATGGAACATGTATTCCCAACCCCAGAAGTCCAGCATGCAGTTCTTATGAAAGGCATGTTGGAGAGGAATCATATATGGTCTGTTGGTTCATTATCAGAGCTCTGTTTAAATTACCATCTTTCACTACAGTGGAAAAATAATACTTTTGACATCAAATACTGCTATCAATATCCACGGCATACATTGGTATCTGTAAGGAAACAACCTTGTGAGCTTAAAGTGTAATGGTGCCCCTTCAAGGTGGAACCAAGTAGGCTAGGATGCACTGACTACACCTCACCTTTGAAAGTTGAATGGGTCTATGTTTCACTGTAATTCTAATTTGGATTTCTATGCTTTTGATAGAATTATAATTTATGTGCCCTTTAATTCTGCCCTAAATAATCCATTTGATTTAGGATTCCTTTTTGTTTTTCTGCCCCAGTTTGTGCCACCACCCTATAGCATGTGCTATTATACCAGTGAATCCTTAAGAACTCATGTTCGTATACTTTTTGTAGCCAACTGCATCTAATTATCAGATAAAGGTTGTAAAAGGAGGAAGGCTGAAAGCTTGCTTATAAGGTAAATCACTCCTGCCGACGTACCATGTGTCAGATGATCCACGCTGCATGTTTAGGAATCATGTTCTGATCTTTTGATGTACCCCTTGGATAAAAAAAACATGTTATTGGCCCTTTGCACTGCATCATGTTCAGGTAAATAGAACCAAAAATAATAATGGGTTCACTCATTTTCAGTCAGCAATCCATCTGAAATCCTCCCCCCGCCCCCAAGACCAATAGGATTACTCTGGAGGTAACTGGATGGAGAAATGTGCCCTGTTAAGAGTTTTTCAGTCCTTCAGTTGGAAGCCAAAATTAGGCCATCAGGATACGAGAAAGGGACATGCAGACAGATGTTTTGCACTTAAGGCCATTTACTGCAACATGACAGACTATCAGCCTTTACAGAAAACAAACAAACCTAAAATCTAAATGGAGTCCAGCTTCAGGCTGGCTCTCAGAAAATATTCCTCTGAGGTTTTGCACACTAAATCCAAGGCTTTGTTGAATGTCTTTGATCTGTCTGGAATTTGTACTCTTTCTCTTAAATTATTTTCCTGCTATTTGTTAAAACATTTAAATTAATAAAAGAATTTTCTCTTTAGTGTGTGGGCTCTCTGTTCCTTATAATTTTTCTTATTCCTTGCCTGCCTGATTATGCTTATACTTTCAACACTGTGTTGCAACTTTTACAAGTTTTCCCCCACTACCACTCTGTACACACAGACCTAATTAAAGACCCTAAACTAGTCATCTCCTTGGAAGCATGGAAAGATCTCGCACACATCCTGCACTTCACCATCTACAGGTGCTTCTCTGTTTGGTTAAATATGGGGAACAGCTCTCTGCATAATGAAGGAAGTAAATGTGGAAGTCTGGACCTGCAGTTCTGTGTACATAACTCTGAATATGAATTACAGCGATCATATCTGTTGGGAATCAAAAAGTGCCTTAGGGATGCAAATCAGCTCATTCGGATTTTTTGAGTGGCTGCCCTTCACATTACTGAGTTACTGTGGCTCAGTGCCTAGTGTGTTAGACTTTGGTTGGGGAAGAGCTAAACCGAAATCCTCACTGACTATCTTGGGTTTCTATCTGTCTGTGTTTTGGGGGGTGCGGTGCAGAAGGAGAAGCATGCATGCAGCAATGGGGTCTTTGGAGGAAAAGGTGGGATAAAGCATGTAGTATCATAAATACCTTTTAAAACAGCTCTATTTTAATTGCAGTTTGCCAAGGCAGATGATCTTGGACTCCTTTGGGAGGTGGGCTGGATAAAACTGAATAAATGTGGGTTGTGCTATTCAGTAACACAGATTCAAATACACTAGATCGCAGCCACCGACACATTGTTATAAACTGTTTTTCCAGGACAGCATTTCTACATACATTCTGACATACATTTCTAACTTGCCTTGTCAAAAATTTTGACTAAAGTATTTGTAAATGAGTGAGCATTTCTACAATGCTGGTCACCAGACTTGAGTTTAGAAGAAGGAATAGGGAAATGAATAAGACCCTCCTATGAAAATAATACTGGGCCTGTTCAGATATGGTTTGGCCATCATATGGCTTGTTTCATTCCCGCTCGTATGCTCTGATTTATTTCCTTATCTTCCTGGTTTGAGTAAACCAGTTTTCATCCAAGCCAGAATTGGAATTTACAGATTGTGAAGTAAATAATGGTGTGTGCAAACCAAGGAGGATGGAAATTTGAACATGAGAGGGAAAGCTCCATCAGCCAGACCATGATTTCGCCATTATCTCCCAACTCTGGTACTAAAGAAATGCCAAGGACCTTGGGGAAAGGACTGGCATTTGTGATGTCTCTTGGAAAACACTGGATTTGCTCTTACAGGCATATAAAATGAACTGAAATATCTGATAAGGGTTTGTTTGGTTACTTTTTACCAAAGTTGTTTAACTTCTGCAGATGATGGTTTGAACTATGGCACAGCATGCAGAATGCAATAAATATGCTTAATTCGTGCATACAATGGAAAGAAAATCAGTAACTGGTATATTATATTAATATGCAAGAAATAAACTTGTCAACAGTTTCAACTATTTTAAAATGTTAAGAATGAAAAATGAAGGTGGTAATAAAAAATCCTAAAATAAACATACAAATTCTGAATCTGTTATGATTTCATTTTGCTGAATCTAATATAGATATAATGAGTATGATGCACAATGAATGGCCATTCTGAAAGGAGAACTCAAAAAGATATTTCGGTGCCTGAATTCCTGTTACTAGAAAGAAACCTAAAGATATTCTGAAGCTCAGGCATATTAATAACTAGTGCAGACTGTGAGGACACTTTAGCGGTACCTCCCCCAAAGCATGTGACATCTCTCCCTAAAATTATGTTCTGCAGACATCTTGGTCAGTTCTGACACCATTGTGTTAGCTTCTGTTTACTGCATATGAAGTGCTAATCTGGATTAAGGAGGCTCTATGGGGGTGGGGAAACTGGTTATATGGCAAATACTTGGGTCAAGATGTTGAAGTCAAGATCTCCAGGTTTCTTCTAACTCAGATGCTTTGAAAGCAATTATCATCCCAAGCCAGCATCAGTTTTTCCTTAACAGACCCTTGAATTTCCACAAATGCTATATACCAAATCTTGTCACCTTCACAGAACATGTTGAAGTCTTAACTGAAGTCTTATATAAACTGCATTGCATTCTCACTTTGATGAAATCTTCAGGGTATGAGACCTTGAAGAATGAAAAATATTTTATTTCGATTTGACGAACACGAGTTTTGCTAATCTGGACTGGCATTGTATTTGATGACTTGTAGAACAGAGCATATTACACATGTGTACAATTGTATCCATTAACAAGTAATCTTAACAGGGAATTTGGATCCCTGACAAAGTTGGTTTTCATTTTCTAAGCTTTTATGTTACAGATAAAATCATGGAAATAGGCAAACCATGTTTGTTCTGAAATCCATGGCCGGTGTACCTGCTTGGCACTTCAAAACTACTTCTGCAGTATCTTACCCTTCTACTTCAATACTGGCACTTCTTTTTTTCCTTCTCTGGTCCTGCTGCCTTTACTTTGAAAAACAAAGCCAATTATCAAATACAGTGGTACCTTGGGTTAAGTACTTAATTCGTTCCGGAGGTCTGTTCTTAACCTGTTCTTAACCTGAAGCACTACTTTAGCTAATGAGGCCTCCTGCTGCTTCCGCGCCGCCAGAGCAAGATTTCTGTTCTCATCCTGAAGCAAAGTTCTTAACCTGAGGTACTATTTCTGGGTTAGCAGAGTCTGTAACCTGAGTCGTATGTAACCTGAGTCGTATGTAACCCGAGGTACCACTGTAAAGCAAAATGTGTTAATTTTACATGCAGTACATGGGTATTCTCAGCTTGGCTTTTGTACAAGGGCTCAAACATGCCCAGCTTATAAATTATAGTTGTTGTCATTGAATAGTTGTTCTTTTCACAAACCCTGACCTAACCTCACACAGCAGCAACAGTGTGCACTTAAGGATCTCTTTGGCTAACAGATCACCAGCATCAGTGCCGACGTTGAAGGCAGGACTGACCAAACTCAAGCGCTCGGAACTCATGCTTGCAGCTCTCTTTACCACACTAATACACTATTAGGTAATGTGGATTAGTCCAACAAGGATAACACTCATCCAAGTAGAGTTGCGGGTTGTAGTTATTTATTCTTATGAGACACTTGCATACACAGAAACCAATGTGATCAGGATGGAAACCTGAGTAGCTTCTTTCCGAGAGCAAGTCTCCTTGCTGAATGGAGACAGACCCCTGGAAACTGAAAATTATAAACCCAAGTAAATTGGTATAAGGTGGAAATAAACAAGAGAGCAATGGATGACTACACCAATATGGGGTTGCAAAGACTTTTGGAAAACCAAAATTTGAATGGAGCTTTTACTGGGATAACCTTTCAGCTGATTTTTATACACTTGTAGGATTTCAGTTGATTTTACAGCTGTATTTCCTATGTAGGCACAATGGATATCTAGTTATAATTTTTTCTCTTTTGTCTGTTACAGGCAAATGGACACAGTTTTGTACATATGGAACATGAAAAAGCTGTACTACTACTGAAGAGTTTCCAGAATACAGTAGACCTAGTTATTCAACGTGAGCTTACTATCTAAATATTTTTTATAAATAGTAAAATATGTCTAGCCAGATCTAATGTTTAATTAAATAAAAATTTATATACATATATATATATAAATAAATGAATATATATATATATATATATGGGGGGAAATTGCCAATTGCTGGACCAATGGCAAACATAGTGCCAAATGTATAATATATGTTAGTACTGATCATTGGGAGGGATATCTATATAAATGTAACTTCCATGGGATTACATATTAGTTCTCATTGTAAGCCTCTGTGCGTTGGTACCAGCTTTTTTTCAAGATGATTTTTAATTATTTCTAGATGTCATGTAATTTCAGAACACAGAAGCACACACAAGCTATTTACAAATTATTCCGTCCATCAAAAAACAGGCTGCATGCACACCACACCTTTAAAAGACATGACACCCACCTACCCCAATAGCCTTGTGAGGGATAAACTACAATTCCCAGAATACTCTGGGGGAAGCTATGCCCTTTTAAGGTAGTGTGTGTACCCAGCCACAGCCTCAAAGTTCTTCATGGCTTTAGAAAGAAAACTATTTAAAACTGTAATTCCCACAAAGTCTAAAGTCAAATATAATGGATTATTAAATAGTATTTTTATAGACACTTAAAATGAAATCTATATAAAAATTAACCTGTAGTCCTATATCCACTTACCTGAGAATGAATTCCATTGCACTTAATGGGGCTTTCTTCTGAGGAGACATTTATAGAATTGCACTTTAAAACTTTTGGGCCTGATACAACTAAATATTTGTGCTAGCGGGAGACAGTATATGAGCTCTGCTAGTGCAACAGGGCTCCCCCCTATTTCTGGCCACCCAATCAGCTTGGGGGGGGCAGAGGAGAGGGAGATCTTTCTGACTGGCAAGCAAAAATGCTTGCACTGACAGAACAAACGTAATGGTGAGACATTGAATTCCTCCCTTGGCCTTTTTAAATTTCATGGGTGGTGTTCCACTGTTTTGCTCAGAGTAGTAATGTCTAAGTTAATCATTTTCATTGATTTCAATGCATCTATTCTGAGTAAAACTTAACCGAATAGCACCCAATGCCTTACAGGATTAATTTAAGGTATTCCCTGAGCTGGGAGAGGGTGTCACACACGCAAAACTGAGCTTCAGTGTGTATACTATTATTTGAAAAGCTCATCTCCTGCCCTTCATATGTCTTTGCATCACTCAGGGTAGCTTGAAATAATACAACCATATAAACCAATACAACAAAGACAGGCACAGCTGATGATGATCATGATAAGATGCACCACACAGCAGGCGTAAATATATAGTGAGATATGATATAATGAGGGAATATAATGTGGGTATGACCACAGAGGTGGATTTTTTTGCCACTTCACATCCTTTGCCACTTCACAATATTCAATGTTCAGCCTGGAACATGACATGGAAGGGAGCCTTCAAAGCAAATCTTAGGCAGCAGGCAACCTAGGAGGGGGAGAGATGGTCCCTCAGGGATCCTTTAGGGCAGTGATGAGGAGGAACCTCTTTGGCCCTCAGATTCTCCCTAGGCCACACACTGCCCAACTAGAATGTTTCTCTGAGCTGTGCTAAGGCCTCTTGCTTGCCTGGAGATAAAAACGTGGGTGCCTGGGTAAACCTCTGCCTTTCTCATGGGTTTGCATGGCTGGAATGTAGTCTAGTGCACAAAAGTCTCACATCCTTTGTTCAGCCCACCTGTCCTCCGGCCCCACCCGCCACTAACATGTGGCCCCTGGAAGGTTGCCCATGAGGTAATGCAGCCCTCAGTTTGAAAAAGGTTTACCATGTTTGCTGTTAGGGCTTCAAAGATAATTACCAGAACTTTGAATTGTGTCCAGAAAGGAATTAGCAAGAAGGGGATGTGCTCTTTCTTACCACAATCATAGGGACGCGGGTGGCGCTTTGGTCTAAACCAGTGAGCCTAAGGCTTGCCGATCGGAAGGTCGGCAATTTGAATCCCCATGAAGGGGTGAGCTCCCGTTGCTCGGTCCCAGCTCCTGCCCACCTAGCAGTTCGAAAGCACGTCAAAGTACCTAAGGGTCAGGGGTACCTTTACCACAATCATGTGACATGGTTTAGGGTTATACAAAGAATAGTCACAGCTAATCTGAATATTTGTAACCTAAAATGCACTCCTTCCATGCCATTTCCCATGTTCCAAGCTCAGACCCTCCTATTGCAAAAATATGCTCAGCTCAAATTCTTAATGAACAACATGCTTTATTTGATGAAATATGTGTAGGAGGTAATCCACAAGGTGACAGTTAATGAAGGGGAAGAGTGTGCAAATATCTTAATATTATCAATAGAAGAACCATTACTGTAGCTAATTAAAGGTGGTTTAGCCCTAATGTAATTCAGTTCTCTTAGCACTTTACACAAGCAATAACGTTTCTGAATATACATTATAATTAAACTATTTAAAATATTTATATGACACCTTCTCCTAGGTTCAAGACAGTTGGCAATGAAATATAAAACCATAAAATAACTCAGGATAGCCTTATGACTAAACAGAATGTGGTTTCAGCTCAACTGTTTTATCAAATCAGATAATGATGACAGGTTGCTTAATTAACAAGTGGGGATAAAGTTGGAAGCCAGGGAGATGGCCTGGGAATCATATGTTCTTGCTCTTTGTTTCGTAGCAAGAATGGAGAATAAGATGTTATTTCTTTTGCATGCTGTGGGCCTGTAGTGATCTTTGAATCCCAGATCAATGATCTAAAACTTCAAATGCTATGAAACTTACTAGTCCTCCTATCCAGATGGGGATCCTATGTTTTAAAATTCATTTGTTTTCATTTTTGATAATGATTTAAAAATACAGTGAAATCCAAAAGTTGACATTTATTCTACACTTCTTTAGAATTTGACTCTGCTGCATTGGTTGCCATGGCACCAGTTCCGTTAGCAACAGTTCTTAAAGGTTTATTTACCAACTCTCACATTAGAGCTACACTGTAAGTAAAATAAAGGGAAAGGCTGACATTCCTTCAATTCAGCACAACAGCTGTTCAGGAAAACATAATGTGTATGGAGCATCACTACATGGAGGCAGTGACACAAGCTTGTTATGTATCTATGCAGGCAGGCAGAACATACACTTGTGAGGAAAAACTCAAAGTATTTGTTTAAAACGGTAGATGGCAAGAGTCATGTGCTTTTCTCCCGTAAGAGGGGGCCCCAATGCCTCTTGCAGTATAGACGTCTGCTCTTACAATTGCATGCATTAATAAATTCAAAAGCTTCTTGGTTTGGAACCATTGTTCTTACCTATATGCAAATTTTAATTTATATATGAGCTATAACACATGACCACCAGATAACTCAGGCAACCACCATAATTAAGACTCAAAGTCATGTGTTCTGCTTATAGCCACGTGCTGCAGCAATTGCAGAAACCCTATGACTACAAATATAGGTAGTCAAAATGTAACTTCTGCCGTTACTGGGTTTGCCACTACACTAATCTCTTTCTTCCCTCATGGAACTCAAGTCAGCATACATCTTGTTTCCATGTGATCTCCCATCAAAGCATCACACGCTTTTTCAGTGATGATGCTTCCATTTTGGAACCAACACCACCCCTCCATGATACCTAAATCTTGTTAAGTTTTAGATATCTGGTAATTCACACAGGCACATAGCAAGATCTGATGCCAGTATTGTTATTTTTAGGTGGCTGGCTCTATGCCTCATTTTAGTAACTGTATTGTGAATTTGAAACTGTTTTGTTGTAACTCGCCCAGAAATTGCTGTGCAGTGAGACTAGATGAGAAATGTTTCCCAAAAAAGGGCAGACTTCTTAGCTACACTGGTTGCATCAAGTCCCTCTGGATGGTGCCCTGTGTGACCGGTGCCGTTTCTTCTAGAAAAAGAGATACTGGAACTCACCATGAACGCCTCCTTTCTTCTCTTATGATGGCAATGGCACCCACCTGAGAGGTGCCAGAGCTGAGTTCCAGTGAGTTCTGGCTGGAAAAAAAGCCCTGCTTGTGACCAATTTATAAATAAAAGATGGAACAGTAGTTAATTTAAAAACAAAAACCTATTATAAACCTTGTGCCTAGGATATCTGGAATGAAAGCTATGTTCCACAAAGGATAGTGTTCTTTATCCTACCACTCTCTGCTTCCTTTTCTTGCAGCAGCAGTGCCTACCCATTTACCAAACTAAAACCAGTAGTTTCAGCGTTGTACAGAGCTAACTTGTGAGTGTACTGAGTTCTGTGTCTGACTGCAATACATGCCTCTCTAAGAAATAATCATGCAAATCACAGAAATATAAGCAAAATGCTAATCCCTGCTAATGTTCAGAATGTATCATTGTCAACAGCAACAGTGTTTAGTAACATTGATTCGGTTTTTCCATGTTTACAGCTTTCATGTACTTTTGGGGCAAAATTAAGATGGAACTCAAATAGTGACTTACACTTTCACAAAACATTTTTTCTTCCTTTAGGAATTGCTGTTGAATATTTTCAGTTCCATTTTTTCCTTTGCTCATGGTCTTCATTATTGCATTGTGTTCTAAGTATGAGATAAGAATAAAATCTATTTCTAAACCAGTAATTTGGATTGGATTCACATGTAGTGAAGGTGGGTTAATGAACGACAGTTTTTGCTATGCCCAACAACAATGGTAGTCATATAAGCGCAGCCCAATACTGACACCCAAAGGCAAAGCCTAGTTTTCCTCAGCACACACATTTTTAATAGCCAGATTTCTAACGCTCTATACAATAGCAGAATTTTAACTCAGACTTTTAGAATGAGTCGTCCTTACTAGTCTTTTTGAACTTTTCAGATGCGCATTAAGTCAAACACAAAACATGTATAATACACACCATTTACTCCATCTAGAATTTTCATGCCCTCTTGTAAAAGCTTTTATTCTTAACATCAAGAAGCCACACCAGTTCAGCACAAGAGGCTGAATTTTTATAAACTGGGGCCTTTCCTGCCTCTTTGCTAGCTTAGGTGGCTTAACACTGGGCAAGACAAAGACTTATTAAGTTACATTTTTCTACTTGTCAGTACTGTAATCAAGTCAAAAACAACTTACTTTATTACAAATTTTACCATTTTATAAAACACATGTTTAATTATAGAGATAGCTGTATTGTAATTAATATTTTGAGAAAATTGTGATTTTGAGCTTAAATTATATACAGAACTGTCATTTTTGTATGTGTTACAAAGATTGCTATATGAAGAACTGTACTTTTCAGTTTAATTACAATATCATTGTAAATATGGCTGAATGAAGAACCACTTACTACTCTATGAACATAGATTGTGAATGTATTTCAATGTCTTTGCAGTATACAGATTTACTGAACTTGGAAGCTGCTTCATTTTACGTGCAAAAAGGTACTTTAAAGCTATATTTTAAATCTATTGATTCAGTGAAATCAATTATCTTTCATTTGCACATGCAGGTGGTATCGCTCCCATTTTAATTTGTGTATTGACACTAACTGGTAAGGTGCATATTGTGTCTAAAATGCATTTTGCAGATGCTTTCTGTACATAAAAAGAATACAGGGACTCAAACAATGCTGTGCAGCGTATAGCAGAGCCATTTTCGGCTTTGATGTACTCAACCTTTTTCAGTATTAAAAAAAGTGTTTTGAATAATATATTTAAAAGTCTATTGTATAAATAAAGGCACCTTATTGTAAGTACTTTGTGCGGGAGTCGTCTTGCAATCACTTTTTTTTTAAGACAACTATTTCACTTTTGCTAATTCATAGAAACAACACCAAGCTTTTTGCCAGGCCTCTTATTACGGTATTATTTTACTTCCTCAATCCAAGTGCATCAGAAGTAGAGAACTAGAAATGCATTCGCCAACATAAAAAGACGCTGTCAGCTTTTCAGGTAGTTCTCACTACCTAGGGGTTTGGACTTGCAGAGAATGGTTTAGTACAATGGTTGCTAGTATGGATGGCTGTCAGCATGTTATTAGGCCAGTCAGCTGCATAAAGCTCTACAACCTTTAGAAGAACCCACTGCCACCATCCAACAGATACATATGCTTCAGTGCACCTAACGCTATGCTGGATTGGGGTTAACATGTAGAACCGACTTTGGGGGGGGGGGGCTGAAGGATTGCCACTGACATATTTAGAAAGATCCAAGTATGCAAGAATTGTTGCTAGTACTGCACCATCCTCACCTTCAGTCTCAAAGTATTCACCTTTGTAATTTGCTTCAAAATATCAAGAACAATCAGTGCCTAAATTGCACTATGGCCAGCATACTCCCTTCTGGAAATGTTTTAGTAAGGGAAGGTGACACATGGGCAGTTGCTAGATCACAACAGCAATGAGACCAGGGGCAGCTAACTGGTGGCCTTCTAGGTGGTGTTGGACTCCAACTCCTTTTAGCCCCAAACAGCATGGCTAATTGTCAGAGGTGATGGGAGTTGTGTTCCAAAAACAGGTTAATCACCCCTGCACTAGTCTCTCATTGGGTGCAGACTATGGCTTTCATAACTGTATCCAAAGTTTGGGGAAAAGGAAAGTATCTTATGGGCAATAGTGTGTATATACTTCTAATTATACATAACTCAACACAGGGGCTACTATAATAATCATAATAATTTATTATTCATACCCCGCCCATCTGGCTGGGTTTCCCCAGCCACTCTGGGCGGTTCCGAGCAGATTATTAAAAACACGAAAGCAAGACCAGGACAACACATTTAAGGGTATAGGCATGGCTGTCCCAAATTAGGAACAGATCAGGGAAATTCACATCAATAACCCTCTTCCAAAAAGATTCCACTTTCTACAAGTCTTAAAAATTTAATCTGAAAGCGGGGTTGCATGGTTGAACAGTTTTAGAGTTAAAAGAATTTCATATAATAGATCATACTCTGGTGCAGCTACATGCCTCCTCCTTTCCAACTCCCAGTTTCACAGTTTTTTGCAAAGAAAGGAGAAAATTTATGTGTGTGGTGTTCACAGCTGACACAGGCCATGTGTCTTCATACTAAGCTATCCTTGTACAAGTAGGGCATCTCCAAAAAGAAGCAGCTCTTAATAGCAATAACATTTAAAAAAGGAAAATAAATGGAAACTGCTCATTTTGGCAAACTAGCATCTTGAATAACTGCAAGGCACACACACAACCAAGTATTAATTGTAAAAAAACAGAAAAAACTATTCCAACATTTGTGATGTTCCACACAGCACAGTTTTTCTAAACATTTCTGGCATTTGTAAACAGTTGCACTAAGTCATTTGGTTAAATTTATGAAACTGATCATTTGATATATAATTTGAGTTTTATTTTCAAATACTAATTTGATAAATGTGCCAATTCATTAGTGATTAAGTCAGCACCATAATTCTTCAGCAGGCAATCGCTTGGTGCAAATGCTTCATATTATGCAAATCAAGATCTGCATTTATTTTATTTTGGGGGCAGCCCTTTTTTGGTGACCTTAAAATTAGCTAAAAGAAAAGGAAATTTAAAACAGGATTTTAAAAAAATTAGCACAATAGCAGAATTCTAACCATATCCAATTTTGGGTAACGTACACCACCTGTTCATATAGAATATGTGGGTTAAAAAGAGACCAGGTGGGTACATGGATACAGCTATCAATAATGCCTAGATGATAGCAGTATTTTTACAATCATGTTATGATCAGGGGAATTGCTGCTGGACGAACAGAACCATCTATCAATAACCTACCATACACCATACAAGTATGTACACAAGCATCGTTTGAACTGGAGGCATGCAGGGTAAGAGTCCTTTGTGAAATAGCTCTTAAAAAGTAACCCCAGCATATGCACTGAGCTTATGCTAAACGAAGCAAATAGTTCTCATGTATAAGGACTTCGATCTTCATGTTTCAGAAGGTAAGATCTTGCACACATTTCAGTTCAAACCAAGCACAACAGATCAAGTAGGAATTCTGCTTCTTAGGTATTCAAGCACAGCAGCTGTCCCCTTGGCAAGAATAGCAGCTCGAGGAGTCCGGAAAGGATTGCCTTCCAGCAAAAGTGTCCTAACAGAAGGACCAAAAACCAGTTAAGACTACTGTATGTGTGTGCACGCATGTACATGCATACACACAATCGCCATTCATAAATGAGAAAATCTTATCACTTTTATTTTATTGTGTCAATCATTTAAAAATGGAAGTCAGCAATGCCTCTGCTCCAGCCTAGTGCCCTCCAAATGTTTTAGACCAACTCCCATCAGCCTCAAGCAGCATGGCTAATAATTGTCAGGAATTATGGGAATTGTGTCCCACACATCTGGAGAACAGGAGGCTGAGGAAGCCTTCTCTACTCATTTACCGTATTGGCCCAAATATAAGCGGCACTTCCCTGCCCCCCCAAATTCCGACCGTGAAAAGTTAAAGTGCAGCTTATATTCACGACCTTACAAAAATTGGCTTTTATGATATTGCTGCTGAAACAGACATACGGTAAAATGGAACAAAAAATGTTTTATTGCCGATTTGAGAGCTTGAGTCACGGAATTGTAGCAATTGAATAGCGATTTGCGATTTTAGCGATTGTACAGTAACTTTTGCGGGCTTGCAAGATCAAAGACTTAAATTGGCTTGGAGTTACAATTCTACCAACCGCAGCAATTTTTAGCCTGTAACCCAGTTTTAAGGGAGCGGCTTATATTCGAGTATCGTCTTTGTGAGAGATTGAATAGAAACACTAATCTAGTGTGCTGTTGAACTTTTAAGCAGATGAATTGATAATAATATTTTGTCCTGAATAAGTCCAGTTGTGGTTGAAAGATGGCAAATAAACCATATTGGCCCGAATATAAGCCGCACCCGCAGATAAACCGCACCTTTAAAATTCAAGGGGGAAAAGACAACACTCTCTTTCTTAAAGAGTCACTTGGGAAATGTTTTTCTTACATTTCTACATTTTTTCTTATTCAGACCTTTGCAGATGGAATTCATTGAATTTGAAACCAGCTTAAAATTCTAGTGTTATTGTAAATCCTGAACCTGGTTGGGGGAGCTCATGCTGCAGATATACACGATCCTGACTCAATATTGATCCCTTAATTGGGACCAAGGGATCAGGAGAATACATCTCAATCATTTCTCCCTGTCTGCATCAGACCACATTATTACTTTATTCAGCAGTTGAGCCACTTCACCACTCACTGATTTATGCATAAAATTCCAGCATTGCACCTTGAAAAGAAAACTGCATCACCATCTATTTAGGACCATCAGTTAGGATGAGCAGTTTTGCAAACAGGGTTCTCCTGACATGTTGACTGAGCTTATTTGAACATGGGCTTTCTAACAAATCTTGTTTGTGGAATTCTATCCCATATAAGGTTAGGAAAACTATCCATTCAAATATTCAGTTAGATTCTACCCATGCTTACTGAGTGTATATAATCCTGGGAAGCAGAATCTTATTCAATTCAACCAATGTCTGAAAAGATCCAAAGAGTACACATTTTCAAAATTGTAACCTAATCTATTCAAATAGTCAGATGACACAAAAATGAGATTGATTTCATTATGAACTTTTGTACTGCTTTGTTTAGTCTTTCCTAGAATAAATATGAACATTTTCAAAAGAATATGCTGTATAGGAAAAAGTTATCCAAAATTCATGAAGTTAATCACCTGAGATTGACACAGTTCCCAAGTTCTGGTGGTACTTGTAAGAGGTCATTATTTTGAAGATCTAGGGTACCAAGCCTGTCCAACTTCTTTATTTGCAGAGGGTCCAGGGATCCAACCTGATTATTAGCAAGGAGGATTGTTTCAAGAGTTGGAATGTGATACAGCACATTTGGAAATATTTTAAATCTATGAAGAAAACCAGAGACACTTCATTAATATAATTATGAATAACCTACCCAAGAATATAATTTGTAAATACAACCACTGCACAAGTGACTTGAGTTTATTAGGAGCCTTTAGAGAACTAATTCACAAAACCAAGGGTTGGATTCAGATTAAGTTCTATACTAGGCTGCATCAACAGAAGTATAGCATCCATATCAAGGGAAGTAATACCACTCTATGCTGCCTTGGTCAGACCACACCTGGAATACTTGTGCACTACTAGGCACCATAATCTAAGAAGGATGTTGACAAGCTAGAACATGTGCAGAGGGCAACCAAGATGATTAAGGGTCTGCAAATTAAGCCTTACAAGGAGCTGGATATGTTAGCCTGGAAAAGAGACGACTGATGTGATCGCCATCTTAAAATATCTCATGGGCTGTCACATGGAGGAGGGAGCATGCTTGTTTTCTCCTGTTCTGGAGAGTAGGACTCAAACCAATGGCTTCAAGTTGCAAAAAAGGAGATTCTGACTAATACTTTCTGACAGTAAAAGCTGTTCGGCAGTGGAACAGACTACCACGAAAGGTGGTGGATTCTCCTTCCTAGGAGGTTTTTAAGCAGAGATTGGATGGTCATCTGTCATGGATGCTTTAGCTGAGATTTCTGCACTGCAGGGGGTTGGACTAGATGACCCATGGGTCCCTTCCAACCTAAAAGATTCTATAATTGTAAGTTAGCCACTACTTAACCCTATTGCTTTCAATGAAACTATGTGCAACGAACCAACGTCTAGAACCAAGCCAATATTTGGAGCTTCTAATTGTTCAGCTAATAATGGCTGATGTTCTTCATAGAGATGCGTCCTACTGAAAGTAACATGGTTCACTCAAGCCTTTTGCAGCCTTCTCCAGGAGTCATCCCTCTCACCAGACAACCTGCCTGAAGTTGGTGACAGTTGGCTCCTTTTGTTCTCTTCTCAAGTACTTTCCATTACTTGATCTTGTGTCTTTCCTATTGTATATTTTGTGAGTTGGTGGGGGTTTTTTTAACTGTGTTTCTTCCTTTCTATCCCTTTTGGTGTTGATAAGCTAAGGAGTTTTCCTGCCTTTTTCATTCCCTACCTTCATGAAAGTGCTAGAATTTCAGGCGCAAAATGTTTCTCTTTAGAGAGCTGACTCTCCCAAGGCATAAAAGGTCAGGGGAATGTTTCCAAGGCAACAGAACCTAGAGGGGCACAGTCAAATAAATGTATAATCACTAATTCCCTCAGTAACTTTTTCGTAAGGATTCAAAAGCATGCTTTTTCTTTCACTTTAGGTATTTTCCCCTAGATGCATATATGTGAAAACATTTACAAGGGTAACTGGTCCTTTTAAACAGTTACAGTTTTGAAATGAATGAATGAATGAGTTACCTTATGAGTCCATGAGGAGTTTGATGTGTCCTTGCAGAGGGTGGATTGGAATTACACTGCTGTATGAAATTACAAGATAGGCTTGTCCTTCTTCTAATTTCATGAGGCTTCACCCATAGCTATTGAAAATGCATAGATGCCTCTCTTTTTTCACCATTTTCAATTAATTGGCTTAAAGAACTCCAGTTTTCTGCACAATTATGTGCAACTTGGCTATGGCTTGCACATGGGACAATCTCAGATGCTCATCTGTTTTTTCTGCCATCATCTTGACAGTTCAGGGTTGTTGGGAAAATAAAATGAGTGGGGAAATCACATACACCACTCCTTGGAGGAAAGGAGGGGTATATGTAATAATAAATAAAACGCAAAATAAACACCCAACTGAATACTGAACTCTGCAAAATAGGGTCTCTGTCAGAAACCATTTCTGTTTTCTTCCATATGATGTAGGAGTCAGGCCTTTAGTGTGGCTGTGCCTACCCTTTGAAATTCCTTCCGTTAAATAACAGACAGGAACTATCACCAGTGGGGTTTTTTTCAGGGGGTATTCAAGGGTATGCAGTACCGACAACTCTCTTTTTGTTGTTGTTAAAAAGTGAAGCACTTACTGCAACAACTTCATGGTGAGTACCAGCACCTCTTTTTCTAGAAAAAAAGCATTGGCCATCGCTATTGTCTCTCTGGCACCTGTTGAAGACCTTCCTTTTAAGGGGATTTTTATTCCAATCTATATTTGTATTTGCTTTGACATGGTTTTCATTGTTGATGTTTTCATTGTTAAAATCACTTCAGGAAGCAGTTCATTCATAAGAAAACAACAACATCTGGAAGCCCACAGGTTCCCCACACAAGAATTAAGCTGAAGTGTCACAGATGTTTCCTCTTCCAACAGGACACTGCTAAGGCAAGCAGACTTTTTGAGTGAAGTTCTAAAAGCAGAAGCCTGCTGTAGATCCTAGGAATAGGGATGTCCTGTAATACTATAAAGCTAAGACAAAAGACGAACCATGTATTTAGCAATTTTGGTAAAGTTATCTACAAGACCACTTACCTGTTAAAGGCAAGATTAATTATTTGCAGTTTTGTCAGTGCTTCCATTTCATCAGGCAGAGATGTCAAAATGTTATTTCTAAGTTGAAAAAAGCAACCAAATACACCAACTATTAATTTTTATTAAAAGTTGGTATTTTAACTGAACCATTTTCAAATACAAGATTTAGATTCATTTGCCTCAATAAGCAAGCAGAACTGTTGGTACCTATTCTATTGTGAATTCCCATGACAAAGTATCACTTGTGTACAGTATAGGAAATTATGTACCCTACATATAAAGCAACATACATGATGAGTGCACATTAGTACCAGTAGAACCACCATGTTCAGGAACAATATGCTTTTGACTACCAGTTGCTGAGATCAGAGAAAATGGAGGGTTAAGACCCACTTGTGAGCTTCTGAGAAGCATCAGACTAAGCATCTGGAAAAAGAGTTATATGCATATTATAGGTACCTCACAACTGAATGTGTAACTTAACTTACACAACTGCAACTTTGTGCAGGGGGGCGGGGGGAATAAATAAATGGAGAAGACCATTCACCATTTATTTATCCTCACTCAAGCTGCACAAAGCTGCTACAGTGGGCTTACTTGGCTTTGGGAAGGCAGTATGAGGGCTCTGGGCCAGAGCCCTCACACTGCCTTCCCAAAGCCTCACCGTAAGGCAGAACTTTCCAAACTGCGTCACGACACATTAGTGTGTCAGCTGCAGTGTGTCAGTGTGTCGTGCGAACACTTCCTGTGCTCTTCCAGGGGCTGGAAAGGGGTTAGTTTAACCTCTGGTTTGTTAGTAAAACTTAATTACTGGATTGCAAAATGATGCATTTCTAAAAAGTGTGTCACCAATATGAAAAGTTTGGAAAGCTCTGCTGTAAGGGCTCATATTATGCAAGTTACCGTATTTTTCGCTCTATAGGACGCACTTTTTCCCCTTCAAAAATGAAGGGGAAATGTGTGTGCGTCCTATGGAGCGAAGACGCCATAGCCCTGCGACCCTCTCCCGGCTGGAGAGGTAATGCGGGGCTATGGCAGGAGCCTCTATAGCCTCGTGTCACCTCTCCAGCCGGGAGAGCACGCGCAGGGCTAAAGCAGCCCCCCGCGACCCTCTCCCGGCTGGAGGGGTGACGTGCGCATATGGCAGGAGCCTCCATAGGCGCGCGTCACCTCTCCAGCTGTGAGAGCGTGCGCGGGGCTAAAGCAGCCCCCCACGACCCTCTCCCGGCTGGAGAAGTGACGCGCGCCTATGGCAGGAGCCTCCATAGGCGCGCGTCACCTCTCCAGCTGGGAGACCGCACGCGGGGCTAAAGCAGCCCCCCGCAACCCTCTCCCGGCTGGAGAAGTGACGCGCACCTATGGCAGGAGCCTCCATAGACGCGCGTCACCTCTCCAGCTGGGAGAGCGCGCGCGGGGCTAAAGCAGCCCCCCGCGACCCTCTCCCGGCTGGAGAAGAGACGCGCGCCTATGGCAGGAGCCTCCATAGGTGCGCGTCACCTCTCCAGCTGGGAGACCGCACGCGGGGCTAAAGCAGCCCCCCGCGACCCTCTCCCGGCTGGAGAAGTGACGCGCGCCTATGGCAGGAGCCTCCATAGGCGCGTGTCACCTCTCCAGCTGGGAGACCGCACGCGGGGCTAAAGCAGCCCCCCGCGACCCTCTCCCGGCTGGAGAGGTAGCAGCCTCTCTGCTGCGCCTTTCCGCTGCTCCCTGACCTGCTCTTTGGGGCTGGTGGTGGGCTTCCCCCCGCCAGCCCCAAAGAGCAGGTCGAAAGGAACCTGAACCTTGGAGAGCGAGAGGGGTCGGTGCGCACCGACCCCTCTCGCTCTCCAGGCTTCCAAGGTAGCCGCCTGAACGCACCTTAAACGGCACCTTGTTTTAGAGGAGGAAAACAAGAGGGGGGAAATTCTCCCACTCTCTGCGCAGCGCCTCCTGCCGCTTCACTGAAGGGGCGCTGGGCAGAGAGCGGAAGAATTTTTTTCCCTTGTTCTCCCCCCTCTAAAACAAGGTGCGTCCTATTGTCCGGTGCGTCCTATGGTGCGAAAAATACGGTACCTGTACTGAATGGAAGAAGTAGGGTATGGGTGAATGTAAAAAAAGTTTAGCCTAATTTTTAGCTGCTGTTTTATTAACATTGCTTTATAGATTACAAAAAATTATTATATATTGTATTATTTGGTAGCAGACCCATTCAGGGGGTGGGCAGCAGATACACTTGCCCCAGGCCTCAGAGGGTTAAGCCAGCTGGGGGCCCCTGTCAGGGACCAAGCTGCTTTTTCTTTTTCGAGTTTATAACTTTATTCTAACAAGACTCTGGTCCGGGCCTCAGACAAGCTCCGCATAGGCCTGCTTGGTAGGGTAAGCTTTAATAGCTCCAGCACTGAAATGGTTGTGTTTGTGTTGTAACTGGGATGTTCTACTGTTATGTTCATTGCTGTTTGCAAGCTGCTCTGGGATTCACTTGAATACAAATACAGCGCAATTTAAAAAAAAAAACAACCTACCTACATTGCCTAACAATCAACTGTCAACTGCCAGCATTAATCAAGCGGAAAATCTTTAAGGGAATCTACAAATTCCCTTCAAAAATGTCGTATAAACAAAGGTTTAAGTAATCACCTACCTAATATCCAAATGTGTCAGTCTGTGAAGCATACAGAGCTCCAGAGAAATAGACGAGAGCTTGTTGAAACCAAAATTGATATCAGAGACTGATTCTTTTAGTTCCACAATTCTGCAGCCCAATTGTAAAAAAAGAAAGGGGGGGGGAAGCAATTGATCTCATCAATTGTTTTGTGCTATTTCAAAACATCAGATTAAACCAGATTGTATTCACCACTGTGTAACTTTCTATTGGTTTCTCTCAAACACTGGGGCAGGACCCACCAATGGGCCCTAGGTCAGCTTTAGATAGGCCTCAGCCAGAATATGAAAATACCTGCTTCCTGATTCAAACTAAGTCTGAATTGGGAACTCTGCTTACTTTAAACCAGCGCTAGTTGATGTTGTGGGCCACAACTCCCATCACCTCCAGCCAGCATGGCCAATGGCCAAGGTTAATAAGAGTTCTAATCCACAACATCTGTTGGGCATCATGTTGGATTCCTCTTGTTTAAACTATGGTTTGTTAGAAGAAGCCAGTATCAGAAATCTTGGGCCACATTCACATGCATCTCTCAATCATGGTTTAAAACAATGTGGACACACCTGCACTCCACTCTTCACATCCCATGTGCCTAGGAGGATAATTTTGCCAAAGTGTACAGTAGTTTACTTTTACAGAACCATGGCTTAGTTTTTATATATACAGTATATACATAGATACACACACACACACACACACACACACACACTGGCTTGTTATAAAACTTAACAGAGTTTGTTTTAAATCAGACCCCTAGGCACTGGCGGAGGAAGAGGAATGTGGGGGGAGCGCCCCGCCCCCAGAAGTGCGATCCTGGTGGGGTGCCATCATGGCTGCCCTACCCGCGCTGGGCGCCCCGTCCCCAGGACGCGCATCACACCCCCGCCTGCTCTCCGCCCCCTGATGCCAGAGCCTGAAGCTCCGCCACTGCCCCTAGGTTCATATGTAGAGTTAAGATGGGATTCTTTAAAAGTAAAAGTAAACTCTGCTGTAACTCTTCTCCCTTCACATAACACTCAACTATGGTTTAGTGTTGTGTACAAATCAGGTCACTTGTCTGTATATCTATTGTGATGATTTCCTAAATTCTGCTGTAGGCCAAACCTTGGTTTATTTGCTTTTAAGTTAACACCACTCTGCCCTCCTCCACCCCAATGAAAGGTCTTACAATTATTATTATGGATTACTTACATTTATATACTGCCCTTCATCTGAAGATCACAGGGTGGTTTACAACATAAAAACAAATACATATCATAATAAGAACAAAAAACTTACCCCAATAATCCCCTCATAAATACATTTAAAAGGCCATAGATTGCTTAATCAGTGAAAGGCCTCATTATAGAGGAATGTTTTTGCCTGGTGCCTAAAGATATGTAGTGAAGGCACCAGGCCAGCCTCCCTGAGGAGAACATTCCACAAACAGGGAGCCATTGCAAAAAAGACCCATTCTCATGTTTCCATCCTCTAGACATCTTGAGGAGAGGGCACATGAAGAAGGGCCTCAGATGATGCTTGCAATACAACACCCCCACTACCAAAAAGTACAGTCATGTATGTGATTTCACTCCAGTCCACCCCCCTACCCTCTCAAAATGGACTTCAGCCCAGGTTTAATTAATATTTCTACAGGAGAAACAGTACCTTATTGGAATTTCAGTCAGCTGATTCTTGCTGAAATTTACAGTAGTGACTGGATTGGTTCCAACTGCATTCAGCACTTCATCTGGAATTACAGCTGCCTGTTTTTCACTGGAAAATTTGTATTTAAAAAGTCATTTAATAGAAGGATAACAACATTATCAATTGGCCAGAACTCCAATAGGAAAGGCACTGTACATTTAAGAGTCATGTTGCAAAATGAATTATATTGTACTCAAATATCAAAATAAAACATGGTTAGGAAGCCAGATCCCAGTATCCTAAGGAGACAGCATTTAAAAAAAGGAAAGATGCATTAAAGTTTTTATAATCTTTGCAACTCCAGCTAAAAAACCTCAACAATACTAATCCAAAGACACTTTTTAGAATGAAATCTTGTGCATAGGTAGTACTGTCTGGTTTGTTACTGATCTTACGTAAGGCATTCTGAGAGCCTTTTAAATTTAATAGTGCAGTACCTGATTGGGGATGTTTGGGTGCATCTGTGAAGCCAATCTCTCCTCCACCTAGATACCCCTGGAAAGTGCTGCTGCTGCTGTTGGGAAGCTAGCACTGTGGCTCCACGCCACTAAGTGAGCCACTTCTGACTTATTTAACAAAATTTATATACCGCCTGTTTGTAAGGAAGCATCTAAGCAGTTTACAGGAATATAAGATATTAGAAGTTTCAATAAAGAAGTTAAAAACAGGTATTTTTTGTGGAACTTGCTTTCACTCATGATTAAGGGGTGGCCTCATTAAAACTGCACCAGTGCCATTTGCTCTGTCAAGGATGCATCACATGGTATCCAACAAAGTAGTTCTGTAAGCACAAGGACTTCTGTCTGCACAATGTAAGTTCCCCTCCCTCTCCCCAGGCACCCTCTAAATCTGTTCTGGAGGTTCCCCAAAACCCTTTGAAGCAGATCTGGAGAGGGCACAGAGGGGGAGAGAGGGAAGTTCCATTGTGTAAATGAAAACAGAACAACTTTGTTGGATTCTGCCCATTATATTTGTTTTTATTTACTGTACTGGCTCGAATATAAGCCGCAAACGAATATAAGCCGCACCTTTAAAATTCATGGGGAGGGGGAGACAATACCCGAATATAAGCTGCTCCCTTAAAATTCCACAGGCACTCACACCTGTTCCATTTTACCATATGTCTGTTTCAGCAGTGATATCGTAAAAGCCAATTTTTGTTAGGTCGTGAATTTAAGCTGCACTTTAACTTTTCATGGTCGGAATTTGGGGGAAAAGTGAGGCTTATATTCAGGCCAATATGGTATATGTCTAGAGCTGATAAGCTTACAATTCTCTTACCTATAGTCCAATGTTTTTAATGCAGTTATAGCATGCAGATTAATTTTTGACTGACTTGGCAGAGTCATTGCTGTCACAGGAAATTCTCCATTTGGACCAATTATGTCATCATCTAAAGAAAGCAAAAGTAAGTATATATGTTTAAAATTTTACAAACATGAGAATCTGCAATAATCTGAAGATTTTTAAAAATGTAGCCAAGGAGTTAGGGTGATTTTTCATTTCAATTTTACCCACTTTGGAGTCTGAACATCATCAAAGTAAGAGTTTTCACAGCAGATGAAGTTTGCTTTGTTCAGACACAATGATAACTAATGAAGACTCTGTTTCAAAATATTTCATACAACAGATCTAGTGCAGTGTTTCCCAACCGGTGTTCCGCGGCACACTAGTGTGCCGTGGAACTTTGCCTTGTGTTCCGTGGAGGCGGGCGAGTCGGGCGGTGAGAGGCGGGGCGGCGGCGGCGAGCACACGCGGGGCGGCGAGCGAGCGAGCTCCCACATCCCATCACCGCTCGCTACTGGGCCTGCGCATCCGCTCGCTACTGGGCCTGCCCCAGGAGGTGGGGTTGCGGGCATCACGCCCTTCCCCACGTGAGCGGGAATCCCAGAGAGCAGAGAGCAGGGGAATCCCATCCGGCCACGCCTCCTGGCCAGCCAATCGGCTGGCTGGAGGGGGCGTGGCTTGCCCTTTTTAGGGCCGGAGCGGAGGGGGCTTGCCCTCTCTTCTCCGGCTAGCCCCATTGCCGCTCGCTACATCCTATCGCCGCTCGCTACTGGGCCTGCGCATGCTCGGCGAGCACACGCGGGGCGGCGAGCGAGCGAGCTCCCACATCCGACGGCACCAAGCAGGGGCCCTTGGCCGTGCCGGTGCCCACCGTGCCCGCCTCCGCCCAGGAGGGCGGCAAGCAGCCACCGCCACCACCACCCCCGCCGCTGCCCGGCAACCGCGCCGCCGCCCCCGGCTCCCCGCGGCGGGTGATCGTGCAGGCTTCGACGGGCGAGCTGCGAGCTCGGCGGGCAGCGCCTCCGTCCGCAGCACCCGCCTCGCGGCTCTCATTCCCTGCCCCTGCCAAAGCTCACTCAGCCAAGCCGTGCTCTCCTTCCTGCCTCGCTTTGCTGCCTCCTCCCCCCCCACCCCAAAGCTTGGAGGTTCCCCGGCAAGGGGGAGGGAAAAAAATCGAAAACTTTCACTTTCGTGCGTCCCTCCCGGCGTGACGCTGCGCGCTGACGTCACGGGGCTGTAATGGTGGTGTGCCGCGAGATTTTTTTCATCAAACAAGTGTGCCTTTGCCCAAAAAAGGTTGGGAAACACTGATCTAGTGGACTCTCAGGCTTGTCCTTTGGAAAGTCTGAAAAGGCTGGGAATATCAATATTTCTTCCAAGTGTAAGAAGGTATTTTGGACTGCAGTTTTATCCACTTCTATCTATATCAGTGACTTAGGGCATAGAACTTTGTATTCCTTAACTATATCAAGACCAATGGAGCAAGTGGCTTTAAGTGAACCATTTTTGGATTCCATTTGTAAGTATCTTGTGGTCAATCTGTTCAAGCGTTGCCAAATGTCAAAGAACTGTACAGGGTGTTACAGGAAAATAACTTTGTGACTGTATAGCCTAAAAACTTGGCTGCAATACATTTTAAATTTATTTAAGAGGAAGCTATACAAATGACACAGAGAAAATGCTCTGATCACATGTGGCTGATACAGTTCCCGATCAATTTTGGAACATGTCTTAAAAAACCTGACTATGAAATATATTGGCAGTTAAGTCTGTATAGTAACCCAGGTTCATTAGTTCTACCATCTAACTTTTACAGTGGTACCTCGGGTTAAGTACTTAATTCGTTCCAGAGGTCCGTTCTTAACCTGAAACTGTTCTTAACCTGAAGCACCACTTTAGCTAATGGGGCCTCCTGCTGCCGCCGCGCCGCCAGAGCACAATTTCTGTTCTCATCCTGAAGCAAAGTTCTTAACCTGAGGTACTATTTCTGGGTTAGCGGAGTCTGTAACCTGAAGCGCATGTAACCCAAGGTACCACTGTATGCATACAAAATATAGCTAAGGAATTATTTTCAAATTATATCAGAGCCAGACCTTTCAAGTGCCATCACCAGTTAGTTATTACGCACTAGTCTCGAAATCCCCTGGCACAAATAGTTAAGATTCATTCTCTCTTTCTCAGTGCTCAGACATGAACACATTTACTTGCAAGTATGCCCTTCATCTGAAATCAATAAAACATTTTCAAATGCTTTTAAGCATGCTTGTAAGCATGTGTACAAAATTAAGTATGTGGCTATTTCCTTATTAAGTAAAGGAACACAAGGAAGTTATCACCATCAGTCAGAAATGTCATTCTTAATTCCAGCTTACCCAGTCATCTAAGCCTACTTATTGGGGTTTAATATCATTTGGATTATAAATCTTAGTAATACAAAAAACATTGGTGAATGTATTTTGGGAGGGTACAATTTATAAATTCCCAGTGTTCTTCAATACTGAAATCATGTGTGACAATCCAGAGAGTGACCTTAAGCATATCCACAACTTATATTTTTGCCTTTTTTCCTTGGAAAAGCAAACTATTGTATCACAAACTGCTGCAAAAATTTCCTCTAGATTCTAAGGCAGTTTGCTATGTAGTGCAGGGGACTGTCATGCTCAACATTCAGAGCTAGCTGTAGGAAATGTAGCAATTGCTATCTTTGCATATTCCACCTCCGTGTCCCTTTTAAAGAAATACAGTGGTACCTTGGCTTACAAACTTAATCTGTTCCGGAAGTCCATTCTTAAACCAAAGCGTTCTTAAACCAAGGCGTACTTTCCCATAGCAGTGGGGGACTCAATTTGCAAATGGAAGACACTCAACAGGAAGCAGAACATGTTCTGCTTCCGAGGCAAAGTTCACAAACTAAAACACTTCCGGGTTTGCAGCTTAATCCAACTTGTTCATAAACTAAGCAGTTCTTAAATCAAGGTACCACTGTAGTAAACTATTAAGCTGGTATCTAGTCAACAAGTGATTCCTCTGGACATTGTTTCCCACTGTTCTATTAACACTGAGCAAGAGTTTTCAATTTATTTATGTAAGAATTTATTTATATAAGAATTTATATAACAAGGGATGTACTTCATTCTGATACATACTAGAAACCATCTCTTATGTGGGACTTGGAAAAGAGAAAAGATATGCAAGCAACCAGATGAGAACAAATAGATTTCTAGACATAACAAGATCATGAAGAGTTAATCTAGCTAGTCCAAGAGTTGATTTAACTGTAACCTTATCCTCACAAAGAAAAGTTTTACCTTGTATTTTACTTCTAAGGTATTTCAGAATTTCTTGCGTCCCTTTCTGAAATGGAAAAATAAAAGCACAAAAAGATTGTCAACCACTTGCATCTTTTGAATCTTAAGGGGTAGAAACAACTCAAGACAGTATGTAAATTATGCTCTTACTTGTACAACATCCCTTCGGATTGTCCTTAAAGGGTTTCCTTCCAGCCCCAAGAACTTCAGCTGAGACAGGTTTCCTAGCTTGGAAGGAAGGCTGCAGAGAGAAGAGTTCTCTTTATAAACAACCTCAAAGCCAGAAGATGGAAGCAATGCTCAGTTCAATTATTCAGGCTTGGATCCAAACTACCATATTTTTCACCCCATAAGACGCACCTGACAATAAGGCGCACCTAGCTTTTAGAGGGGGAATGCAAGGGGGGAAATATTATTTAAAGGGAGCGCTGAGCAGAGCGTATGCATCCCAGGCTCTGCTCAGCGCTCCCTTTCATGAGCCACGTGGAGCATGTGTGCGGCGCTTTAAGGCTTTTCCCCGAGGAGGGAGAAGGGCAGACCGTCACTCAGAGAAAAGCCCCCAAGAGCCGCACACACATTTCGTGCGGCTCTTTAAAGGGAGCTCCCTGGCTCCTGGATGAAGGCACCCCACTGCCCTGCGGAGGCTTTGCACAGCTAAGCCAGAATCCAGAAAAGTGAGAGGGATCACTGCGCAGCTGTTCTGTCTTCTGGCTTAGCCGCGCAGCCTTCATTCGCTCCATAAGACGCACACACATTTCCCCTTACTTTTTAGGAGGGGAAAAGTGTGTCTTATAGAGCGAAAAATATGGTAAGTGCAAACAGTCACAAGCTCCTTCTATTCACTGATAAGGAAAAATCCAGTTGAGAATCCCCCTGTCAGAAGGGATGGGAAAGGCAATTTTCACAGGTACCTCCATGCCACTTTTCCTGCTGGTCTGAATGATTTCCCCAATCATCCAGAGCAAAATTTCATGTGGACACTGCTCTTGTGGGTATGCGGAAATCAGTGAAAGATGCCTCCCCCCACTTTTGCTGACGGGAGCACTCTATTAGTGGAACTTTCACCACTGGTTAAGATCCAAGCCCCTGCATTCTGAACCTCGTTAATTAGAGCATTATTCATGGTTCAATATTACTTTACCAATTAATAATAATGTATTTCAAGAAACAGTATGGTCTGAGCATTTGCTTTTAAATTCAGTAACAGTGTAAACTTGCTCCAAACTAAGGAAGACAACTAATTATCATTATTTCTACCTCACCCATTTGGCTGGGTTTCCCCAGTGACTCTAAATAATGCCCATAGTCTTACCTACTAATATCATTGTTGGATAGGTCTAGTCGCTCTAACCCCTGTAACAGGGTTATTTCATCAGGCAGCGATTTTAGCTTATTATCTCTTAGTTCCAATACACACAAAGAATTCAGATGTTTCAGATGGTCAGGTTTTAACACTTCAATCTGATTTTCACCAACGTGCAACTCCTAGAAGAATTTTTAAAATGAATAAATCGTATAATCTATCAATTCTGTATCAAGGTTAATCTATTTCATAGGATGCAAGAGTCGTATTTTTACATATTTATTGAATTTAGAGTTTTTTAAGCAGATAGTCTACAGAAGGCACGTCCAACTCCCTAGCGACTGCAATCTACGCTCAGTATAAAACAACTGACAGTGATCTACCCGTTGTCACTGGGGGGAGGGCCCAAATTTGTTGAGCTTTTTTTTAGGTGAGACTACAGTTGCTCCGCTAATAACAAGCAGGAGCAGCAATACTTTCCGACAACAGTGGGGGCAGAGCCAGCGATCATAAGGGAGCCCACGGTCGATCACAATCAACAGCGATCATTCAGATATCAACCTGTCGATCGCGATCAACCTGTTGGACATATAGCTGGTCTATAGTTACCTTGTACAAACTTAAGTCATTAGAGTTGCTATATTATTCACTTACTAAGCTGCACGGAACTCAGCCAGAGTGACTTCTGCATTGGATTGGCCCTCACCAGCCTTATTAAAATCTGGATAGAATTAGTTTTCATTTGAAAAATGTTCCATCCACACTTGAACAAAAGCTTTATGTGCATGTGTCACTGGGATGCCCCTCTCTTTTAAGAAAATGCTGCCTGAAAGCAGATGTTAATTGTTAAATGCAATGTATGCCTAGCATCACAAAACAAAATAAAGCTTAGAATGCAGAAGCTAGCTGCATTAACTTGACCACTTTTATTTCAGTTTCACCAACATAAAGATTAACTTATCCTTAATTGCAACAGGCTTCAGAAAAGAAAAGATTCAATACCACAATCTATACACACACAAGCATCAAACGTACTGAGAATAAATCTGTTCTAAAAGATGTCTTTATTGGAGTTTACATATTTTAGGTAATACGTACTGAGAATAAACCTTACCTTTAAAAATTTACATGAAGGAAGGTCTGGCAAGTAACGCAATTTATTTCTCCTTAGATAAAGCTGCTCTAATGATACCATATTGGCCACTTCAGGAGGTATCGTTTCCAGATAGTTTTTTGTGCAATCAAGCTGTCTCAAACCTATAGAAAGGAACATAAGAATAGCTCTGCTAGTTGTTGTGTGGTTGTTGTTGTTTTGATGTTATATATATATAACATCCAATGGATGTTATATATATATATGGTATCCAATATATATATATGGTATCCAATATATATATATGGTATCCAATATATATATATATTAACAACTTATCCAATATATATATATATATATATAACAACTTATCCAATATATATATATATATATATATATATTGGTATCCAATATATATATATATATATATGGTATCCAATATATATATATGGTATCCAATATATATATATGTGGTATCCAATGGATACCAGCAAAACAGGGTTACGAAGCTAATCCAAAAAGAAACACCCCCCAAAAACCAAGACACAGAAGAAAACAATGGCATGGCCCTCCTTCCTTATATCAAGGGCACTACAGATAAAATTAGCAAAATCCTCCATAAACACAATATCAAAACAGCCTTTTGCACCAACCAAAAAATAGCCAATATCCTCAGAAACCCCAAGGATAAAATCCAGTTGGAAAACCAAGGGGTCTATGAAATACCCTGCAAAGTCTGCCCAGCCACGTACATTGGACAAACAAACAGACGAATAAATGCACGTATCGCAGAACACAAGAATGCCGTCAAAAAAGAAGAAAAAACTTCCTCTCTTTTCCAACACATGAAAGAAACAGGACACGAAATTAATTTTGCAGATTCCAAATTGCTCTTTAACATGGAACATCACCACAAGAGAATAATCATGGAAGCCATCGAGATAGAGAAACACCCTCACAACATGAACAAGCGTGACGACACATCCCGCCTGCCAGACATCTGGAAATTAGCCCTCCCCACAAAAACCGACACCAGATCCAGAGGCACACAGAACGCCATCACCAATCAACCACACCAGACCCAAACCCAGACCCTCTCCACAGATAAATTACAGACACCATCCAGTAGCCAAACCATGGTGGCACCTCCGGATGCTGCACCCCCCTGCAATCCCTACACAGATCTGGCTGGCACAGGACACAAAACCACAGCTCGCCCCTATACACGAAGCCAAGCCAGAGCACAACTAAGTGCAGTACAGCCATCTTCTCAGAAAAACTCTTCACAAAGCTCAAGAGGTCAAGACACGAAGGCTTTAGCAACTAATCCACACCTAATGACCCACCTAAGTGGTACTCAGAATATCACTCAAGAAATCACTCAAGATATCCCTCAAGTAATTAAGGAACAAAAGAAGAAAAGGCACACTAGCCTGGGAACTTCCTCTCTGCCCAGAACATTGGAGGCTATACACCACACCCCCTCAACAGTATTTATAGGAACTCAAACACTGAGATCCTGCTCTGTTCCAGTAACAAGAAGCCGAAAGCACCAGCCTGAAGATGACGAGTGAGACCTCGTCGAAACGTCGCCTAGACACCCCAACTTTTACACGGGAAGACACCCGAGGACACCAAAACCTGCATTCCTGTACCCGTGAAAATCTACGAAAGCATATATATATATATATATATATATATATATATATATACATACACACACACTCTATTTTTATAGGCACACTATGGGCCACCTGAATGAAACTAGTGGTCCACAGACCAGTTTGGGAACTACTGATGTACATGAACATAAAATTCCTTAGAGAAGAGTGATAGCAATGTACTTTTAAAATGAAGTTTCATTAAACCCCTACTACCAGGAAAATAAGTCAACAAAAAGATTCCAGTCAAGTCATAATTCAAGGCTTACTTACTTTTCATTGCACTGATTTCTGCTGGCAGGCTCTTCAAATGATTACAAGTCAAATTGAGCTGCACCAAATTTGTTAGAAAACGAAAACTTGTTGGGATACTAGAAATACGGTTGTTGGAAATATCCTGAAGAAAGCGGAAAATAAAAATTGATGTTATGGTTTAGAATGGCTATGTAAGAAAATTGTGGTGATGTATAAATAAGCCAAGTAGTATCGGTTCAGCACTAAGTATGAAAACATGGCACAGTTATTAGTCAACACTTGCAGTATTTCCACCCTGGTACTTTTTCAAATTAAGTCCCAGAATTTCTTGTTTGGCATGGCCAGAATGCAGTAGTTCCAATGTCAAAGGGATTATAAAATAACAATATGAATGGCTAGCAGCAATGAACAGAATATTCACTTAGGTAGACTGAAGGCAGTCATAAGCCTCATCATAGAAATACATTGTTTGAAATAAATATGATTTACTGTGTGTGAGCAGCCTTCTCAAATATGATGGACAATTTTCACACCTGCTTACAAGTACAATCTGAAATATCGGCAGCTTCTCAGTTTAGGAAAAAGACAACAGGGGAAGGGACAGAAAAATGATAAACTGGAAATAGTATGGAAAAATGGATTACATTTTCTCCCTCTCTAATTATGCTAGAACTAGTGGTCTTACCCAAGAAAATTGACCAGCTGAAGATTCTGGGCAGACAGAATAAAGTACTTTGCAAAACATGCATCATGAATTGGAATTCACTGCTACACAATAAGGTGACTGCCACACTCAGGTATCTTTAAAAGAGGGTAAGTCTATTATTGGTTATTAACTGCGATAGCTATATGGATCCTTGATGTTCTCAGGTAACAAATCTATTAATAAAGCTGCAAGGTGTGGGGAGATGGGGACAAGAGAGGAAGGCTGTTGCCTTTCTAATGAACTTCTGGGAAGCATCCCATTGGCCAGCGTTGAAAACAGAATTGTTGGCCTTATGAAAAAGAAGTCGAATTTTCAACACATCCCATGAGACTTCTGAAGGAAATAACTGATTTTTTTAATTAAACAAACCCACACATAATTAATTAATCAGCTTACTTTTAAATGAATCAGAAATGAATCAGAAAAATAAAAGATTTGACAAATCATACAATTTTTGCAAGCAGTGTCATACATAGAATTTAAATGCTTTCATAGCAAAACTGTCAAACAAGCACCAAATGACTTAATATGGGGCTGGTAAATCAAAGGTAAGAACTTTAAAGAACAGTACCCATTCAAGAGTTATGCAAGTAATGAACTAACATTAGTAACCAAAACATCACCAGAATCGCCATAAAAGCCTTCTCTACTTACCAACTCTTCCAAACTAATAAGCTGTCCTAATTCATCAGGCAACTGATTTAATTCATTGTGCTGCAGAAGTAGACTTCTTAAATGTTTTAGTTGCGTAAGCTCCTCCGGTATATCTGTTAGTCTATTATGGCTGTTGATAAAATGAAAATTATGAAGAAATGCATTAGTAAAGGTAAAGGGACCCCTAACCATTAGGTCCAGTCGTGGCTGACTCTGGGGTTGCAGCACTCATCTCGCTTTATTGGCCGAGGGAGCCGGCGTACAGCTTCCGGGTCATGTGGCCAGCATGACTAAGCTGCTTCTGGCAGACCAGAGCAGTGCACGGAAACGCTGTTTACCTTCCCGCCAGAGCAGTACCTATTTATCTACTTGCCCTTTGACATGCTTTCGAACTGCTAGGTTGGCAGGAGCAGGGACCGAGCAACGGGAGCTCACCCCGTCGTGGGGATTCGAACCGCCGAACTTCTGATCGGCAAGTCCTAGGCTCTGTGGTTTAACCCACAGTGCCACCCGTGTCCCAATGCATTAGTACTTTGTTCTAAAACAATCTTGCCTGTTAGCCTACAAATGTTACACGTCCACAAGAACCTACTATCTACACATAACTAAAAACTAATGTACTTAAAATTTCCTCACCTCAATCTTCACTTTAAAGATCTTTAAACTTTTTCCATTTCTTAAACATGTTCTGTGTACAAAGTTTGTACAATATATTTACCTCACATTAAGTTTCTGGAGATTTTCCAGTGTTCCTATAGCAGAAGGAAGAGATGTCAGTTGATTATCATGCACCTAAAAATAAAAAGAAATTGTCAGCACTTTTACTTACTTCAAATAAGTAGGAAATCAATTGCTCCCTGTACCAAACACTTTAGGATCCAAGCATTACCATCAGCCACTGCATTATATTCTGAACTATGTCTGAAAATATGGTGATAAATGACAAAGCTCTTTAAATCTTTCCAGTTCTTATTTAACACATTGTTAGTGTTTATTTATTTATTTTTATTTCATAAAATTTTTATACTACTTGATTGCATGAACACAAAAATGTATCTTTAACATAAGATCTATGCATATCCCTGAAGATTACGAAACATAACAAAGCTCTTACAGAATGAAAGAGGCCTATTTCCCCCACTTTTCATCATCACAATAGGAATATGAAAGCAACATTAATCAAAAATATTGTACTCACATCCAATACAGTGAGAGCAGGCAACAGTCTTAGATCATCAGAAAGACACTGCAGTTTATTCGAAGATAATATTAGTCTGGTGAGATCGGTTTGCTCCCACCACCGTTCATCAGCACTAAAGGAAAGGTTTTGCTTCGCCTCTTCTGGAGTATCCAAGTTTATTCGCCATACATGTGGAGGGACTGGAGACAGAAAAATGAACACAAGAAAAGCCCTTCTGGATTAGACCTAAGGCTCACCTAGTGCAGCATCCTGTTCTCTATGGTCCACCAGTAACCTACAGTATGGGAATCCCACAAGAAGACACCACTTGCGACTTCTAGCAACTGCCTTGAGGTAAGTAGGCAGTCACCAGAGCAAGTAGCCACTGACAGTCCATGAATTCGCCCAAACATCTTTTAAGACAACCTGAGATGAAGCAGAAATGGTATTCAACTCCCCCCCCTCAAATGAAACCCACCGAAATCAATCGACCTTGTGTTAGTTAACTTCAGCGCTCCTACTCCGAGTAGGGCTGGCGCTGGATGCAACCCAAGCTCTCCTCTTCCCTTCGCCCAGGCTTAAGAAATAATAAGCGGGTTCTCCCCCCAGTTGCCGACCTCCATCCAGCCCCCCACAGGAAAGGCACATTATAAAACTTCAGAGGGATAATAAAATGATGGCCAATGCCCATTCAAATGCCCCCAAACTATGGTAGACAAGAGGGAGTGGAGCAAAAAATAGAGAGACCAAAGATACAGAATGTCTGTGGAAGAGGGGAGACCCTTTTCGGACTGTCTGAGAAAATATTATGGTCAAATGAAATCGCAGGCAGGATTTTAAATATAAGCAAAGGAAGGAGAATAATAATAGTCATCATTATTATTTATTTGTACACCATACAAGTACTATAGACAAACTAAAACACAGGCTGGGTTTGAAATATAAAAAGGAAAATAATACTTATTTGTACCCGATACAAATATCTGACTAGATATAATGAATTTAATACAAATTATATGTTTTAGGGGGGAGAAGTATTTAAGGCAGTAGATAAAAGATGTGAATGGCAACCTCACAGAAGGGTAGGGAGTCAAAATGTCAAGAGAACACTGTATTGAAATTGAACTGCATTTGTTAAATTGTGTGGAAATTTTTTTAAAAAATTATTAATTATAATTATTATTATTAAAAGAGGGAATGAAGCCGCCCTCAGCTCAGCACACGCCCCTGGAGTCCTCGGGCCCCAACCAGCGCTCTTTCCTCAGGAATAAAGCGGGAAGCAGCCGGGCGCGACCTGAGGGGAAGACGCGGCCTCCGCGGCCGACAGGCGGGGACCGCCCGGTCCCCTCAGTAAACGCAGCGCAGCGGAAGCAGCCGCGGCCTCGGCAACCGGGGAATCCAAGCGGCGGCCCCGCTCACCTTCGGTCAGCCCGCGGCCAGAGAGGTTCAACTGGCCACTCTTCCGCGCCGTCCGGATCAGCCCCTGGGGCACCGCCGCAGCGCCGTCGCCCGCGCCCCGCCTGAAGCCGGCGAGAGAATTTCCCGCGCCTCTTCTTCGCGCCCCGGACATGGTCTCCGCCGACCCGCTCGGTTGCCCGCACCGGCTAAGCCCCTCGGAGCGCGGCGCAAAGCCGGGTTGAAACGCGGGCCCGCCCGCCTTTGCTCGCGTCGAAGGCGGTTGGCGCCTCCTCTTCCGCGCGGGGAGGGGAGCCGCCCCAGAGGAAAGGCCTGACTGAGCTCCCGTCAGAGCTTTAGCTGAGCCGGGACTATTTTAACCGGGAAGCACAGCAAGATGGCTATTGAGTATATGTCGGCGGCTTTTCTCCCTGAAAGTATGCACGCCTGAAGTATGCAGTCATAAATAAGAAGAGCCTGTGTAGTTGGACTGAGTGGCAGAACTCACTGAGCCGCCCCGTCGAATGGACCTTGGGCAAAATGCGTGCAAGATGCAAATTCAGTATCTAGAGACGAAGGTCTCCCAAGCCTAAGGTGCGACTCCCAGGCAGGCAGGCATCGCCTCAGCTTTTTACAAATGAAACGCTGTTTATTCTGTTCACCATTTCCTAAGAGGCTGTTCTGAGCCTGTGGAAGAGTTCTGATATACAAGTCGTGTTATAAACGAAATTCCGACTCTAGGAATAACTTTATACATGAGCAACTCAGGCTAGCATCTGACGAAGTAAGGCTGTAGTCCACAATGTGCGGACATTGGGTTGCACCATTATTTATTTCCACTTTCGATAAGCATCGGATGTTTTGTACAATCCCAGTGTGGGAAACAAAGTAATAACAATCAAGGAAGCAAAACGAGATACAAACATTGCAAAAATGATATAAACAGGTCCGACGAACAACTCAACATGTCTATTATAAGGTTAAACAAGCAAGCTACAGCAACAAAATTGCTATTGCCAATTTAACCAAACACCCAGGTACTGTATAAAGAAACAAATCATTCAAACTGAATAAACAACCAATGGTCTTAGCAAACTCCTCTGTTCCCTCTCACACAGAGGGCGTGCAAAGAGATTCTCTCACTCTGTTGCTTTTGAGTTAACTTAGCATGCATCTTCCCCCTACCCTTTATAAATACTAGTCCAACTTTCTGTCTAATGGCAGCTAAACAACCCAAGGAGCTTGTAATGCGAATGGACCCTGCTGCAAATTAAACACACAGAGAGATAAACATATATAGAGAGATAAGACTTGTTCACTCCAGTTAGCCCTGTCCAAAAGCTAAGTCAGCTCACAACCCCAGCGCTAAGTAGCTGCCTTAGCAAATAGCAAAGCGTTCAACGCGACACGCCTCCGCAGAAAACCTAAGCGCGATTACCGCTTCGAAACCAAAGGCACATCCGAGGCATGCGCAACAAAGTGCTAAGGAACCCCCACACACGCGCCGCGCAAAGAATCAGCGGGAGTGGGCATGCGCAGGACGCTAGTTCTGCGTGTCTACCGCGGCTGGGCGGCTTGCTTTGAGCAGGCGCAGGACTGAAAAGGCTCTTGCGCCGAGGAGGCGCGGGGTAGGGCCGCGGAGGGTTGTGGGATATTGCGGCCCAGGCTGGTTGGTGGCGAAACGATCGCTCGGCGGCGGTTAGTTGCGTGCGTGACGGGACTGCGATAGCTCGACGGGAAGCGCTGAGGGACACAAGGAGGAGGCCACCGTCCGGTTCTCCAGGGTCGTGGCGACCCCCTCTCCCCTCGATGTGTTTGTAGTGACGGGGGCAGGAGGAGGAGGTAGCGCGATGGCTTCAAGCAGCGGCACCGACGTGATCCAGGTCACCAACGTCTCCCCGAGCGCCAGCTCCGAACAGATGCGGACTCTCTTCGGCTTCCTGGGCAAGATCGAGGAACTGCGCCTCTTCCCTCCCGAGTGAGTCCCGCGCGGACGCCCCCTCTGGGGCCGCTTATGGCCGCCGCAGTCGCGCCTCATACAGGCCTAGGCCGCAGGGTGGCCTAGTGGAGGCCGCGGAGCCTCGCGCTCGGCTGCTTCCGAGCGCGGCGCGCCTACCAGGCCCAAATTGGTGGGGGCGACGACGGAGGAGGAGGAGCAGCTGGGCGCGAGGTTGCGAAGGCCGCCATTCTCAAAGCCATGGTCTCGCCTCACCATCTTGCGCTGGCGGAACTACAGTTGTTCCCCCCCGCCATTACACTTCTCTTCAGGGGGCGAAAGCGACGCCATTAGTCGCTTCGCGTTCCTTTCCCCAGCCGCCTCTTGGAGACGTAATTTAAAGCCGGGTTTGACGCAGGTAGAAGAGGGTATCGTGGCGAGTACTTCGCCGTGGACCTGCAAGGGTTTCTTAACTCCCAAGTTGTTTAAAAGGAAAGGAACAATGGAGTGACTTCTGCCACCACAGTTAAGCTGGCGAAATGAAGAGAAGTTAATCTATAGTGGACTTTGCTGTGTGTAAGGACCGTGCGCTCAACTTCGTTCAGTTTAGGATGTGCTCAAAGAGGGTCGGCCCCCCCCCCCCGTTTGTAATTGTGCCCAAGCTCCGTGTTTTTGGTTTTTTTCCTAAGCCAGGTGACTGAAAATGCTGAAATTAGCCCTTCAGCTGAGCATAATTTATGGAGACAGTAACACATTGATTGATTTATTAAATGCACGTGCTTCGCTTCCAGAGGAGCCCAAATTTATATTTGCAACAACAAATGTTCACAATATGTTATATGAACTGTACTGTGAACACCCCTTGAACTTGATAAGGGTATTTATTGTATAAAAGGCCCCTTTATTTACACTTCTGGCGATTGATTTTCCTTACTGGCAGTATTTCACTGATGATTTTTGTTACCTGGTTTAGCATGGCCGTATAGTGCAAGTTGCAACGTTACATATACACACTAGCAAGAGGTTTGTGTGACTCCAGTCCCATTTTATGCTATCTACAAACCATACAGTTTAATTTTTAAAGTTAACATGCACTGATAATGCTGAAAAGCGGTAATCTATACTGTCTGCAAATTTTTCAAAAAATAAGGTTATGTTGGTTTGTAAATGAAACCTGGGAGCAGGAGAACATTGGTAAGGCCTCCCCCTCTAGCACCTCCATATTACTGCTTTTAGAGTTCTCCAGGAGTTTGAGAGCAAAGATCTGAAGTGGGGCACCTCAATAAGTGCCCTGCAATGTGCAGTTCTGATTAAAATCCCAAGTACTTTATACACTTTGGTTTTGCAAATGTTAGTCATGTGGAAGTTTAGTTTTAAAAAATACAGTAGACAATGCAAGATTGACTTCAGCCAACCTTCCTTGCTCTAGAGCTCTATTATTTGATAGGGTGTAAAAACCATGTGTAAATCATATTTATACCTGCTGTGACTAAACAAGGTCTGTTGTCTTGTCACCACCTGCCACAGTTCATTTCTGTGAGCCACATCTGTACATAATGTTAAGTAAATATTAATTCTCAGCCTCATCAATTAGTTTTTCTGTCGATTAAGCTAAGGCTGCAATCCTATATACTCACTTACCTGAGAGCAAGTCCTAGTGAACTCAGTAGGACTTACTTTAAGTAGATATTAAAGGATTATTTTGTAAGACTGGAATATATGTACACTTGTGAGGGAGTATATTTTAGAAATAGGCAGTGCAGTAGAATGTGTTTTTCTGGAAAATGTAATAATACTGTAAATTGATTGATATCTTGATTTGACATGTTTGAGTTACAGTTAGTAAATACAACTTTTTAAAAGTATGGATTGTTTCCAAGGCTGCATCAGTTGGGTATCCCCCAACCCTGGAGGGGTGATTAGATTCTGTTGCATGCATAGAAGTCCCTTGCTTCAGCAGAGCTAAGGTGTTGGATCTGGCCCTAGGTCATATTAATCTTACATGCTGAAATACTCTGTTAGGGAAACATTAAGCAAAATGCAGTTATGCTGCAATCCTAAGCACACTTATCAGGGAGTAAGCACCGTTAGCTAGAATGGAGCTTACTTCAAAATAAGTAAGTACAAGTTCATACACATTCAAAATTTTACTTGGAGATTGTTTTTATTGGATTCAATTACTCATAAATGTTTTAGGATAGGACTTGGGAACTCAATAGCATGTACTTCACTTGTTTAAATGTTAAGGAAAGTAATATAGGTTTCACACTTCTCAATATTTAGGACAACAGTATGTTCCATTGAAAATAAGTGTATCTATGAATTTAAAACTATGAGTGGTATATAATGATATAATTATTTGTTTATTTAAAACACTACTATACCACCCTTCATCAATAATACTGGGGTATTTTAACAGGATAATACTATTCCAATAAGAGCAATACAATAAAATACATTACAGTCCACAGTGGACCAGCCAGATCATGCCCAGGCTCCATATTAACAGCCCACAAATAGGCATTTATTGAAGAGTGAAGAGGTAGGTCTCACAACATTGAAAGCTCGTCAGAATTAATGCTTGTTTTATTTTGGGGGGTGGGGAGGGACATACTTAGAAGCTGGGCACAATGATGGAAAAAGCCTTCTTGATAGTCTCAAGATGCAGTTCAGCAGACTACAACACAAGTGGGAGGGCTCTATAAAAGTGCTTAGCACTCAGACAAGTCTATGATATCCAACTCCAAAGCTGTTTATATTTAATGTGCTTCTGCTTCTAGACAAAGTTCATTAAAACTTTAAAATTGCCCAGTTTGACTGATACTAGGTCCATTATTTTACTAATTAATTTCAGGAAGCAGAAGGTGTATTGTTAGAAGTGAAGAAATGTTCTGCTACATTTCATGCGGGATAAACCTTCTAGCAACCTCTGTGGGTTGAAAAATATGTTTGTTCCAAATTAGGCCAGACTAGGTGCATGACAGAATCCCATGTCAGTCACCTATTCCTTCTTTTGAAATCTATCTGCAACTAATTTTAGATGGTGAAGGGAAATTGAAATGATGAATTTTCTACCTTTACCACTAGATGTCTCTTCCTCCAGAGATAAAGGTATTGTGCTGCTGCCCAAATGATGCCCTAGTATGGTATACACATCTATTGTGCAGCTGTGTATGACCTTATTTTGTAATAGTGTCTCTTGATTATTATTTTTTTGCATGTAGTGACAGCCAGCAAACCACAATGGTAGTAGAGAAGGTTAATACCCATCAGATTTCTTGCCTCTTGTGGCTGCTTCATTAAATGACAATGTAGTATAATATGAAAATAAAATACCATTACAACTCACTTTCAGTTTCATCTTCAGTCAAGTAATTCACTGATTTTGTTGGTCTTGCATTTAATATTCTTCCAATTTTTTTCCTTTCTAGTGACTCCCCTTTGCCTGTTTCTTCCCGTGTGTGTTTTGTAAAGTTCCAAGAACCTGACTCCGCAGTTGTGGCTCAGCATCTGACAAATACTGTATTCGTTGACA